ATAATCGCGAGGTTACGCGCGTTAAGAAGGATGTGCGAGTTAACTTAGCTCGTTGCATTAGCGGAGATGAACTCATTCCGCCTATTTCTCTCTGATTCTCCATCTCTGTCACCTTCTCGTTCCGTTTCTCTCTCTCTCTCTCTCTCTCTCTCTTCTCTCTTCTCTCTCGCAAAATGTGTTCCCATCCGCTCGTTTTGCCTCCATGTCCCTCTCTCTCTCTCTCTCTGTCTCTTTCATATTTCCGTCCTTTTTTCTGGACCGCGGCTACAGCCGGCTCATTTCTCGCCACCACCCATCGCCAAGTTCCTCTTTATCTATGGCGGACTTAACGAACCTTGAAAATCACGTCTCGCGAGATGTTTACTAAAGTCTCTCGAGCTCGAGCCAGTCTCTGCTGCGCTGTGCGACCAAATTCCGAAAACGTGATAGGTATAACAAGCGCCGCTGCCACCGCTTGTGCGAGTAGCAGTTCTCCGCGGGGCAACGACGGCGTCCTGGAGAACACGGTCATTTGCATTTTACGCAGGCTTAAATGTTAATTCGCAGAGGAGATCCGCGCGCTGCGCCGACCGCGGGAGTCGATACGAAAGTTTCGAGACGACTTTAGCCGCCTCTCTACGCCTCTACCAGAGAACTTCCTCTTCCGCGAGACACGGACAACTAAATTACTAACGAATCAATTAAATCTTGCCTGTAAATCTATAAATTGCGTCAATCGACGGTAGCAATTGACGGCTGATGTAAGCGTATATGGATTGAACTAAACGGTTTACAATCTAGTAATTTCTTAACACAGTTAATAAATAGTTTTAGATAAATTTTCTTTCCTCTATGTATATTATAGCAAAGCAGACTGTTAAATATATCGCTGCTTAAAGTCTTTGGACTTTGGGCTACTTTAACTTATTTTGAAATTTCTTAAAATTACAAAAATAATTGTATAATTGGCCATCAAAAAAATAACGCGACACAATTAAATTAAAGTCAATTTTATAAAAATTGTTTTATCACAATTTCGATTGATTTAAGATTTTCTTTTATCTCTTCAATATTATGATAATTGTAGCAACTGTAGTTAAAATGCAAAGTCAATCTCGTTTGTGTTACTATTAATAAAAAATTATCAGTACAAAATGCATATGTATCTCATAATGAGATACTATAATGAGTGTGTCTGTCAGTATATTACATATTTAGTAATGCACAGTGACTTTTTATTATTTCATTATTCAACTTTGTATTTAACTTTGAATAATTTTAAACATTATATGTCAATATACTTCAGATAAATACTTGTGCATAATTAAATTCTAGAGATATCTATTTAGATAAAGTTTAGTCGTTAAAAAATCAATACTTTTGAAATTAAATTAATATTTTCCAATATATTTTCGAATCCTTTATATTCTTATTGAGATTTTACGATTCTTTACGGTGGCTTCACGTGTATTTCTTTTTTAAATAAACTTGTAATTATAATAATTTATAAATTACAATTTTTGACGTATGTTATAAAATTGAATAAATATTGTAAATTTGGATTCTGTTATAAAATATTAATAGCATCTCAAGTAAGTTAATATCCATTTATTTTATTAAAACTGTATTAAATCGCTGTCTGCCTTAAATAGGTTAATTGTAATTAGATTTGATATCTTTTCGCAACATCCCTAGGGAGATGAATTTAAAGAAGCCTCGCTGATTACCAACTAATTCTGTTTGCATGATGAAATGGTATCCTCGTCGGAATGGTATCCGCGAGATTTATGCTCGCGAACTTTTAAAAACTGCACCCGCATCGATTCGATTTCGCGTGTGGCAACGAATTAACTACTTAATCACGCGAAAGTGCGCGGGTCGCGACCGCGGATTAACCTGAATTATAAAGATAGATTCTCGAGAAAATTACACATCCCTATATACCGCGCGAGAACGATACATCGCTTTCCAATCGGAGCGGTTTAAAGATCCCCGCGCGGGATGAAATATTAAATCTGGAATACGGGAGCGGCCGATATAGCTCGCGCTCGCACTCGCGCTCGCGCTCGTAATATCGTCCGATTAATAATGGCCGGCAAACGGCCTCGGCTGGAAATATGAGAAAGCAAGCGCGAGTGGCTTCGTACGTCCGTCGTCGGCACGAAAATGCATTTAATCTACTTGCAAATTAATGTTACACGCCTGTTGTACGGTCTATTTTGGGTTGGAGCCACAGTCTGAGAGAATGGCGTATTACGCTATATATATATGCACTTTTCTAGCCGCATTTTTATACACGCGATTTTTCTTTTTCATTTTACTACAATTTCGCAAACTGCTGAATGACCCAGTTAATAGTTGTATACCTCCGACTTGTAATTAAATTTCATTACTCGTTTCCTTGTGGTATAATACATTGGAAAGCTACACGAAACGAAAAAAGTGACCTACATTTGACTTTTTCTTTAGCGAAAATGATGTAATTCGATTCTCTGTGACCCGCAATTTCATTGGGATTAAAATTTTGTCATAGCACTTGACGTTAGAGTAGGTATAAATGCTTTTAAAAGTGAATTAATAGTCAACACTCACAATTCATATCTGAGAAACTTAATCAATAATTTTAACAGATTATCTAGTAATTTCTCGAGTCAATATCTTGTTACAATTAATGATGAGATTTCTGAATCTTGTATGAGCTGTGGATCACATTTTGCAAAAGAAGAAGAATAGAAAGAAACATAAAAATTCGCATCTTTCTGCGTATATTTCATTTATAACGATCCGATATTTTCTGATAACGGATAATTTCTCGATAATAATGGGACGAGAAGAAAAATGTGGATATGATTTTTATGCTGCTCCAATTAGCATGAATATGAGTCGGTATCATTTCTCATCCACAATGTCGCGTGTTTTGTGCGCAAAAATTATTTAGGATTCCTCATACACGCGAAGCGGAAGTAACATAATCGGACAAGAGCGTGCACAGTCACTTTACTCTACAAACTTCGATTATCTATCCGACGAGAGAGAGAGAGAGGATAATTTTCGATATTATGGCATGTGTAGAGAAGGTTGATGAAGAAGAAGGAGAACGAGAAATCCCCTCCGGGATAATTTCGGGCGGCTAAGTGGCGCGTTGGCCGATCTCTTTTCTCTCCTTATTCGTTTCTTTTCGGCTACTGTGCGGAGTTTAACGTAATGGTTAGACCATGTACGACGACGAGGTCAGATCCCAATCCCGGTCACGAATGAGTCACGATCCGAGTTGTGGAGTCACGAAACTGCCGCTCGAATCTACAAGTCTCTCTCTTTCTCTCTTCCCCCCCCCCCTCTCTCTCTCTCTCTGACAAATTGGATTTTATTCGACATTGTTATATGCATTTATTTATCCATTTTCTCTTTCACATATGTATTTTGAATATATTTATGATTGCATTAAATATCTTATTAAATTTTATTAAATATATATTTAAATACAAGTTTTTAGATAAATTTTTTGTATAAACGTTCCAATAAAATATAAATTATCTGAGAAATTGATTGTGATATTTTGCTAATGTTGCTAATTATTATTTCGGAATTGTAGAATATTGCGACAAAATGCCTAATGTAGATAATGGAAATATAACAATCTAGAAATAAATGTATGAATCCATGATCGAAAACGTGCGCGATGATTAATATTAACACATTAGATATGTGTATGCAACGCTACAAGAGGATTATATTATTGGCATAGAATATCATTGATTTTTTAAACACATAACGGAAATTATTTCAATTAATTGTACAGTTAATTTCGCCAATGTTACCTAGAAATGTTGATGTAAAATTGATATTTTGTGTGGAAAATCCGATATCTCACATATATGTGCGAAAAAATTGCTCGAGATAAAACGCATAAAATACAAATTTACAGAATATTGTCCATGTTTCGTTATTAATCTTTTAGTCGAATATATGATGCACTCTAATTGTCTGTTACGAGCACACCATGTATATTTATTATCCTTCGATATTGATTCGAAACTAGTTTCCTAGTACTACATACAAAAATTATTGAATTGTGGCCAAAAACGCACTTAATAAATCTGGCTACATGTAATAATGATGCAATCGATGTTACAGCAAACGACATTATTCCGGTTATATTACTACAGAGATCTTCACATAAATAGATTTTTTTTAGTCACAGAATTATTACTTTCATATTTATGATATTATATTTATCCTACATATCTTATATCAATTATATGTATTAAGAAAAAATAAATTAGAAAGATAGACTTTAGGATAAATTTTAGAATACAACGACAAGCGATTTTAAATAAAAAAAAAATAATTTTTTAATAAAAAAATTTTAATAAAAAAGGAATCCCTCACATATCCCTGGTAAACATAAATAATCTCCAAAGTATTTTCAATATTTGTTGATTTAATATTACGCTTCACATATTTGCTTTATTCATATCTATGGAGACTCGTAAATACAGGTATGTTTTTTATAGCGCATACGCATATAAAATATACGATCCTATATGAAATTCGCGAAACTGTCGAATAGCATGAGAAAAGTGCTCGGAATCTCGGTCGAGATGCACTCGTAACGAACATGCACAATGCGATTAAGTTAATTGTCTCTTTAATTAGACGGCACACAAACTTACGTCGGCAGAACCGCCTTCTTCCCTCGCTTCTCCACCATGCGTTGCACAAATATTTAATTACAGCGTCACACGTGCGGGATTACTCGGATCTCCTTTGCATTCGTAAGACCTGGTTAATAGTATAGAGCAGAATTTGCGCCAAGTTCCTACGCACGCTCGATCTCTTTCTGTGCACGTTATAAACGAACGTCACAAGCTGTGATTGTGATTACGGTTTTCCGCAAGTTGCATGTCGCGCATGATTTGATGAACACGTGTCATCGAAGAAACATTGACGATTGATAATATATGATATATCGCTAGAATTTTTTATGTAAAATATATAATTACAAGGCAATTTATTTACAGCGCAAAATCGGGATTGACGGACTAATCGGCAGAAGCTCTGCGCACACGAGAGATATCTCGATGATAATCGATCCAAGGACAAGGGAAATCAATCGAAACGTAAGATGCCACCCCTCTCTCGTGCAAATTAGATCTGTCAAGGAAATCATATATCGCGTATACACGCACACATACGACACGCGCGCTATCGATACGCCAGGGGGTGGAAGTAACACGACGGCGCAGGAGATTCGACATATCCGTTAATCCGTCCGGCTTAATGCGCGTTCGAGGACCAGGAGGATACAGGAATCGGGGGATACGTCCAAAGGCGGTGTGAGACCCGCTTTCCCGCTGACCATTGGGGGTAATTATCGTGGCTCCGGGGAAAGCTCTCTCACGCTCAAATCCCTTCCGGCTAGCCAGCTCTAGCGCGGAGGCCCGCTAGTGCACGTCAATCCTTGACCCTCTTAAAAAGGTCGGCATCGCTGTGCATACGCTGTACCGCGGCGGCAATAACCGGTAATTTTTCTGCAGCAAGATCCTTGCAGCGCAGCAGCCAACCGTTGCTCACTCCTTTCGTTCCCCTGACGTCTTCACCCCTTTCGCCGCTCCAGGGGTGCGAGTCGACGAATAGACATAGCTCTCCTTTCGGAGGCGAACCGCGCAAAAGTAGAGTCAATTGTGAAAGCGGGGTCACTCGACAGCCGTGATCGATTTTTTTTTTGCACAAGAATCGTAGATCGAGAGAACGTGACTCGTTTCTCGCGAACAATACGCATTGCGCGCGGCGAAAAATATTTTATTGCAGTGCGTGTGCAAAGCGTCTCGAATGTAGTAAATTATTTCTTATTTACAGACTATTTGCAGTTGATTTGTTTAAAAATATATTAACGTAAATGTATACGTATAATAGCGATATTAATGTATCATCATGAAGCAATTATATCAACAGATTAGAGTGATTAGATCTTATACATTATGTTCGAAGCTCGTGAATTCAAAATTAATATAAGCAATAACATATGATCAATCAATGCATTAATTCTCATTCTATAGAACTCTCATTCTATAGTATTATATATATTTTATAAGTTACGAAAATGTGGATGCTAGCGCTTTCTTGGGATGTTCTTGTGAACTACTTCACGCGTTATACATATGATACGTCCACGTCCAAGTTATTTTTGAAATTTTAAGTTTTTTAATGATTTGCGTGAACTATTTTTTATTTTAATGAAAAGTTCTAATTCCAATTTATCTATTTGCACATAATTATTCATGTTTCTAGTACTAAGTATTTTTGCTTTATTTATTACCTTTATGTCTTTTTCATTTTTTTCTATAATTCCATTTCTTTTTTTTACAATTTTATGTTTCAATGATATAAAATTCATGCATTTTAAATGCAATTAAAAAATTATAGTATTAGAGATTTTATTTAATGAATATTTTGAGAAATACATATGATTAATAAACTTTCTTTTATAATACATATAATTTTTCTAGTTTAGCAAATCATAATTAAACGTTAGCATTGATTTAAAATTTGTATTTAAAACTTTCTCAATTCATTTACTTTCACTCCATTTATTTTACATTAATTATAATAATAGTTAAAAATTCCTTTGATATATGCAATTTGCATCCGATTCGCTCTCTAATCTCTCAAGAGATTATTGCAACATCCAAATTCATAAAAATCAGCTAGGCTATAGGAATAATAAATGTATTTGAAAGGATTAATAAATGTAAGTCATTAAATATGCTTTGCATTTGAAAATAAAGATCGTGATATTATGTATTCATTTAAATTCATCTTAAAATTTCATCTTAAAATCTTAATATATTGCGATTAATCCGGCGCGACAGGATCACGCGAAGCATAAAATCCAAATTACGTGATGATATAGCGAATCCTCTTCCCAAAGTTTCTGTTCCCGCCCCGCAAATTACATCCGTGAGGTTTTGTCATAGAGATCGAGCTATCTAATTGTAAGTCTTGCACCTTGACACGAAAATGTTGTTTTTAGTGAGCAGGCAAGCCGCTGCTATTAATGGTAAATAGACGAGACGTTGATAAGATGGAAACTAATTAGATCGTGGAGGATGTCGGCGATGTTTAAAATTCATGTAGCTATTGACCTTAGAGAGGAGGAGTTCAAAGAGCAGTGATTACTGGTGTTAAGAGCTACGGATGGAATGTATAAAATACGAGCTATATACGTTGTGACGACTTCAGGCGCATGACTGAGCATAATAAAATATATATCTATAGAATCATATGTATATCAGTTTATAATTTTAGTAATTTTCCATCGTATAATCTCTTTCGAACAAACTGCCACATAAAATATTAATGATTAACTCATACACATATATCAAATATTCGATCTGTTTTTTTAAACTATATTACTTATTTCCTTATTATTGTATATTTATTTTTTTAAAATTACTATAACTTATAGCGTTTAAATTATTATTGATAAGAAATTAATTTTATATTGTATTTAAATAATTTAATTTTATGTAATTCTATTTTTTTAACATATATATCTCAAGTACAATAGCTTTATCTTTATAAAATTATGAACAGAAATTATAATTTTGTGAAAGAGTATTCGTATAAAAATATTTTATATATACCATATTATAAAATATAAAATTTATAACAAATCGTATTATTTTAAAAATAATTGTATACGGGATATATTTTTTTTACCACCACCATGAAATTATGTATATAACGTATATTGTGGTAGATAATCTAATCTAATTATTAATGAAAAATAAAATTAAAATAGGTTTGAGAAGCAAATTATGTGACATATTTTATATTAATAATCATCAATTCATACAAAATCGTACACAAAAATTATTAAAAATAAAATATATTAAAAATATTTTACATGTTTTACATAATAAAATATATTATCGAAATATGTTTATGTCGAGTTTGAAACATATAATGGTAAAATTAACAGTAGAGAGATATTAACAATTATTTTATAATTTATAAAAAATATATATCTTTTTTTTCAAGAAATCATATTTCTTTCTTTTTAACATTATAAATATTCTTTGCGATAAACATTTTTTTAGTTCCCAGAAAATTACTTCGAGTATAATTCATTTTGAACATTTATAATTTAAATTGATAATTTAAGAAAACAAGCTATTGAATTATTGTTTAAAATTAATCGTTTCGACTTCTTAACGGCGTCAATGTCTTATGCGGTGAAGAAATGGGGGTCGAATGTACCATTCCTACATTTTCCTTGCCTTTCCAATGAGATCGTTTTTCTTCCGCTTTAACCTTTTCTATAGTCTTTTGTTGTTGTTCGATTAATTTGTTCTTGGTATGTAAGTCCTAAAAAAAAACCATGATCTTTAATCAGAAAAAACAGAAGCGAAATATACAAAAATACAAACAACACATACTACACATACATTTTTATTTATAATTACAATAAATTCAATATTATATGCTCTATTGGACAAATAAAAACGCAATGTAGAGTTGCTTAAATATAAAAATATTTATTTCTATAAAAAAACTCTATAAAACATGTAGCTAGAAAATATTGATATATTATTTACATAATATTAGAATATATACATAATTCATATTCCTGCCAAAATTAAATGTTACATGTTATTGCATTACTGATTAGATAAACGTGCAAATGATGCTGTTCTGCATACAAGCGTTGTTTTGTTTAATGATATTGTAGCGCTAATTCCATTAAAAATAGTAGTAACTTTAAAGCAGAGAATATATATAAATAACAGCGAAAATTGTAATAAAAAATGCGAACGCAACAGAGAACCTATCCGAACGCACCTGTTCCAAATGATAAATCTTTTCTTTTAGATGAGTAACATGTTTGATCCTTTGTTTAGGATTCTGATGACCGATCATTTCAGCATACTTGTCACTAATTTCCTCATAATCCTTCTTGAGATGAGCGTTTGATTCCATAATTTTCTTGACTTTTCTGTACAGAATAAAATATATTGTTATTTATTACTTTTTAAATTCGTAATCAAAAATTCTTTTATATTAAATTGTTATTTAAATTATACTAACTCTTCGGCCTCTTCGCGTCGCATTTTTTCTTCTTGGAACTGTTGCGTAAGTATATTTTCTAAAAATTTCCATTTGATTCGTTCTCGCCCTAATAATAATGTGGTTTCCTGAAACATAATAATTTATTCTTTTATAAAATTTAATTTCAACATAACGCATTCTTTAACTATTTTCAAAGAAAATTATTACCTCTGCATTTTTTTCTTTTGTTTCAAACCATTCCACTTTTTGAGAGATCTCTTCTATCCGACAATTTGTCTATAAATGTTTCAAATCCATAATTATTAATTTATAACAATTTATAACAAGCTAGGATTCATCATTTTGACAAACTTACCATTTCTCCCGCTATTTCACGTATTGTCACTAGATCTTTAAATAATTGATTACTTATTTCTAATTCTTTTTCTTTGCTCTTTAATTGTTCTAAGAGTTTGCTATTTGCTAACTCCAGTCGCGAAATATCAAGCTCTTGAGCATCAATTTTTTCCTCGAAATCAAGTAATAGATTCTGTACGTCATCAAATTTTTTACTCATTTCATCAAGTTGTTTCCTTAGCTAGAATTTGATAATTCAAATTAAGAATTTAAAAATATTTTAATAGTGTAAATTGTAAAAAATGTTTTGTAAATTGTATAAAATGAGTAGAATGAATGCAATTACCTCATCATTTTGTAAAGACTTCTGCTCAAGATCATTTTGAAGTCTTGAAACTTCTGTTGTTGCTTTTAGTTTCAGGTCCTCAATTTGTGTTTCAAGAATAGATTTTATTGATTCAAACTGAGCTAAATTATTAGTCTGATGTTTATCTACCAGCTCTCTATGAGTATCTAATTCTTCCATGACAGTATGAATTTGTTCATCAGCCAATTGTGAGCTACTACGCATTGCACTAAGCAAATCTCTGTATTCACGTATGCTATCTTCATTATGTTTTAATTCATCTTGTAGTTTTTCCACTTCAGCATTACTTTGTGCCAAACGTTTAGAAAGCGCGATAACAGATGCTTCATTTTCAGCCATTATTACTTCGAATCTAAACGTTTATATAAAGTGTTTAAAGTAATCAATTTATACTAATTGTTTATACTAATTGTTTATTAAAATGAAATAAATTAGAGATTAAATATTATAAAAAATGAAATTTGTCAATATCAACCTTTTTTTTCTAGCAACCATTTCAGCTCCTTCGGATCTGATGTGATCCTTTAAAGCTCTTAATTCTTCCTTTTTCTCCGCTAATTCTGTTTCTGCTCTATCTAACTCAATTTGCAAACTTTGACTAAAACTTTCCTAAAAATCATAATTTATTATAATTATATTGTAAACAGCAATATATTATACACAATGTCAGCAATTGTAACGCATAACCACCTGAGTTTCTATAGACATTCTAAGTTCCTCAAGTGTTGCGGAGAGTTTAGCGATTTCAGCATCTTTCTGTGAAAGTTTCTCATCTAATACAACATGCTCCATTTCCATGCGAGCTAAACATGCTTTGTATCTATCATTGGTAAGTCGCATTTCATCTTCCACAGTGTTTTGTGCCTCTTTTATCATGGCATTGACCTAAATACAAAAATTTTACTTTAATATTCATGAAGATGTATTATTCCATTATAATAAAAATTTTCTCAAACATCACAAGAAACTAAAGACAACATCTACAGACAAGCATCTACAAAGAGTTCACATATCATTTACATAAATTACAATGTCTGAAATAAAGAATTGGACTTCACACAAGTACTACAAGACAAAAAGCAATTAATCAGTGATGTTTGATATTTTACGCACGTGTAGTCCGCTTACTTTCGCGTCGCATTCAACAATCACTTTTTTCACTTGTTGCTTGCTTTCGGTACGACATGCCATCAACGCATTTCTTTTATCAGATTCTGCATTTTTTATTATTTCTTCAGCATGTTTCATTATTCGTTTAGTTTCCTCTTCGATTCTTTTAGTGGTAGCTTGTTTTAATTCATCTAATTCTTTATCCTTCATTACTGTTATCTAAAATTATATAAAATAATGTATAATTATTAAACATAAACAACAGAAAAATCTATTACAATTTAATTAAAATAAAAACTTTTATATCACATTGTACATTTTCTAGTTTTTTCAAATATTCCTCTTTGGTGTCTTTTATCAATTGCTCTAATTGCAACTTATCCTCAATATGCACATTTTTCACATCATTCAAATTCTTTTTATATTTTTCTACCATAATAACATGTTTCTCATTTGAGAGCTCCAATTCAGTTTGAGCTTGTTGCAATCGTTGGCTGACCTAAAATAAATCAGAAAATTAAATTAAAATTATACAATTAAAATAATTTTATATAGCATTTATATGTCTATACACAGAAGATATATACATCTTTATAAAGTCTTTGAATATCTTTTAATTCCTGGATAAGAAAAGAATTTGTTTCTTCCATTTCATTTGCTTTCGCTGTTGCTTCCGATTCACATGTCTTATAAATTTCATTTTCTGTTAATAATTTCTCCTTTTCTTCCAGGAAGTCATTTTTCAGATGTTGAATTTCTTTTTCGTGTTTGTCAGTGAGATCGGAAATTCGTTTAATGGAATCATCGGCAAGTTTCTCGTATTCTGTTTTAAGTTCATCTAATTCACACTGCAGAGCAGACAACTGAGCTTGAAGTTCCAAAATAATATTTTGTTTTATTTCCAATTTAGATTCAAGATTAGATCGTTCTTGAGTCAAATTCATTATACAAACATCGAATTGACTTTTTTCTTTTTGTAATAATTCAATTTCGATATCATGATCATGTTTTATTGTTTTTAACGTATTTAGTAGTTCTTCAATGCGCGTTTCAAGAATTTCAATCTATTGAAAAAGAAATATAGTTTTTAATATAGCAATTTATATATCATATTTTATAGAATAAAATAATCTGATTTACCGTTGTTTTATTTTCTTTTTTTTTGGTACACAATTCAGCTTCTAATGCTATTATTCTTCTTGATAGTTCCGTTGCACGATTTCTGAGTTCTGTTTCCATTGTCTTTCGTGTTGAGATCTCTCGTTCTTTTTCTTCAGATGCTTCTAATAATTGAGAGCGAAGCAATTGCACTTCTGTTTGATGTTTATCATCATGATTGTTTATTATTTCCTGTTGCAACTTAGCCTACAAATTAAAAAGCATAACAATATTCATATTGGTAAATAATAAATAATTTTTCCAATTTGGAATATTATATTAACCATTGCTTCTATATCTTCCGTATGTTGCATTTCCATTTCATTTTGTTTTTTGTGTAGCTTTTCTATCTCGGCTTCTAATTTCCGCATATCTTCCTTCATTTCTTCTATATGTTTCTCATGTTCCTGTATGGTTTTGTCTTTATTCAAACATTCTACTCGAAGATCCGCAAGTTGTTGATTGGATTCATATTTCATATTTTGATTTTTAATTAAAATTGTTTGTCCATTTTTTGTCTTAGATTCTGTTGGTTTCGTGATCAATCGTTTCCGCGGCAACTGAGGCTATATAAAAATATCATTATAATTAATTATTTATAATTATAAATTAAATATCATTATAATTAATTATTTAAATTTAATATTTACATAATGTATCCAAGTTCAATAATATATTTTAATATAGTAATATATCTCTGTAAAAGATGATATATTTTTTTGCTCAAATATACTTTGAGTTATGATATCAAAAACCAAAAACTAATATTTAAAAAAAACCATATATATTAATTAATAACAATATACACAGTTATTTCTCTCTCTAGTTTTTCATTTTAGTTATTCACTATTTCTATTTCATTCATTATTTCTATAAATAAAGTTTTACAATTTAATCGATCACAAAATTTATGATAAATCTTACTATTCGAAAAAGAGAAGACGTGGTTGTATTACTCTTTCCTGATATACTCGAAGCATTATATTCCGCACTGCTTGTGCTTCTAACATCTAAAAATCTATCAGATTTTTCGATAACAGATCCTTTTACTTTATTATCGAATTTCGGATCGTAAGCGCCTGGCGGAGGTGCTTCGCCTGTAAAATTGTAACATACTTTGAATAATATATACAAAATAATAATTTAAAATCTATTCAAATAATTATTTTCTTAGTGTTACAAATATTAATATTATCATTATTAATCTGCCGATATAATTTACATGTACATATTTGGTTACTAAGTCAATATTTTAATGATTTAAAAGAAATTACATATTATCTCTATAATGATTTATTGTGCATGTGCAAGAGAATTAGAACTATCAAGATAGAAGATTAATAGAAAATATAGAAGATTCATTCATCAATAATAGAGTGGGTGAATTTTTATTTATTTCAATTTCTAGTTATTTTCGAGATATATATGTAATTCAAATTTGGCAGATTTATAAGAATTTCTTGTAAGTAATAATATTGTAATATCATGCAACCCCGCAATGCAAGGACAAAAGAGAGGAAAGACGCGGTTAAATAGACTTCCTTTTGGCGCGCATGGGGAGAAACAGGCGCAAATGGGAAAGACAGCTGTTCTAAATGCGAGGGATACATGGGATCTCTATGGGGTCGTAGAATAACCAGGTGTAGTCGACAACGTTCCCACCCCATCACTCCATCGTGTCCTACGTGATAAAACATCTTCTTTTATTGTCTGGCGCGCATTCTCTTTACAGAGATCAATATATGAAATTTAAAAATCCCGAAATCGAAAGAGACAGAACGATATAAAGTATTAAAAAAATGAATATTAAACATGATATGCATCATATGTAACAGAAATTTGTATTTGTTTTTTATATTGTTAAAATAATATAATAATTTTTTATTTGATATATATAAATTATATTTTATATATATAATGAAGAGAAAATTATTAATATATGTACAAAACTGCAACTTATTTTATGAATGTATTTTATATGGAAAAATACAAAATGAATAAGTACATATAACTATACATACATGTAAGAAAACGACATACAAATAAATTTTTTATAAATATTTTAACAAATATTTTTTTTATAATTTCTTCATCTTTTATACAGAAAATATAATTTTTAAAATTTTTATTAAATATGTAGAATAATGTAATATAATCATAATAATATCAATTTCGCGTTGGAATGTTAATTTGTAATAAAAAACTTGAAAATTATCGAACATAATGTATAATAAATGTATGTACATGCATAAGATATAATACAAAGTATAATATAAACAATTTATCTATTCAAGTTTCATGTTTCATATGATATGCATATATGAGTCTCTCTCTCTCTCTCTCTCTCTCTGTCTTCTTTTTCTCCCTTCCCTCTCATTTTCTCGATAGTTTTCCCGCCACATACACATACATACATATCCGACATTACATACATTAACACAATTAAAATGTAAAATATATTAAGATATATTATAAAGACGAATTTCATGAAATTTTGAGCTCATTTTAAAATAATTCCAATAAAAAAAATTTGTCTTATCAAATAATTTGTGCATAAACATATCGATTAGATATTTCATCAACAAAAATCTTACAGTGAAACTGTATTCTATGAATATTTAAAATAAAATTTTAAAATAAAATTTTGCAAGAGTTGAAAACCACATTATATAGCTACATTATTACATATATCAATAAGAATACGTTCAAGAAAAAACCGTCATTATGTATTATATGCATTATATATTTTAGGGCGTTCGAAAATCGCGAGCAATCAAGAAGAATTCCATAAAATTCCATCATTTTATACATATAAAAATAAGGAATCTCGCTGAGAAGAGAATTAATCAAGCCACACACTGTGGAAGCAACAAGTCTTTGTTACTTGTTATAACAACTTACTCCCAAGTTCGTTGAACCGCTGTATCCTTGCCTTAGAGAAAGACATATCGTCTTATTGTGCGTTTCTTCTTTAATCGACAATCCAAATTCGCTCTGCGAGATTGTCACCGCACACGATAAGAGGCAACGGCCGTTGGCACCGACCAACGTTTTTTTTTCCTTCACCGTTGATGGTCCCCTGCGTCACGCACCCCGCTTATGCGAGGAACAAGATGCGAACCGCTCTCGAACGCGCCGAATACTGCTCGCTTCCAGGACCCTTGATGTGGCTTGTCGCATCGGTTATATTCAATTTAAAATGACGGTTATGCGACCGCGAGGATGATGGCGATTCGTCGCACAAGTCGCATGCCCGTCGCGCAAGCGACCAATCAGGCGGCGGATCTACTTGTTTGCATCATCCCATTGTACGTTGCTTGCACTTGGCACGTGCAAATTGCACTACGTCCTCTAAAATATGCTATTGTTAGATAAATTATTGGAGAGATTATTGTATAATTATTATTTATTATATATTATTACTAGAATTAAGAATTTACACTGTACATTTTCTTGCGATGTCCTTTTTTCTTGTTTTTTTTTTCTCTTTTATTTCCTTACAAATACTATAAACTTTAAATTGGAAAGATTTCATGTAAAGTGAAAGCGAAATAAGAATATTTGTTTACTTTTTACGCTCTTTAATAATTATAAACGAAAATATATCACAAGTATAAGCACTGTTAAAGGAAAAACGAACACGCGGAAACATTAAATGCCACGTTGTATTCGAGGGACCAATAAGGCTTCGCATGATATCGCGTGCGATTACCAGTGGTTGCTAACACTGGCTGATGCGTGTCGTGTCGCCGGTACAGAGGAGACGTTTCCAGTTGTAAATTTCGTGGCATTAATCCTCGGTTCACGATGAAGTATAAACTTTATATTACACTTCTGGTTCTATTTGTTTTGAGCTTAGGCTATGTCACCTGTCAATATAGAACGAAAAACGTGAGAGTTCTTTGATATGTTTTTCATCTTTATTTGCAAATCAAGATTCCATGTGTTTCTGAAATGTTAACTTTTTCTTCTTTCACAGAATCAAGGTTCCTCCTTGACGGAACGTGTGCAACAATTGATGGAAATGGCTATGAAGAGATCAGTATTGAAATTTAATGGGCCCAAATTTAAGCAGTATATTAAAGCCACTCCGAGAAATTATTCTATTATAGTTATGTTTACTGCCATGGCACCTCAGAGGCAATGTCAGATTTGCAGGTAAACTGACATGAATATGCTAGAGCGACTGGATACTACTAAATAATTGATTTTGTCTTAATTTTAGGCATGCTAATGATGAATTTACAATAGTAGCCAATTCATTCCGATATTCTCAAGTATACTCCAACAAGTTATTCTTCGTCTCTATTGACTTTGACGAAGGATCAGATGTGTTTCAATTAGTAAGCAAAAAATATTATTTACAATAATGTAGGAGGATATTATTAATACAGAGTATATTATAGATGAGACTAAACACTGCGCCAGTGTATATGCATTTTCCACCCAAAGGGAAACCAAAGGTTGCTGATACTATGGATATCCAAAGAGTAGGATTTGCTGCAGAAGCGATAGCGAAATGGATTGGTGAACGCACAGATATTCAGGTAATTCTATTATAGTTCTTCTGACATTGCATTGAAATAATGCTGATATTTGTCATAATATTTATTTTATTTAATTTTGTAATGTTTTATTATTAATTATAGATCAGGGTATTTAGACCACCAAATTACTCCGGCACAGTAGCAGTAGTAATGTTGCTAGTTCTCATAGGAGGTTTCCTATATCTGAGACGTAACAATTTGGACTTTATTTATAACAAAACCATTTGGGGCCTTGGTGCTTTGGTAAGTATATATATATATATATATATATATGTGTGTGTGTGTGTGTGTGTGTGTGTGTGTATGTGTGTGTATACATATCTTTTGTTATTTTTCAAACAAATAATCTTGATTCACTTACATTTTCAGTTCTTCAGTTTAACTATGACATCTGGACAAATGTGGAATCATATTAGAGGTCCACCTTTTATTCACAAGTCACCAAATGGAAATGTAGCTTATATTCATGGATCCTCTCAAGGACAGTTTGTATTGGAGACCTATATTGTTATGGTTATAAGTATCCTTTTCCCTAAATCTCAGAAATTACTTAATTTAAAAGAAAATCTATATAAAGAAAATTAAATTTTTACCTTATATTATAATGTGGACCTTAATTGTATATGAAAAGATGGAGCAGTAGTGTTAGGAATGATTCTAATGACTGAGGCTGCAGCTCGTAAAGGTGACGTTAAAAAGCGCAGGATATTTGCTGTGATAGGTTTGGGATTGGTCGCAATTTTCTTCAGTCTTCTCTTATCAATATTTAGGAATAAAGCACAAGGTTATCCATATAGGTATGTATGTAAAAAATACTTTATCTGAATATAAATTAATACATTAATAATATTTTATGATGGAGCCTGGTGATATTGTTGGATATATTGAAAAAGATATCAATATCATCATGCTTCATGTTTGAATTATTATAAGAATTGTTGTTACATTTGTATCCCAGGGAAGAATAATTTGTCTGTTTCAGTTTATTGTTCAAATAACTAGATACGTATCGAAAAAACATTTTCATACATTTGTCATTATAAATAATTATGCGAAACATAATTTGATATGAAATATCAAGAAAATCAAGATTTTACACAAATAAAGGGTAAAAAATTATATATTGTTATAAATGTTGCATCAATATCTTGATTATATGATTGTATGTAATGTAAAAAAATTCATATATAATACTATTGTTCTTTAATGAAATAAGCACCATTATGTATTTAAATATGTATTTAATTAAATATGTAATAACTAATACAGTATTTATTTAAATATGTATTAACTAATGCAGTGATGAAAATTTATTGAACCTTTTAATTTAGTGTGCATACTATTTACTAATAAATAATATGATGTGTGTGAGTATATATATATATACATCATTTATGAATTGACATGTTGTCTTCAGGAAATAATATAAATGCTTAGTTTCTCTTCTCCTACCAGATATAAGGAATTAAAATCTTCCTTTCTTTTGGATAATTTTTGAAAGTTTTATGATACCACTCATGAGACAAAATTGCACATCCCAACTAAAAGAAAAATTATTTCTATTAGCTTCCATCAAGGAAAGAAAAAAATACATAAAGCTAGTATTCTTACCTGATTTATTATAACCCAAATAGTGATGTAGTGGAATGTAGAAGCTTGCCAAAGAATTACGGATAACATTATATATATAATTATTTCTGTAAATTGCAATGGATTTGATGTATATTCGAATAATCCACCAAATGGTATCTTGTGCTCTTTAGTTACAACATCGCCGTGTTGATTCTTACGTAATCCCGCAAGAATAAAATTACTTTTAAGTTGTACATATGATGACCATAAACATATAAGCATACAGATTAATTCTATAATTGTTAATTTGTGCAAGAGTAAACTTGCATGCGAATCTGCAATTAAAACAATATATATAAGTCGTAATAAAAGATAGTATAATTGCAAACTTTCAAAAATATACCTTTATCAAATCCTTTAGATTCGCCTATAATACACAGGAATATTCCTGCATAATGTATAAAGCCAATGAAATAAGTGCTCAAATTCATTTTTTGATCGCTAAACACACTAACATAAAGTGTCTCGTAAACTCTTTTCCAACATTGTATATTTAATATAATGATGGCTAGAATTACATTTTCTGCTGGTACTAAAAGAATAATCAATTCTCTATAGTTACATGCACATATACACACACATACACATATAAATTTTGAAATAATTAATAATATAATGTATATAAAGAAAAGAAAGACATACTTAAAGGTTTTCTGGATGCTCCTAATAACATATCCAATAATGTAAATACAATTTCAGGTATATTCCCATTAAACAGGTATTTATAAGCAATTAAACAAAGTGTAACAGTCGATGTTGGTCCAGAAAAAATATAAAAATGTTTAAACCATCTAAAAGAAAATTTAAAGATAATTGCTATTTATTTATTATAAAGTATATTATTGTATATATATAAGTATTGTTAAAAACATTTGTACAGATTATTTGTATATAATAAGTACATTTCATATAAAATATATGCATGTACATATTTCTTTAATTTATTCTCTAACACTTTAAAAAAAATATTTTTAACAATATAATTTATTATTAAATATTATACAATGAGAGAAAAAAGGGCAGAGAAAAAGAGAAAGAGAAGGGAGGGATGGAGAGGGAGAGAGAAAGAGAAAGAGAGAGAGGAATTATATAGTAATTATCTGAATTATCTTTATGATATTTTACTTTTCAACTTACTTTTTAGGCACATTAATATTTATTAGACACGTTAATATCGTATTATGCATCGTTGCAGTAGCATACTTGCTATAGTGAATATCTGTTATCGTTAGAGGTAAATAAGCATGTATATACTTAGATAGTAATCCACATAATACTATAATCGATGCAAGTGCAATAAAAACGTAACGTATAATATTTATATCCATTCTTCGTTTATATTTCTTAACGTTTATCAATAAACTGGTCAGATAACTGCAAATATCACGATCTCATGTTAATTTTTCTAAACAGACTTTCTAAATAGAAAGTAATCTTGGCAGATGTTCCAATATTCCACTTTTTGTGTAATACAGATTATTGTGACAATGGCATACAATAGGCTTTAACAAAATTTTATAGACGTATTGTATGCATAAACGTATTGTATGCAATAACGTATTGTATGCATAAACGTATTGTATGCAAATATTTAATTAAATAATGACGCCACTAAATTTATCAACTATATTATATGAATGAACTCAGTATTGCTAAAAATTTATTTTGGTACTTTATCAATTTTCATATTTCTATTTGGTATGAGTGGCATAGAAAACGAAAAAAAAGATATAATAATTTACATGAGATTTCTATAATTTATTAAATAAATTCATTATAAAATTAAAAATTACACATTCTTGTCTTTTAGCATTTTTTATTATTCTTTTCCATGGTATTGTGTGTTTAGTAGATAAAATATAAAATATATTTAGTAGATATATATATATGTGTATGTATATTTTATGCGCGCGCGCGCGCGCGCGTGTGTGTGTGCGTGTGTGCGCGCACGCATAAATAAAAGAATTTTAATATATGTATGCATTTAACAAATTGTTAAACATGATAAGATATATTTAAGAAAAGTAAAATTTTATTAGTCATGATGGACGGATAGAGTTTCATTAAGAATCCAGTGCGTTTTTAACTTATTACGTAACATATTTAGTAAGATTTCATCAAATTTTAAAAACTTTAAAAAACATTTTGTAGCATTTTGTAAAAAACAATCATTTTTTACAAATATTTATAACATTTAAAATCTTGATAATTGTCAATCTGCATTTTCTGGCTTCCTCGAATTTGTGACAATCAATAAACTTATGATTTAATGTAAAAACTTAGAAAATTTACTTCCAGCAAACATGATGACATCTAAAAACGTCTTAATGACGTATATGTATATGCGTTATTAAAACGTTCTTAAGATCGGAATTTATAATCCGATTTTATATTCAAGATCATCTTACGTAAGGTTTGAAAATGTTATACGGCTATTTCATTGGCTGAACAGAATCTTAAGACGACCTAAAACCAGACAATCTTGAATATCGGCCTAAAACGTCTTTTAAAACAAAAATGTAATATATATATATATATATATATATATATATATATATATAAATTCTAATTATCAACTCAACAATTACATATTTTTAATTAAAAAAGAGAGAGCTAATTAAAGCTTGGATGCAATAAGTGGTGCATGATAATAATCTTTAATATGCTAAAAAGCGTATATACACAATGTAATCTAAACTTTTTGATTTCTTATAAATCTTCAATAGTAACATATATATGGTAAAATAAATATTAAATCAAATTAAACGAACAAAAATAATCGAGTCAAAAATACAGAAAATGCGGACGGTATAAATAACATAAAGGACGATGTTATGGACATAACAAAAAATACAAACATAATTTGAAAATAAAATAAATAAATGATAAAAATACCCAAACAATACCAAGTCGATTGTTAGTTGACTATCACTGACGAAGAACTGAGAAGAAAGACTACTACTAGTCTGAAGTCTACTTCAAATTTAGATTCAATATCAATTTATAATCGAGTCTCTAATAGCCAATAATGTTAGTTGACTATCACTGACGAAGAACTGAGAAGAAAGACTACTACTAGTCTGAAGTCTACTTCAGTCTACTTCAAATTTAAATTCAATGTCAATTTATAATCGAGTCTTTAATAGCCAATAAATCGAGCTACTAACATCAATAAATAAGTCGTATATTCGATAAGAAAATTTTCGCTCTGTAAGCTCTGTAACTCTGTAGCTCTTTCTTTTTTATTCTACAATGCTACATAGCTTATAGAAATACAGCGTTATAGAGCATTTTTACAGAATAGATCCATAAATCGATCTAGAAAATTATAAAATATAAGTCAATTTAATATTACACAACGAATGAGTAATATTATCTATATTACTCATTTGTTGTGTAATATTTTTGAAACATTGCAATATTCTATTTGAAATATTAACAATATTACAGAAATATTTCACAGCCATTTGTGAAATATTTCTGCAATGTTTCAATGTCCGTAATTATTTCAAATGCAATATTTTACTAAAAGATTTCAGTAATATCCCGATAATATTATTAAATTACTTTTTTCGTTTTTGATAGATGAATATCTTCGAAAACTTATAAAAATATATAAATACAAATAGCAATATTTTAATATACATAATAAATGGGTTATTTCCCATCTATCCATTTAATTTCAAATAATCTGTTTAATATTCTGAATCACAACAGATTCAGATTATTAAATAAATTATTTTAAAATAAGTATTTATTATTAAATAATTATTTTAAAATAAGTTCAGAAATTAAACTAACTACAAAAACTACTACATGCACACATGTACATGTACTATAATGTGTGAAAATTAATAATTAAAATCGAATCAGTATGTCCTTGTTCTTTATCGCACCTTTACATATGTAAAATAAGTTACTGTGTTTAGGCTTTAATTGGCTCTTTCCCATTTTTTTATAAATAATTTTTATTTATAGAATCTCGCATTTTTTTAATATTAAATTTTAAATTAATTAAATGATTAAAATATTAAAATATGATTATTCTTCGTTTTAATTTATAATAGCTTATCATTAATATTATGATTAAACCTAGCAAAAAAATATATATACTCATATTAGAAGTCTCTTAAACTGTCGCTGTGTTGCTGTCCTTGTCGCTGTCGTTGTGTAATTTCGCGCAGACTTCTATTCTAAAAATTAGACTATTATTTTGCAGAAAATTGAATACGTCGCATACGCGTACAAATTCCTGAAAACCGTAGCTACGTTTGTTTCGGTCGCACGTGGGTTTCCGAAACGCTTCGACATTTGGTACCGATTTTGCCGTTTCGCATATATTTTTCTTCGAATCTTGTGGATGTACTAATATAAAGTACATTTTACCATCAAATGGCCAATCTAAAGCATCATCATTTTCCGATTTCATAAAATGCAAAACCAAAGATAGATAATCTGAATTTTGAGAGAATATATTAAGTCTGGCGCAAATTTTATATCCGTTCGGATTCGTGTAAAAATCCGGACTATAAAACATTTTTGTTAATGGATCGTTGAGCATAGCTGTAAGTTTCTCTTGAAAGGAGTCTAATCTCCATATGCAAATTCCATTACAATTTCGTAAACACATAGTTTCAAGTTTATTTTTCTGATTAGATACCATTATAGAAAGTGCCTGATTTTCCTGTTGCAAAGCTATTATCTTTTCATACAGATTTCTGAAAGTAAAGTTTACAATTTACATATTTTAATATAATATCAAAAAACACATTTCTATATATAATTATATTATTTTAGAATACTTGACTAATTGTTGCCAATCGGGAGAAGGTTCCCTATCTGTAATCTGTGTCCCATTCTTTGGAGTTGGATCCCATAATTTTGATTCCGCAGACATTGCATTATTGGTATTTTGTACTGCTGAACAATTATAAGATACATTAAAAGAAAATTGGAAATTGGAAAATTGGAATAATTTATATCTTTGACTTTATATGAAATACCTTGAGATTCTGGAAGATTCCTTCTATAAGTGCATTGATTAATATGCGTTTCTACATCCACAGGAGATAATTCTACTTGACAACCAAATTGCTGATAACGACAAGTTATACGTTTCTCAGATATCTCTCTACTAGTATAAAGATCTCTAAAGAGATTTTCAGATTTTAAGGGTTGATTATCAACTGGACAAACACCTCCTTTCCTGATTGACATAAACAATTAACTTATAAGCAATAATGAAATGATCTTAATATATAAATGATTTTGAAATAAAATACAACTTACTCAAGCCAATTACGAATGCATTCAGAACAGAATTTATGTCCGCAGGATGTTAAAACTGGGTCTTGTAACCATGATAGACAAATGGAGCATTCAAATCTAGGCTCTACATAGCCTTTGATGTTCTCATGACACTGTGTGTAACGAAATTGCAAATGGATTTATAAATGCATGACCATATTAGTATAAACCTTTAAAGCAAGTGGCATGATATTGTGAAAATTAGTAATGAAAATTAGTTTTGTCTGATAATCAAAAATTAATTAATTTTTTTATTTAACACACAATCATAGAAAAGAAGAATGCTAACAATCTTAAATTATTATAAAAAAAAATATATCTTAGTTTTTACAAAAAATACATACAATTACACTTTCCTCAGGGATCTTATTGTTAGTAGATGTAGTCGCATTATTTGGTGTTTCCATCTGCAATAAGATTGTTAAATTTTTTTTTAGATAATAAATAAATTTTAAAAAATGATTACAAAATAAAAATATAGTAAATCATTTTCATTTTACATGAGTAGAATATTTTATCATAGAATAAAACTTACTGAAAATAATTTGATATCATAGAATTATGAAAGCACACTGTTTTGATATTAAAGATTCGGTGTGATTATTATAGCATTGTAACTGATTATAAATTAATGGAAAGTGGAAGTTTGCTTTTAAGCATCTTAAAGGTGGAAGCACATAAAATTGCAGAAACCTTCAAAGGCAGAAGCACAACCATAAGCAGGAAAATTGATTGGTTTATTTTCTTATGCATATATTTGTGGACCAATCAAATTCCTTATGCTTATGGTTATGTGCCTATGCAATTTTATGTGCTTTAAGCTTAAGCCGGATCTATATTAGTCGTATCGTGACGTCGCAAGTCGTAAGGGCCTCCGCACAAGTGTTCCGTATGACATTAAGGCCGCAGCACACACTTTTGCATAAGCGCATAACCATAAGCATAAGGAAATTGATTGATCCCCAAGTATATGCATAAGAAAATGAACCAATCAATTTTCTTATGTTTATGGTTATGCACTTATGCAAAAGTGTGTGCTGCGGCCTTTAGGCCGGGTCTACAATAGATAATTAAGCCCTTAAGAAATTGACCAATCACAGTCGAGTATTCTCTTCATACTTGACTGTGATTGGTCAATCTCTTAGGCCCGGTTCCACAACTCGAGTTAATCCGAGTTTAATACGTTAAACTGGGTCCTGATTGATCCATTCGCTACTTAAACTCGGATTAACTGGATTGTGGAACTGGGCCTTAAGGCTCGAGACTTAAATTGCCTATTGTAGATCCGGCCTTACGTTACGTTAAGTATAGATCATAAATTTAAAGGCTATAGCACACACTTTCCATAAGACATAACAGTAAGGTTTCGACCAATCGCGTTGCTCAATTTGGTTAAGGACGGCCAAATTGAGCAACGCGATTGGTCGAAATCTTACTGTTATGTCTTATGGAAAGTGTGTGCTACAACCTTAAGGCGTTACGGCAATGTTTGTGGCCTGGGGCCCTATTCTTGAAATCGTTTGAAAAATTATCGTATGCGAAAGTGACGCTGCGCGATCTTTGATTGGTGTATACTCTTAGATCTAAAAATATATACCATAGCGTATATTTCTGTATATTTCTGTATTACCAGAAGGGTTTTGCTACTCTTGCGATAACAGAACAAGTAATAGTTGATCAACTATTTCTTTTCTTTCATCCCATGTATACATATACATATATGATGAATAATGAATATAATAAATATAAAAATAAATGCGTAATATACAAGTAATATACAATTTATTTATTGATTTATATCTTTATTTTTAACATAATTAAAATTAAACAAATTTAATATAATATTTAAAATATATATGTAAAAAATAACCTTTATATAATATAATATATGTGATATTTAATATAATAATATGATATAAATATTATTAATTTCTGTTAAGAAATTAATTTATCTTAAATGGAAGATACATATTTTAGACGATAAGTTTTTAATAATTTCTGTTAAGAAATTAATTTATCTTAAATGGAAGATATTTTAAACTACCAGATGTAAGGAATTAAAATTTTTCTTCCTTTTGGATAATTCTTGAAAGTGTTTTGATACCATTGATCAGACAAAATTGCACTTTCGACCTGCAAAAAAATAGAAATTTACATTTTTAATTATTTTAATTATTTATTTATTTATTACTAAAAAGAAAAGAAATATAAAACTGTTTCATACCTGATTTATTATAACAAAAAGAGTAATATAATGGAATGTGGAAGCTTGATAAAGAATTCCAGACAACATTAAATATATTATTATTTCCGTCAATTGCAACGGATTTGATATATAATTAAATAATCCGCCGAATGGTATTTTGTGTTCTTTAGTTACAACATCGCCATATTGATTCTTACGTAATCCCGCAAGAATAAAATTACTTTTAAGTTGTATATATGTCGACCATAAGAATATAAATGCACATATCAGTTGTGCGGTTGTTAATTTGTGTAAGGACAGATCCGTATGTGAACCTGATAAGAAGGAAATTAGATATATAAATTATAAATTATATAAAAAATAGTGTATCTAGTAATATATTTAGAATATATATTTATAATAGTAACATATTTATAAATTATCAGATTAATATACCTTTTTCTCTAACAAATCCTTCAGATTCCCCAATTAGAGATAACAATGTTGTTAAATAATGTAAACATGTAAGTATATAATGGAATATATTTATTTTTTGATCGCTAAATACACAGACATAATTCATTTCATATATTCTTTTCCAAATATGTATAGAAAACACGAAAATAGCCAGAATTGCAGTTTCTACTGGTACTAAAATGATAATTATATATATACATATATGTATACATACACGTATATATATATATATATATATATATATATATATATATATAAGTATAATTATATAATTTGTTATAAATTCTTAGATAATTCAAATTCAATATACCTAAAATTTTTCTTGATATTCCTAATAATGTATCCAATAACGAAAGTATAATTTCCGGAGCATTTTCATCATAAAAATATTTGTTTAATGCAAAATAAAATAAAAATATCAATATTGGTCCAGCAATAATATAATAATGTCCGAACCACCTAAAAATTCCAAAGAATTGAACTTAGCGATATTATCAAAATGCACGTTAAAGTAGAAAAAGCGTTTTTAAATTTACGGTAAATAAATAATTTAATATTTACGGTAAATTATATTATTAAAATATATATTAAAATATATATTTTTATTATTTGACTTATCATAATTAATAATTAAGAAAGATTAATAATTAAGAACGATCAATCAAGATGATTAAAGCGTAGGTCGTGTTGTGTCGATACACAATAATTCAAATGTTTTTAAAAATTTAATTCTTGAAACTTAATGGTGTGTGTAGAATATTTTCTTTAATTCGAAAGGACATAATATGAAAAATAATCTCAGATTATATATGTATGTGTGTGTGTTTGTATGAAGAAAGAAATGGGAGAGGGAAAGAAAGAAAGAGAGAAAGAGAAAAATTTCAGAATTGAAGAAAATATGTTATGTACATAAATTTCAAGAAATAATTGTTTTGAAAAAAAAATATTATGCATCGTTAATTCTAGTTTATATTAGTTGCTAATTATTATTTAATATTCAAAGAATTACATATTATGAATTAATTTTTAACTTACTTTTTAGGCATTTCAAGTTTTGCTAATATAGCGTGATGATTTTTCGAGCTACACCTCCCATAACGAAACCCACGAGATATAAACGTAGGTAAATAGGGTTCCATATAATTAATTAATATGCTTATCAATCCAATAGAAGTTGATTCAAAAATTAGAACATAGTACACTATATTTATGTCCATTTGATTTATTATGCTGATCATGTTAATATGCAAATGTGAGTATGATGATCCTGTAAAAAAAAATTATAAATTTAATATAATTTTCGGTATATCCTTATTTTGAGTATTATTGTCATACGATACAATATCTCATTTTTTACAAAATCTTTAAATTATCATATTATTTTTTTCTGGCATATATCTAATATATGTATAGATTGTAAATGTATAGATTGTAAATCATTTTAAAATTTTAATTTTAATATTTAAATTTAAGCACAAAATAATATTCTTAATTCATCCAATGTATGTAATCTATAAAAAACACACATATATTATACAAATCAAATATACAATTAGAATACTGCTTTCTGAAAGTTGAAACACACAGATAATTGATAAAAAACAGATGATAGAGTTTTTCTGTTTTGTTCATCGCAATAATTTATTCTTGTCCTTAAAAGTAAATGAATGGAAACTGCAAGGTAGCGGTAACAACAGTATTATGACAGACATATTATGATCATAACAAACATTCTTCGATTTTATTATGAAACTAACAATGCTACAGTAGTCAACTTTCTATTAACCTCGTCGTAAGAACGCAGATTACGCGTTCGTTGATTCAGCAAACAATATTGTGAACCAATATTTCGATTAAGTTAGATAGTATCACCATGACAGCTAAACTATCAATATCTCGTTAAATTATTAATTTACATAATTTAAAGAACAGATAATATATGATATATACGTAACTGATGTCAATTTTAATAACAATATTTTAAGAAATGTATTGTAAATGTGTTTTTCTTCGCGATTGTCTGTTTTATGATTAAGGTCTTGTCATATAAAAGTCTCTAAGCTGTTTTTCTAAAAAAAAAATTGTGTACTTGTGTGTTTATAGAAAGTATACAAAATATTCTTTATATTTGTCTAATATCTTATAGATGATATCCATAAGTGTTCTTTCCATAAGTATTCTTTCATCTTGACTTTGACACATAGGATTTTTTAAGACAAAGAATAATTTTTTATGAAGAATTTTATTTACAGTTTTTAAATTACTGATTTTATTTTTAATTAGTTAGAGAGAAATCAAAGTTTACATTTTTCGATACAGTAGCGAAAATAGTAGCGATTACTTTCGCTCTTTGATCCTTTGTGTATTTACCGGAAAAGTGGAGCTGTCAAAGTATGTAGGTAAAATGCGTCCCACTGCTAGGAACTTGAGGCATTTAATCACGTATGTAGTTCAACATCTTCTCGTTTCTCCTCGGTCCTAATGATGGGGATCGTCGTGGAAAGGAGGATAGCGTGCATATATAATATCGCGTAACATCTTCGCCATATCGTGTGCATGACATTGCTGAAGCGGACATCGTCAGTGGAAGCACGGCTAACACGCAAAGATGCAAGGGAACATAAGGATTTCGTCGTTAAAAGAGATTTGGATGAGCATCATTTTGTCTCTTTCTTGTCCGCGTTTGGACGAGAAATATAACATTAGGTAAGCCTTCGTATTTTTTACCTATCCAAAAATCTATCCTAGAGTCGCTTTTCGCGCCTGTTGATCGTGATACGGATTTTACGAGTCAGCGATCGTAATTGAACGAGCGTAACACGTGTGAAAGCTAACGAGTTAAAAGGATGTGGTCGAGTGATCAAGTTCGAATGGATTTGAGTCAGTGGGTTCCTCAATTATATGCACGCAGATATACCACTTCATCGTCAGGAATGAACATACAAAAAGGTAACAACGTTGATTAGCGACTTTCATTTTTATTGTACTAGGACAGGGATGAATCTCTTTATACCGATATATATATGATTTCTCATTGATGCCGTAGATATTTTAAATGATTTCTATTGATATTAATCATGATAGATAATGTAAATGCTCAATGATTAAACGTAAAATATATAATATTTTGCAGAAAATTTAATTTAGAATATAATCTTGTATTCGATCCAATCCTTGTAACAGAAATCAACAAGATATAAAAATGTAAAATGCAAAAAACGAGACAGAAAGTAGTTTTTACAAAACTTGGAAAATATATTTTTCATTAGAAATTTATATATATGAATATATATACATATATAATTTTTTACATAAAAAATATTTTACATCATATATACGAGTATAAATGCGTGAATTAGATGAACTGTCGATTGAATTGCTTCGGCAAATAATTATTTACAATGCGCATTTATTTTTGATATTCAATTAACCGTGTATGCAGCAATATCTACACAGAAGATATCGCTATTATGCGATACTAGGCATATCCAGTTGACAACAATTTTTAAATTGCAACATTTCTCTTTACTTTATTATTTGCTAGAAAGTAACTGATTGCTGACCTTACGCAGACAAAACATCAGTTTGTTGGTAAACTGATTAGATAACTATACTATGATGAATTTACGTGAATTGTAGTTTCTCCTTATATAGAAAGTCTTTGTGACAGTTAATCCAATGTTCCACTTTTCACGCAATAATAGTATAAAATATGCTTCAATAAAAATTTATAATTGTTTTTACAAATATCTAATTTAAAGCAAATATCTAATTGAAGAGCGAATATTAGAGAGAATATTATCACTTAAATAATTCATCAACTATACTCCATATCGTACGATTAGTTTGATACCGCTACTGAAATAGTTCATTAATCATTTTGCACATTTCTATTTTGTACGCATGATATAGAAAACAAAAATAAAAATTTGTATAAGATTCTTGGTTTTTTATTACATATTATAATTTTATGATTTTTTTGTTCTCTAATTTTTTTAATTAGAAATTTTTTTTTTCATAATATTACTTGATAGATAAATATAAAATAAATACATACATACATACATGTGTGCATGTAAATATATAAATTTTATGAATAAATATATTTAATAAATAAATTGTATAAATTAATAGAAATAATAATTACATAATTATAATAATTATTGCTAACTATTACTAATTAATTATAATTATTACTAACATCTTTTTTAAATTGTGTAGATCAATAAATTAATTGTAAGTAGAATCTTAAGAATTTCTAAAATCCTTTTTTACTAAAAATGTGGGGCACATATTGAGTTACATATACATTTATTAATACAGGAATAAAATATATTCGGACAATAGATCAGATATAAAAACCCAAACTATAAAATATTTTTAGAGGATCATAGCCATGAGTTTTTCTTGGAAGAATTTTAGTCTTCATATAAACTCTATTAATAAATACTTATATAATTTCATCGACAGACATTTTGACATTTTATTAATAAACCAATAAAAATTAAAATAATGCTTTATAATCAAAATAATAATAATTAAAATCAAATCAATAATTATAATCAAAATAATAATAATTTTCAAAATTATGATTATATCATGACATCTTGAGTATATATATTTTTTATATCTTAATCTTTTTTAAAATTACACTCAAAAAGATTTGTATTTTGATAAATTAATATTAGTCTTTTAATAATTAAATATATTTTTAACTATGAAACTTTATATACATTCTTCAATGAATGTATGTTTTGGATTAAATTATTTTCGAAAAAGTAAATGTATAGATTTTATTTATTATTTGTACGATCAATGAGAAATTGGATTACACTTGAATATGATAGCTAATCGCTTATCAAATATATCACTTAGATAAGAACGGTCAAATAACAAGTCTGAGATATTGTAGGAAGGATTTTAAGATATCGGAACTATTTAAAAAAATTGTTATTGAGATATGAAGATAAATCTCTCAATTCAACACACATAACAATTTCAGAAAAAAAAATATATATATAAAATTTTTTAATTTATTATAATTAAAATTAATTGCTAATATAATTCATAATTATATAAGACCTGCTATGACAAACACTTTAAAATTTAAAATTAGCATAATTTTAAGAAAATTGTTACCTTTCTAAAAATTAATCTACGATGAAATTATTTATATTTATTTATAAAAACATTGTACGTGTATTGGGTACAAAAATATATCCAATTGCACATGTTTGAGATGCATTAATAAAAAATTAATTATAACATTACATGCCTATGATAAATAAATCTTATTAAAAATTATGTCGAACAATGATCATGGAATATGAATGATGAAAACTTACCTAAATAAAAATCATAATGCATTGTGCTCATCCGTGAGATCCTTAATGTTTATTTTTTTCGCTTTAATAAATCAGTTATATCACAGTATTCTGTGATAACAATGTTCCGGAAAAAGAACATGGCTGTGTGCATGCAACAGAAAAAAGGCTAATCATGCGCAGACAAGGCTAACTCATTGTGCTCCACGTGATAAGAGAATTTTTTTCGAATCATTTAATCATTTTGTAATTTGCCCAATCTATGATTTTTATTAGTGTAACGAACAAGATTTGCAGTAGAAATTGAATTCGCTGATAATGCTAATCACAAATATAGCTTCTTGATACACAGAGTAGAAGAATATTCTTGTTTTGAAAATATCTTTAGTTTCAATATGGAAATTTTGAAATGAGATTATATAGCGTTAACTGAAAAAAACTTGCTTGAACCATTTTATATAGAACTATTTTATAATAAACTATTTTATGTAGTTCAATCAAGAAAAATATATTCTCATATATACGCAATATATTTTTTCTTCAATTAATACAATATAATCTTATTCAAGCTTTTCATGTTAAAATTAAAGATATTTTCAAAACAAGAATATTTTTTTCTCTGTGTAGCTTCATGATTATCTGCTAGTATTTACGATATATTCTGTTCAAATCTTTTTATTTGATTATTCGATACAGATAAAGAGTGAGTTATCGGCTACTATTCACTTGTGCGGTTATTACAATGGTCAACCGATATAATCTACGCGTAGTTGGAGACAAACGTTAGTTCGCCTGCGATATGTGTACATCTCGCAATCTGATCGCTCTCTCTAAAAATTCGTTCGTAAAAAGTGACATAGAATATCAAATATAGCGTGATTTTAATTATATTTTTGTTGCTAAGAGAATGATATATGTGCATATGTCAGATATCTTTAAAAATTTACCAGAGTTCAGAGTTTAAAGGTCAGTACTTTCTCATCACCATAATGATAAGACAACCCTTTGAAAAAAAATTGATAGCATATATGCATACATACACAAAAACACGTTATTCATAATCTTTCGCGTAGATAGAGAATTATATTCGTAAAAGTAATAATTTGTACAATAATTTAATACTTATTTTTCAGAGAGACACGGTTCGTATAATATAATTTGAAACGATAAATTCGCGAATTCGGCAATACATTGGGAGGAATGTCGTCAATCTTTACATTATTATTGTATTATGCGATTATACGCGTAAGTCTTTCGATAAGATAACAAAAAATCGTGGCGTTATTCAGAAGCTCTCGATTAGTTTGAGGGAAAAATTGAAGACTCAACTCGGAATCGATTAGTCGCTCCAGTTTTGTCGCATTTTTACATTTCAGTGCACTCATCTCGCGTTGCCCATTCAGTATGAAGTCGACTCTAATGATTGGAGGAGCGGGTATTTCGTTGTTCAAAGCCTATTACCGCGCCCGGATGTTCGCAACTAACGCTTTGATAGCCCCCTCCTGGAATTAATACAGAGATGTTGGATCCGACACGCTATATGCATCGTACTGCTTGTGTCGATGTGACATCGCGATGTGTCGCGAAGCTTGCACGCTCAATTTAGATTAATGATGAAGACACTCGTGAAAAGTACGTTCTCCGTCGTGTATTTTTGCAATCAAATTCGAACTTTCCGACTGGATGCTATAAATCAGAAATTGTTCACAAATTTGGAAAATATATTAAAATAATTAAATAAATTTTGCACTGACAAAGTCGAAACATATCTTAGTTGAAATTATAAAATGTTATATTAAAGAAGAATGTAATTATTTTGAAGTTAGAATTAGAGCGTTTTAAATTATATTGCTTTTATTTCTGATATTACTTTTTGATTTATGCTAATCAATCGTATCTACAGTTGCATTAAAATGATGTAAAATAAAATAATAATCAACAAAATTGAATTCTTAACTTTGTATGCGACGCGTAATGTACTAAGTAACTAGATGTCCAAACATTTGTCGCATGAATTTCTTGGTTTATCAAAATTATCGTACATATATGGTGTAACAGAAATGATTAAACGGATCCACGCACAGTTAGCTAAATTGTCCTGTCGTCGGTTAATGCCGCGTAGAGAGACGATCTTGCGTCGTCTATTACATTAACGTTTAGCGTAGGCGAGAATTTTATTCGCGGTGTTCTTGGACGAGATAGAAATTCGCGCCGCGAATTCGTAAAGTAAACTTTTTAGAGACGACCACAAATTTATTCATCTGTCAGTTCAACAAGCGTTCGCCGCGATAAATTTCGTTCTGCGATCGGATAACAATTGTATTCTCGAGCAGGTATACGGATTTAGGACCTAGAGCGCTGAGAGACGACAAACACGACCGCGACCACGAAATGCAGATTATCTGGCGAATTGACAGTGATTAATAGCCCTTGCACACCTATGGAGATTAATTTTGTGGAAGTTTTATTGGTGGACACAAACGCCGCGTTCTTGTGTGAGGCAATCTACAACTGATGAAAAACTTGTAACGGTCGGATACATCCTGAGTATTGGAGTCATCGAGTTCAACAGTTAAAGAACCATGGAGACACCTAAGCGTTTCATGTTCTGATATCGTTTTGTCCATTCGCTGACCACAGTTCAGTCGGGTGCCTGCTCCTTCGACGATTTATCCGCGGTGAGGCACATCGTCGTGAATTTTGTTCAGTTTAAAAAATAATTCGCTGTGCATTTATTCGTGAAGATTGCAACGATTACGTTTAATTAATTTTTCACTATATGTATGCGATACTTGCTAAAAAAAGATCGTGTTAAATATTATTCAAGTTGCAAAGTTTTGCTGTTAAAAGCAGCAATATGTGTATTAAGTGATAGCGCGTTTTTACGTGGATGTATATAAGTGACAACGTTAAATGATAAATTATCTATAACTTTATACATCTAGTTCTTTTTTACTAAATATAATCAAAACATTTTTTTAAAATTCTAATATTAAAATAAGCAATACTTCGAATAATATCAAATAAAAAAGCATATATATATATATATATATATATATATATATGTGTGTGTGTGTGTATAGTATTGTTTTATATATCTTAATATTAAAATTTTAAGAAAAAAATATTTCGATTATATTTAGTAAAAAAGAATTAGATATAAAATTGTAAATAATTTCTAATGGTGTGCAAGAACTATTAATCATTGTCAATTTGCCAGATAATTTGCATTTCCGTATTTATTGTTTCAGCGCTCTATGCTAAATCCGTATATCTGCTTATATAACAGAAAATTAAAATAAAAAAACTTTTTAGTTAAAAAATTTTTGACTAAATAAAAGTTTTTTATATTAATTTATATATATATATATATATATATATATATATATATACATATATATTATATATATATTTTAAATATTGCAATCATACAATTTATTTATAAAAAAGAATCTTTATTCGCAATGTAATTTAATGATTTAAACTAATTGCATTCACTAATACGCTCTTATGAAACGCGATAGAGTTAACAGTTCATGTTTTGTCTTCTTAAATATTTATAAAAATTTGTAGATTGTCTTACGATGTATTGCCTGAGAAAAATCTCACAATACATAATCTGACCTCATTAAATTTTTTTATATGTATATATCAATATTATAAAAGTGCACTTTGATTATTTTTCTCTTAATTAGCGATGAAAGCAAATGTTTGAATTGAGCACTTACTTTATTTAATTTACTTATTCAATCATGCTAATTTTCTTTCGTATGTAAGCTATTATTTACATAAAAAAAACCAAATGTAATTTAAAATAAATAATCAAATATATTCTACATATCAGGACCTAAATTCATTTTCATTTATTCGGAGAAACACGTAAGTTATTTTTGCGAATAAAAAGATGATTGCATTTTTTACTCACAAGTCTTATAGTCTTTTAAATAAACACACTTTTGAAGTTTTCAAAAAGAATCATAGCTTCATCAAAAAGAAATCATTTTTTCTACAGGTTTTTGAAACAAATTCTGTAAATAAATTTGCGAGATCGAATGCAGTTGTAGATAATACAGAACATTCGGTCGTTATATAGTGATATCGTGCGATCGTGAAATATAACAGTTCTTCATATATTGTTGTGATATATCGTCAGAGAATAGAAACGTTCACCACTGACTTTGCAAGCAGGGTCATGGCTGTGAAAGAGTGGTTCAGAAGGCTGCAACCGGTGCAGCTATACCTGGTGCTGTTTTTTACCACAGCTTTTTTCTTAATCGAGATCATCGCTAGTCACGTGACGCATTCGCTGACATTGCTCCTCAATGCATATCACATGCTGTGCAACATTGTGGCACTTGTCGGCTGTATCGCTTCGATAAAGGTAAATACGAAAATTCGCAAATCATTCAAAAATCTCGCTTATGAAATGACAATGATGTAATTAAGCTTTTGATCTACTCCGTGCCCATCGCGATTTCGAATGATACTTCTTCATATAATCATTATTTTCATAAATATTTTAGAAGTTAAAGGAAGAGGAACTCCTTTTCTCTCTCTCTTAACTTTTTTAACTTTTTTTTTATAGAATAAATTATATAACTTCCTATCTTATAAATAACATAATAATATTCAACGTGCAAAAGTAGATATAAGCGATCTTTTATTTTTCAGATATTTTCGAAGAAAAATACGAGAAAATCTAGAGCTAAAAAATTTCATTGCGCAAAAAATTTCGCGTAACTTTTATAAATGCGACAAATTTATAATGACACTTCATCTTTTGAATTTAGCAAACGCAACATATATGATTGTTCTTGATATAAAGATATATAAGATCTTGAAATTATTATCGAATAACATATCTTCATAATATAAATTTATAATTACGCATAATTGCATTGTTTTCAGTATAGCTATCGAGAAAGGTATAGCAACAATAGTAATTGCAGTTCAGTGGGAAATTCGTCCATTTGCATTAACGGGGAGGAACAGGGTTCTGTCACATCTTTATCAACCAAAACAAAGGTATACTCAAAGATACAAAAAATCAAGGTTAAAGCTTGGAATCTTTTCAATTTTCTAATTCTAATAAAAATTTTGTATATAAAATTCTAAAATCATTGTATGAAAAAAAATATCTTTTGCTTCCTAAAAATAAAATCTTATGTTAAGAAACTTATGTCAAAACTTTCATGCATGATGCAATAAAGTACTTTCATGATGTATAAAATACCTTTTTTAGAATATAAACACTATCGTTATTATTCTTTTTGAAATTATATGGTAAGAAAACTAATAATACTATAACAACAGAATTTTGCTTATTTTATTCGCATTTATTGTAAGATAAAATTTATGATAAAAATTTGAAATAAATTTTAAAAGAATCTCTTAAATAAGATTGATATAAAAAAGAAATTTCAATATATATTATTTTTAGTAAAAATTTTAGAAAGCATAAATAACTTTATAAACTCTCATAAATAATAATTATTTAAAAATTTTGAACATCCTGTCAAAAATAAAATTTTTATTTAAAGCATACTGCAGATTTGATAAGCACTTGTTAATAATTGAAATGTGAAAAATTTACTTTACAGGAATCATGGTCGGACAGAAGAATGAAAAACACGTTTGGATGGGCCAGAATCGACATCGTCACGATGCTTGTCTGCTGCGTTTTTTTAGCATCTTTTTGTTTCTCTTTACTAATGGAGGCATTGCAGACATTGGTGCACATCGATCACTTGGATGAAATGCATCATCCATTACCCGTGTTGTGCATAGGCGCTTCCGGAATACTTTTGAATGTTTTATGTTACATTTTAATTGGGGGATTCACGTTCAATCAAGGAATTTTCGTGCATGTCACTGAAAAAGGAGATATAATACTTTGCAGGTGAGTCTTGATAGCAATTCAAATTACAAACAATCAAAGAAATGCATGATAATTCGCACTCATAGTTGACCATTCTTTAAATCTTTACAAGCACTTTAATATATATGTATATATGTTCTTTCACAAATTAAACATTCAAAATATATAGTTCTCGAAATATATTTCATTGTACATATTTATTTAATAATAGAATACCAGAATTTGTTATATTTCAATAGAAGTCGATTTCATATATATATACAAATAACGAAAAAATCCATATTGTCACAAATTATTTGATAATTTAGGAATGTGAATTCGCAAGAAACAAAGGAAGGCGAGCAACAGTTGTCGGCACAGACTAGACGAAGTCCACTAGCAATACCAAAAAACCAAGGCTTTAGAGAAATATGTCGGGATGTTCTTGGATGCGTTTTCGTCATATTAGTATCAATTTTAGTTTATTTCAACGATTCCGATGTGGCTAAATACATCGATCCGGTCTTTGCTATTATTTCCTCAATTTCACTGTTTGTCCTTTGCTATCCATATAGTGAGTATAATTCTTTTAATATATAAATTTAGAATAATAAAGTAATATAAAATGTGATACTTATAAGTATAAAAGAACTTTTTGTAATTGATTTAAACTTTAGTTGATTAAATCTTTTTATTGTGACTAATATATTAATTCTTGAAAATAATCAATTTCTTCTCATTATCTGTTTTTATAGTGAAAGAATCAGGTTTAATTCTACTTCAAACAATTCCGAATCATATAAACATCGATTCTCTCAAAAGAGAATTGTTAGAAGCTTTTCCGGGTATCGTGAATGTCCATGATTTACACGTATGGCAATTAGCAGGAGAAAAAATCATTTCTACAGCACATATCATATTTTTAGATCCAACGGTAAGGTAAATCAAACATAAGTTAAACTAATTTATAAAATAAGTTACATTTGATAAGTTACATTTGATAGAAATTACTTAATAATTTTTAAAGAAGAAAATTTTTATTTGATATGTTTAATTGAAAACATTTCCTCATTTTTTTCATTAGGTTTATGCTAGTATTACGGATCAAGTCACCACCTTTTTTGTCGAAATGGGCATTACGCAAGTTACTATACAGCCAGAATTTTATAAAGTACGCAGAATATATTAATATATTTTATCTTTTTATTTTTTAAATCTCTTTATCGAATAATGATATGTATTATCAGATGAAACCGAATATGGAAAAAACTGATTGCCTAATTCGTTGTCATGGAGAACACTGCAGTTCCTCCCAATGTTGCTCGCGAGAGAACTTCTTGGATGATGCGTGCAAATCGGAGAAGGATAATGTGGTCAGTAGAAAGTACGACAAAAAAGAGATAATACCAACCACATGTGCAATTAGTTTAGAGAAATTTACTAATTACACGGAAGAAGCTGTAGTAAGGACTGTTAGGAGCGATTCAAGAGCAGACAAATCTGAACACGATCTGATGAACGAAAACACATCTCGCTTGAACAGCGAGCAGACATCGTAATATTGATATGTAACTCCTGTGCGATGATTATAAACGATTGGATATCTACAAGTACCGGACATCTGCAACTATTGATAACAAGCATGTGGACTGCAGCATCGTATCTTAACTCTAGAATATAATATATCTGTATCTTCTTTATGACGAGAACGACATAGCACGTTCTAGCTAACTTTGTTTCTTATAATTTTCATAGAAATGACACATATCAGAACATATATTTTTTTATCTCTGACACTAAAAATTATATAATCGCGGCAAAAAATTTTACTATCTTTGATTAATATAAAAAAATTATAATAAGTAAGATAAACAAAAACTAACTATAAAAAATTATGGATACTTCATAACTTATATAACATCATTTTTATTTGATTTCACAAATAATAATTTTGTTTAGGTTTTTTACGTGACATTATTTTGCTTAAAACATACAATTCTGCTCATCACATTGAATATCGCGATATTTTGAAGTTACAATTCAGGATTTTACAAAAAAAAATATAAACAAAAATTTATTAATTTTTACTACAAATAGTACAATAATCAAATATTTCCTATCCTTTTGACACCATCAAGAAATTAGAGAGATATCAATTTTTTTCTTTTAGAAGCCATATTTTTATTAATACTATAATCTTATTAATATTTTATTTTGGAAAAAATATCATTAGAATATAAATATTACCCAAACTTAAACAAAACTTAAACAACACAAATTGAAACAAAAAAGACTTACAAGAATGTTTAAATTGCATCCTATTTTTTACCATAGAAAAAGAATTTTATTCTAATGTAATATTTAAAAATAATACATTATAAAATATCAATATTATATTTGGCAGTTAAAAATATCAAGATTAAATACGAGCCGTGATATGTACGTACACATTTTTAACAAGAAGACTGCAAGCTAGTATTAAGTACAAAATGTACATATAATATCAAAATAGATAATCAAATGACTAGAAATTTCAAATTTGGGTAGTATATGTGTTAGTTATCAAATAAACAGTATACTAATTTCAATACATATATATATATATATATATATATATATATACATAGTTTATAACAAGTTCATAATTTCTTTCAGTACAATGTTCCTTAAAATGAATGTCGTATAATATGCGTCATTCAATCGTATACTATCTATATATCGTATATTAATGATATTTTATCACTCATAAATATATATATATATTTCTTGTATGTATATTTCTTCCAGATATAATAATAAAATATATAAAATGTGTTTTTTATTTTAAAATGAAGATTAAAAATAATTATAATGAAAATTTCTTAAATAATAATTATAATGAAAATTCTTTTTAAATACAAATGTTATAAAACATTAATCAATAAGTATGTATTTATGAGCGATATAATATGTCGAAAATAGAAATTAAAATAATTATAATAATAGTTCAATAATTAATTTAAGTATTAATAATAAATTAACTCTTGTTTTTATAAATGTAAAATTCTTATTTTTTAATAAATAAATATGTAAATATATAAATAAGTATATAAATATATATAATCTTTTCTCATCTTTACCGACTATTATTAGATAAAGTGTCATATTAAATCGAGATTTTAATCTTAATTATAATATACAATAAAAACATCTTAAAGATACTACAATTTTTTAATTTTATATGAATATTTATTTTATCAAATTTCCAAATAAAACTCTCTTATAAGATATATTAATATCATGAAGTGACGCTAAGCAAAGTAAAAACTGCATATATAAATTAATTTTAAAGAGTTATATCCATAAAAAAATGAGTATAACTTGATGAACTATGATATTAACAGAAATGTACATATATTAACAAAGACGATATTAACAAGACGAAAACAAAACTTTGGAGATAATATATGTCACTGATAAAGCAGTTCCTACGCGATAAGTGTGGGCGTTAATGATCAAAAATCTGTTGCTGCCCATAGCAACGGGGTCTACAGCACCCTATCTTAAGTTTAGGGTCGCTGTTCTGACAGATAATAATTTAACTCGTTGTCCATCAAATTGACATATGTCGAATATAATGCATTATGAAAAAATGAAAAAAATTTATTTTAAATTGAAAAAAATTTGCTATATTTCAAACTTTTATGTAATAATTTATAGTTGATTTTTATACCTTTACGAAAATATTTTGATTAATGGTTGTAAAGAAATTTTGCCTATCTTTTCATGATTCATAATAACGAATTTAATATACATTTTATTTTAATATGCTAAATAAAAAATATTATCATTACCCTCTTATACATTTTTAATGTAATTTTTATATGTGATATCATGTGATATCATATTTATTATATTTATCAATTAATTGTCACATTTAATTCTGATGTAGCTTTTAAATTTTTTTTTAATGATTATTATATTATACTGTTAAATTGTTGATGATTATTATATTCCTAATTTTTTAATTCAAAATACCAATTTTGTATCCCAAAAAATTTTAGATTTTTTTCTTTCGTTCTAGAATCGGCATCCTTTATATCTTAATATATTTCTAATTTTCTATTCCAAAATATCAATTATATTTTTTTTAATTTTAATTATTTTAAGGAAATGATGTTTTGTACAAAGACACTTTATTTCATCAGAGAGAGTCCTTTACGAGAATATTCGGCTGCACAGAGAAAAATGCAAAAAGACTGTCTAGAGATATGATACATAAGCGGAAACTGCGGTTTATAATCCGCACTTTATTATATTTAGGGAGATTATTGTAAACTCTGATGTTTTGAGAAATAGAGAAATATCTCGAAGATTTACCATAAGGAAACTTATTAATAGATATTATCATATACTATCATATATTATCATATATTATTATACAATACAAATATTATCATACCTAAACCTAACTTGTTAGTATTATATTATCTTGAAATTTGAATAATATTCATTTTCTATCTATACTCTATCGTTATGGTCATTTCTTACATTAAATTTAAAATAATTACAAAATAAAATTACATTAAAAATCATCTCAATTTGAATTTTTTTATTAAAATAAAGATTGTGTACTAAAAAGTATGTATTAAGGTAATTAATTGATAGACTAACGCCATCAATATATAGCGTTCATAAACTGCAACACATGTACCAGACAATTAACAATGATCTACCGATGATCAATTATATAGCCTTTGTAATAATTTAAAAAGTTTTACAGATATTAACAATATATCTCTTAAACTGATCATCTAAACTGATTATTGAACCTATTGTTGAAATGCTATATCGATTTATTTCTTGCTGTATATATTTTAAATTAAATAAAAATATGAAAAAGTTATTGTCAAGAAACGAAAACAAGTTAATTGTGCCAACTCTTTCTGCTAATTAAGTGAATAACCGCTATTCTTCACAATTAGACTATGTTAATCTAAAATACCTTCTCAACACATAAACTGTATTAAACTTTATGAATGAAGATTCATCGTAAAAAAAATTTATTCTAGCCAAAAAAATTGTAAAAATTTTTAAATTGATAAATGTATGAAAGAATGCACTTTATAATCTCATCAAAAATTGCCATTTAGGAGAGAGAGGCAAAAATCTTGTGCTTAAAATATCCAATTGTATATAACTCACGACTTTCGTAGGGAACGGTTGTAAACAACTGTATCTTTATTTAGAGTATTTTTAAAAATACGTTTCAGGAACTAATAGTAATTTTTTCTTAAATGCATGAATAAATGATTGGCTAAAGATTATTATTATACATGTACCACTCAATATTTTTATAAAAATATTTAACATATAAATACGTCTTATAATTACATAAAAGAAAAATAATAATTATATAAAGCAGATTACACACGCGCATAATCTTTACAAAATCAGAGCAAACATCTCAGTTGTATAATTTGCGATAAAAACTTGATTTATTATTGCAGGCCGATCGCATGCAAGACTATGAAGAATTAGCTCGACGTAGGTAACTCTTGGCATCAGAAGGCCGATAGTGTCACGAGATGACGTCGTCTCCGATAAGTTATACTCGTACGAGAAACCGACCGGGTGGGGCCTGTTCGTTTAGTTGTTGCTACAGCGAGAGACTCATTGTCAGTGTGAAAGTGACCAGACGCAGTAGAGAGTGGTTGGGCCCTCGAAGAACGACTCCGGGGCCTATTCTCTCACGCGCTCGCGTTCAACAATGTTCATTAAGCAACATCGACATGCAAAAATGTGAGAATCCGTAAAGCATAAGAGAAACGAAAATGTTTCTGCACTACGTACGATACCGCGTTCTGATATTCATCGTTTTTACGCTCTGTTACAAAGGTAATTAACGGGATCTGGCATACCTGCCCGCGCTGTACCTGTCATACAAATGTGTGCGTGTGTCTTCATGTGTGGTTGTGAGAAGTATAAAGTGGTCACGTGGCTGTCATTGAGTCACATTTATTGGTGTCGCGGTCAGATTTTACTCGAAGAAATACGGCGTGGAAACTTTTTTATTGTTACTCAGCAAATGCCAATTCGTTGTTTCAATAGCGTCTCAGTAGTTTTTTAAATCATTTGAAAGAAGGGACATATATTCATATGCTTCAAATCTCAATTAATATTTAGATAATATTTTCATATTTGTTCGTGTATATATTAATTAAGAAAATGTTGAGTGAAGTAAGTTATATATGTTTTTCTATTTTGATAGATCTTGCAAAAAAATGTAATATTAATTCTATAACTTCTTCTAAATATAGCTTCATAAAAGAAATAGTAGTATAAATATTAAACTTGACCTAAAATTTCGTAGCTGCTTTCTTGAAACCATAGTTTTAAAATAGTATGAAGAGATCATTATAAACTGCAAATTGTATTTGCTTAAAATTTTTGTTGTAAATGTTGCTACATCTGAACATGATAAAAGCATTTAATAGTGCTGTTTCTATAAATAGTCGATGGTTTTTTATCTTATAAAATGGATATTATGAAGCATATGAAACGAATGCTCGAATGAATCATGCCCGAAGAACTCATTTGTAGCTAACTCATTATTTTCTTTAATGATACCATTAGATGAAGGAAATTTTGAAAAATGATAAGCTTTTAACACAATATTTATAGAAAATCAAACTACAGTAAATTTTTGTTATTTATACAAGTATTAGTCATTTAAAAATAAAAAAAGTATACAATAGCACTTGCATTTCAGTAACCAATTGACGTAACTGTTATTAAATTATATTCACAAATTGACATAATCTTACAGTTAACGTTATATCGAATAAAGATATGTTATGAAATACATCTATTTATTACACTAGCACTTTCGAGTCAATTATCTCTCAGCAGTATATCAATCATAAAATTTCATTGAATTTGGCGTACGTTGGCGTTTTAATAAGTGGCGATAATTTTATAGATCGTTTAATAATATGACCAATCAACATTACAATGTAGCGTCTAAAGATGCTCTATAAAAAGCATGATAAATTATAAAAAAATAATTATTGCTGAAATGTCTGTAGTCTACAAAAAAAGTGTCGATGATATTGATTACATAGATCGAGTCATGCTTGGTTGCATTAGTCACTTTATTCGCAATAAATATTTCATTCGATGACAGCATATGGAGAGTAGCTCTATAAAAAATGCGTATTATTGATACTACAATATTGTCATATTACAATCTTTTTATCTCATTCTTTCTTTGCAAACGTAAAAATTGTGAAAGATAAAATTTAATTTTTTTTTTTCTTAATTGTAAGTATTTCTTGAAAAATTTTTCATGGATAATTTTTTTAAAAACATTTTAAATATATTTAAATTTCCCAAAAAATAGTTTAATTACATTTTGATATTCTCATATTCAATATTAGATCAAAAATTTTGAAAGATTTTCGCTGTTACATTTTTTCTGAAATACAAACATATAAATTGTTCTAGTTGTTTTAATTAAAATATTGTATATAATTGTACTATATTTTTTCCTTTATCTTTTTTTGATATAGAGATGTGCAAGAGATTTTTCTTTTAATTAAATGAATTTTATTTATATATAAAATAATATAAAGAAAGCATAAAAAAATAAATTAAATTAAAATTAACATTTTAAAATATTAAATATTTTGAGAAAAGTATTCTGAGAGAAACAGCACGTGCATTCTTTATTAACGAATTTTTCAAAATAAAATATAGAATAAGGTATTTTATAATATTTTTTATTATGTGACACTCACGTAAAGTTTAAATTATTGAACTTCTTTAATATTTAATGTAACAAACTTCTATGATTTGATCGGTAAATTAATATTTGTTAAACCTCCAGCTTTTAATTTAAAAATCAAATTTGTTTTAAGATCAATAAGTTTTTATTTTATTCCTTATATATTATATATCATCTCGCAATATTTTCATTTTTAAATACGATACCATATTGATATAAAATAATACGAGGATATTCTGAGGTATGTAGTAGCATTATTTTTATGCAATTCAGCGTAAATGTAATATGTTTTAATCATATCATGTTTATATGTATGATGCAAAGATTACCCACAAATACATCTAAACTTCCCGTCATAAATTTGCATCATATGCAATCTTTCTTATTGTAGACTATGACGTAGTATATATACATATAGTATATATACATACATACATACATATACATATATATATATATATATATATATATATATATATAACCCATATATTTAACCAGAATAACTCATTTATTCGTAAATTTCAATTGTTCACAATCTTGTGTTTTCTACAACTGCTATATAAGCATGAGTTAGTTGATAATATGACCACGTTATCAGGAGAGGAAAAAAGAACTTCCTTCCTACGGGTTACATTTGCGCAGAAAGAGACTGAAACGGCACGTGCGTTCTTTTCTACAGAAGAGTAACGAGGAGAGCCAGATAAAGCCAATCATCCGCAGGACATTGCGGCTAACACGACGACGTTTCTCTCGAAACTCTTAATCATATTCTCACTTTATACATAAACATTTAGAACAGTTATTGTGATATAAGTTTTTCATTAATAACTCTTAATATAAAAATATCGATGAACAATTAAAAGATTTGCTCCAATGTTCGGAAATAAAAAAGATATATATATTATGTCATATAAAAAAATATTTCTATAATAAATTCGAATAATTTAAATCACATTTAAACTACATGAAAAATTTTGTGTTTTTCAGTTTCGGAAAGTAACAAACCAATTATTTCACCAAACCAAGAAGAAATTGTATTAAACGAAGGGGAATTTTTAGAAATTATATGCACGGGCACAGCACCACTTAAATTTGTTTATCCTGACACTTTTGATAAAGAAGTGGTATGCACTATAAAATTAATTAAAATAGGTTTTGATATTTTTTATTTTTCCTATTTGACTTTTTCCAAGTATGTTTTATCATTATATTTTAGATATTAAGATAAGTTTCCTTTTTCTAGAGAAAAGTTGGTTAATTCTATAATTCTATAAAAAATTAAACTATTCTAATTTTAATAATTAGATTAATTATCTTTTTATAAGATTCATTTTTTTCCTATAGGTTAGCTGTAGGAAGCGTATCTCATGAAAGTTGCTATATAAAAAATGTTTATTTATATGTTATCTATGGAAATTACAATATATTTATATTTTAAAAGCGCATGCAAAATTTATATATATTAAATTTTACATTATTTTTATAACAGTTTAATACTTCAACGCCGAGAATAAGCAAGAATGAGGAAAATGGAGTTTACAAATATATTTTCCAACGACCAAAAATCATTTTTGGTGACACAGGCTGGTACGGTTGTGCCGATTATAATGTTGAAATTCCAAATTTCTTTGATAATTCTGAGGTGAACTGGTTATACGTTTATGTAAAATGTAAGATGAAATTACATACTCTTCTTTTGTGAATTAATTAAAAATATTTGTGCTTATATCTTGTCCATAATATATTCATACAATTTGCATAGAATAATTGCGTTAACTTGTTACAGCTAATACGAATTTATTCGTTGAAGCGGACACTTATGCTCATTTGAACGCTGTTGCTGGCGACAGTATTGTAATACCATGCAGACCTACATCGCCGGATCTAGACCCTGACTTGTCCAACAACAACGTGAGTATCATCAATAGACTAGCAGAAGATAATTTACAATCTTAGAAAAATATATATAATATATGAAAAAGATTTGAATATTATGCGGTGACATAAGCATCTATGCGGAAATTTCTATAGGATCATTAACTTATAGTTATTTACAAATTCGTCTAAGCTCTCAATATACATTTTTTAGAATAAGAAATTTAGAGAAATATAGGGATAAGTTCAAAAATCGCACTTTGCGGAAAATATTAAAAATATCCTTAGCACATTATTGTTTCAAATTCTTCATTATAATACATTAAAAATAGCTGTGTTAATTTAATATGATCATTATTTATCATATACTTTTCTTACATTTTTCATTAAATCATTAGTATCATTAGTACTATTAGATACTTTTTTAACTATTTTCTACATTTCGACGCGTTTAATATTTAGGAAGATGAATTAGAGGGAAAAGCATCATTTGATCCCAGAATTGGTTTCACGATTAAAAATCTGACGGTAAAGGACAGCGACTGGTACAAGTGTTCAATACAAAAGGATAATGAAGAGCATCAGGTCAATTACGTCTTGGCTGTACATCGTAAGTATGGTTAACTCGAGATGTTAATTTTGCCACATATATATATATATATATATATATATATATATATATATATATACGAGTACATAAGTTGAAAGCGCGCAATGTATCAGCCATAATTACCGACATTTCTTGGTAAAATATAAATAAGATATAATTTATTTATTTATATAGTAAGACAAACTTTGCCTGATCCAAAAATTCACGACGACACTTTGCGTCACGTTACACGTGGGCAAGATTTGTTCGTTAATTGCACCGTTGAGATTGATGCATCTGTACGATATGTATTTAATTGGAGCACACCACAGGTAAATAACTACTTATTTCAATTTCGTACAGTAAAAATAGATTACATTGGAGACACTTTAATTAATTGTATCGAAAGATCAATAAATTTAGTGAGTATCTTATATAAAAATTTTTTATTTTATTTTTAAATCTTTTTGTAAAAGGATATAATATAATTTATTTTTCTAATGTGTATATTCTAATGTATATGTATATAATATTCATATGTCTATTTAGACAGCTCCTAAAGAAAACCTAAAAAAATTCTCTAATTACATATTGATTTTTTTCAATAAGGAGGGTTAAGATAGATTGTTAAGGATTAAAAATGTATATTTTAATGATGTACGCGCAATCAAAGTTTGCATACCTATTTTTCCATTATGATGTATTTTTTTAATTGCAGAGCAACAGCAGAGTAAGCACTCAACAGTTTAGGAAACAGCTCGACGACAATTATCTCTTAGTTACGTGTCAATTGACGGTATTTAACGTCACGGATGAAGACGCGGGAGAGTATAAATGCATCATTAGATCGATTCATGACACAAAGGATACAAAGAAAAATATTACGATACACGGTTAGTTTATCATTAATTTAGTTATGATTATATAAAATGCGCTTATTTATAATAAGAAAATTACATGATTGTGTGGAATATAACCGTATGCAACGTAAGTCTCTTTCTATTGATCGGTTACATTATATTGAAGAACCTACATATTAAAAGAAAATCGTATTAATGCTAGCAGTATTTTTGCGTGCCTATAAATCTTAATTTTAATATCTTTAATATTTCTAATATTTCTAATATTTCTAATATTATTATTTAATATTTTAGATCCTCAAATAAAGTATATTAATCTTACGTCTCAACATAGTGAAAGATATTATCAAGGAGAAAAAGGCGGCAATGTACAGTGGGTCGTTTACGTTGATGGATATCCAAGACCTCATTTACAATGGTAAATTTTTCGTTTCTCCTTCTCTTATTCTTTCTCACTTACAATGTATACGAAGATTCCAGTGTTTAAAGTATATTTTATATTTTAATATTAATATATATTATTATTTAATATATATTATATATACGCAAATATGTATTTTAAAGCGTATTTAATTACATTTAATCATCTGCTTTTTTATTTATTTAATTAGTGTATAATAAATTAATACCAACAAAAGTTTTAAATATGTTTAAACACACACACACATATATATTTATCTTTTTTTTTTAATTAAAGGTTTGAACCAAAAGGTCAAGAAATTACACCGAGTCAAAAGTATTTCGTGAATACAAGTACAACAGTTACTATTTTAAGGATAAACAACTTAGCAATAACGGATGCAGGGGATTATATCCTTGAAGCAAAAAATGATTACATGATAAAAAAGCTCAATTTTACACTTGATATCATAGGTATTGAGATTATTCTCTAGGATTATATAAAAAAAGACTACATATATTATTTAATTATTATCGATTTCAGCTAAGCCGGCTGCTCTGTTAACAGAGATTGAATCTTATTATGCACCTAATGAAACTGCGGAATTCCGTTGTGAAGTATTATCTCATCCTACAGCAAATATAACATGGGATTTTATGAAATGTCCTAATTATCCATCATTTGAAAATTCAACAATCGTGAAACTGACAGTAATGCAATCCTATTGGAACCTGATTTTAAATAAATATTTATTTGTATTTATATATTGTAATGAAAAATGTTTGTGGATTTTACAGGATGTAATGGAAAATGCTTACAGCTCCTATAAATACGAATCGAGAGCAAAAATGCTTATCGAAGTATCGGGAAAACTAACATGCAAAGCTTGCAATTCCCTCGATTGCGATGCTGTGACAGAAAATATTTTCGTTTCCGGTAAGGAGATGCTTTTGTCTAAAACTTATAATCTATTTTATTATTACTATTCTAATTATATATTATATAAATAAATAAATAAATAAATATATATATATTTCTATATCTCATCATTATAAATTTGCGAAATATTAAATTAATTTTTATTTATTGTTTCGTTTATAAAATCTGTCATTGCACAATTATTATCTTATTAGAAAATGCAAAGTAAATAAAAAATTATAATTTAAAAAAGTTAATATATTATAAATTAATAATATAATATTTTTCATTTTTTAAATTTTGCAGATGGAATAGGCGCTTTTGGTATTATCGGACCAAAAGAATTGGTAACAAAAGACGATACTGTTGAATTGATTTGTGCGGCTTCCGTTTATAATTATACAGATGATTTAACATGGACAAAATTGGAAAATGAAACTGAAACGCCAGTTATAGAGACAAGTAATTATTTCAAATAAAGAATTGAATAAATCAAAAGAAAAATTAGAATATTAATCGTAATATGTAAATTATAAGTTTTTTCGTAATTTAACATTTTGAAGAGAAAACATATGTAAGAGAAAGCATGTGTAGTAAAAAAAAATTATTATTTATGTATATAATTTACAATAATACACACACACACACAAAAATATATATATGTATTATATACGTCCATGTATATATATAATACATATATATATAAATATGTATATGTGTGTGTGTGTATTTATATATTTTTTTATTAATATGATTACATTCTTTTTGATAAATCATATTTTATTTCACATTTATATTTATATTATTTTAGACGCAGAAGTATTTATGTATAATTAATTTATTATCTTTCTCTTTACTTTTACATTTTGTTGTATTTATATATGTGATTCTATACATAAAAAAATGAAAGTATAAAAATAATTTAACATAAATATTAATCATAATCTTTATTATTTTTAGATAGGTTAAAAATCATACATAATAAAACTCTATTCACGTATCGATCAACTTTAAAAATTCATCATGTTCAAGAATCAGATGCTCAGGATTATATTTGTACTGGCAAGTACACAAATGGATTATCTCATGTAGATTTAAGTAATCCAATTCTTTCTGATTATGCCATCTACAAATTAATAATCCATGGTAATTACAATAATTGATTTTTTTACATATCTAATGTAATTGTATTAAAAAAAGTATCTTAAAAATTTAATTATAATTATTATATATTATAATAAACTTAAAAAAAAATTTATTACATAAATATTTTATTTTAAACTATCAAAAATTTTTAAATATAATAAATTAAAAAAAAATGTTTTAGATATGAAATTATTAGCCAGATTATAATATAATTCGTTTATTATAAAAGATATATCTATTATATTTAACTAAAATTAATTTCTATTGAAAAATGTATTGTAATTTATCTTTTTCATATAATTGATGCTGTTTATAGATCCGGTATCGCCGTTTTTTACCAAAACTAATATGAACGAGACTATAGTAAAAAATATCGACGTAATTGCCGAAGGTCATAAAACGGTCATTTTACAGTGTTTTGCGGATGGGATGCCGAAACCGATAATTGCTTGGTATAAGGTAAATGTAATGTAATTATCTTTGTTTGATAAAACTGAATATATCTTATATTTTATTTTTCGATCATTTGTAGGACAATGTATTGTTAGTGGAAAACGATCAATATTTGTTCAAATTTAATTATCAAGAACTTAATATCAAATATTTTAAGGAATATGATAGTGGAAGGTATTCGTGTCGCGCTATCAATCGATTAGGCACAAATGAAACTTATCAGGAGATAATGGTGAAAAATGCAAAATGTAAGAAAAGATATCTAGAAAATTATATATATATCATATATAGAAAATAATATCATTGGGCACATAGATTAAAAATTAAAAAACTTTTTGTAGTGCAGAAGCTTGACGTCATATTAGCTGTTTCAATAGCTATTTTAGGTATCACCTTAGTCATTTTAGCAATCTTTTTCACGATTAAGGTTCGTCGTGAAAAGGTATTTATATATTTCATTTTCTTTAATTCATATAAAATTATACATAAAATATAATTTGATATTATATTGCGATAAAATTTTATGGAAAGTATAACATACTAATAAAATGAAATTTATATTCTTTCATAGAAAATGAGAAAAGAATTAATGGAAGCAGGTCTTATGCACTTTGAAGAAGGTGCTCTGGAGTGTTTAAATCCAGATTTGACGGTTGATGATCAAGCGGAATTACTTCCTTATGACAAGAAGTGGGAGTTCCCAAGAGAACGATTGAAACTTGGTAAGCGCTGCCTTAATCTAGAGTTTAAATTTAATCAGATAAATATTCAAATTATAATGTAACACACATAGAAACATTCTAACTAATTTTTTAGGAAAACAATTGGGCAGTGGTGCTTTTGGAGTTGTAATGAAAGCAGAAGCACAAGGAATAAGCGAAAATGAGACTGTCACAACTGTCGCTGTGAAAATGGTACGTCGAACTACCGACCCGACTTATGTTCGTGCACTCGCCAGTGAATTGAAGATCATGGTGCACCTTGGCAAGCATCTAAACGTCGTCAATCTTCTTGGTGCATGCACTAAAAATATTTCAAAACGTACGTATTACTGAAATGTTTCGTACTAATAAAAAATTATATTAAAACAATGATTAAAAGCATTGTTTAACTGGTATTCTATTTTAAATATATCTGTTTCTGACATGTCAAATATAGAAATAAAAAATTATTAAAAAATCATTAAAAATTAAAATATTATATTACAACGAATTACAGGGGAATTATTGGTGATTGTCGAATATTGTCGGTTCGGAAATTTGCATAATTACCTTTTGAAGCATAGAAGCAATTTTATTAATCAAATCGACCCCAACACTGGAAAACTCGATCTTACTATCGGTGTGGATATATTGACGAGAACAGCTAGTATCAGTAGTAATAACAGGTTAGAAACATATTTTATAAACATTCTATTATCATCAATTGTCTTAATAAACGTACTTGTCTTTTATTTTATTAATAAATATATACAATATAATACATTCAAAAAATATTTTAAATGTGTTCTAAACTATGTTTTACCGATCATTGCTTAAACGGTTTTGGTAAAATGTGGATGTAAATTAATTAAAAGCAAATATTCTTTCTTTGTTTTAAACAATGTCCTAGATAATACTAATCAAATTATAGATTGAAAAATTAATATTTCTAATTAGTTTTTTCAACATATTTCTATACACTAATGCTACTTTTGTGTATTATTTAATTCTACATCAAATCTTAGGAGCTTTAATTTCAGAAATCTCATCCTGCATATGAATGTGTATTCTGAGTACTAACATAAGTAATGCATACATACACATGCACTGATGCATGCAAGGGGCTGAGGTTTAACAAAATTCTTCCTTTTTTCTTCTGCCCATATGATAGGATAAAATATGCAGCATTATCCTTCTCTCGCAGTATTAGTGCGAATTCAGGCACCGATACGGTGGTACACTATTGTCCGGGAACAAGCTCGGACACTCAGGAGATCAACTTTTCGCCAGATGGCTGCGTCCTCAGCAATAATTCATTTCAACCAGACTGGAGGACAAATTATCGTGGAGACTACAAAGACCAAAATCTCAAGCCGATTTGCACTCAAGATCTTTTATCATATGCCTTTCAAGTAGCAAGGGGAATGGAATATCTCAGCCAAAGAAGGGTAAAATCGGATAATTGTAAAGTTAATAGATAAATAATCGAGATAAATCGCAATTCACATACACAAATTTAAGTTTTAATATTTTAATTAATTTTATAATTTAACATTATATATATATAACATTAGAGTTAATTTTAAATTTAAAATAAAATTTTTATATAAGTTTGTAATATTACATTTCTAAAAGAATTAATTTGTTTAAGTTATATTTAAATATTCAGTTTTCATATTATTATAATAATATTATAATACACGTTATCAGGTATTGCACGGTGATCTTGCGGCAAGAAATATCTTACTTTGCGAGAATAATATAGTAAAGATCTGCGATTTTGGTCTCGCAAAAACTATGTATAAAGATGATAATTACAAAAAGAAAGGTGATGGTCCGTTGCCTATAAAATGGATGGCCATCGAATCAATCAGAGATCGAATATTTTCGACGCAGTCAGACATTTGGTCTTTTGGTATAGTTCTGTGGGAATTTTTCACCCTGTCTGAAACACCGTATCCCAGCATGGAAGCCGAGAAATTGTATCAAAAACTGATAGAGGGTTACAGAATGGAACAGCCGGAGTATTCCATTCGCGAAATATATGAAATAATGTCGCAATGTTGGAAAGCTAAACCCACCCTACGTCCAAGTTTTACAGACCTCGTGGAAAGCATTGGTAATTTATTGGAGGAAAGCGTGAAATCGGTGAGTTAATTTTTATTTAATTAGATTATTGCGTCATGATACAAAAGGTATAATATATACCTAAATCAATTTTTCAAGAGAACAACATAATAACATCAATAGAAAGTTATCACTAATATTAAATAATTTAATATTTTAATTAAAGATATATTATTAATAATTCAATCGCAACAAGCTTGAGATAATTTTGCTTAAAAATAAATATCCAAAGCACTATATATATTTAAATTTTCTATGAATAATTACTTGCATTTTAAGCAAGATATAAAAGCATTATATTTTTCTGTTCCAGCATTATATCAGTCTGAATACCCCGTATATGGATATGAACACGATGATTCTGGAGAGTGGTAAAAATGATTATTTAACGATGATGTCCGCGCCGGATCATGGGGCTCTATCGTCACCGGGACATTATGCGAACTCACCATTTTCGGAGGGCGCGCCAGATTCGTCATACTTGTGTATGAGTCCCAACTGTCAGACAAATGAGTCCGGAATATTTAGTCCTAGACCACATGAGGATCGTTCGCACTTTGAATTCCCGTCGCCCGCATCAGACTCGGAGGATGCGGTCGAATTGTCGCCCATGTTGAAGCATGAGGAAGATCCCTATCTGAAGCCGATTAATGTACAAGAGCGAAGAGCAGAATTCGCGCGACAGAGAGAAGCAATGAAGAACCAGATGACCGAGAGGTCCATCGATCGAGATTCCGGTTATTGCAACGCGCCGCGAAATCTTCATCTGATCGACCTGAATGACATGGATGAGAACGACGCGGCTCATCGAGCGGATGCGGACTCGAAGAAGGACTATGTGCCACCCATCATCAGTACTCAGGATAACTATGTGAACATGCCGAAACAGAAGAGCGATTTAAGATTAGGTGTACCAGACGGTTTCAGTAATCCTAGCTACGTGATGATGAATACCCGCGAGATGGACCAGCGTGTTTAGTCCGCTTATAGTGACTTCAATCGTATATTTTTGTGAATATTACGCTTTAAAAACAGGACTGAATGTGACTTAGTGATTTATTTGTAATTTTGTATTGGACTGACTTTTTCTACTCTTATAATTATAATCATATGTCATAATATTATTGTGATACATAGTATCTAATAATATGAAATAACACATAATTTAATATTTCGTGAAATGTTTCTCAATCAATGTGCCATGGTGATTAATAACATCAACAAGAATCAGTGAGTAGAAATAAAAGAAATACTTTTTATGAATATATATCACAGAGAACACATATAAAGACTTATTATCAGTATATTCGTGTTTATTTTATATATATATATATATATATATATATATATATATATAAGAAAATTAAAATCTTCTATTTTATATATATATATATATATATATATATATATATTAATTATTCATTTTTAATACAATTTATATGATATGAATTTTTAGTTTGCAAAATAGTTTACTCGTGAAAATAAAATTTTATTGTGAAGAAATTATATTTTATCGATAAACGCATTTTTTGAAATTAAGAATTAATTTTTAGTAGTATGGTTATTGCGTATATAAAATGTATCGTAAAGTAATCAGATTGTTGAGCATCTTCATCTGTTGCTTATTAAGACTTTGGAATCTAATAGCTAATTAGTCAATATTTTAGAATATTAGATAACATTGTAAAATATTATCACATTAAATTTTTCTCGTTATACACAATATCATATGCAAAGTACAATATAGAATACTTAAACAATGGGTCTGTTCGTTTTAGCTGCACTGCTGCACTAGTGCAATAAGTTAGAAAAAGACAAACATACTTTCTTTCACTCTAACTAATTGCACTAGTGCAGCAGTGCAGCTAAAACGAACAGATGTAATATATAGTATATTATATAATATATGGTAAGAAAATGCATTGCACATTTCGATTTCATTACTAAGATATTTTTATTGATACTATAATTTATTCAAAACATTAACATTTTAGTTTTTTATTTCTCTATTTTATTAAATATATTTGCGCGCAAGACTTAGTTCTTTTTTATTTTTCCACAAAATAAGCAAATTATGAAAAATTCAAATATTGCATAATATTATATATTTTATATAACGTAAGATACATACAAAATCTCTTGTCAATTTGTACTTAATACTCATAATATTTGCACTTTGCTTTGTAAACACTATATGTATAATATTATATGTTGAAGTAGAATTATTTCAAAACTTAGAAAATTATCCTTAGGAAATCAGCCATATTAAGTTAAGAACAATTTTTTTGTACAAGCGTGAAGTATATTAAACATTTAATGTCTAATATTCTTGTGTTTTATTTCTATAAAAAAGAAAATAATGATTGAAATGATGGGAATGATTGAGAAATTAAATAATGATTATATCAATATTATTTGAGCAGTATGATATATAGTATGATATATATTTATGTACAACAAATCTATCGACTGCAGTGTGATTTTTAATCAATCACGATATGATTTTTATCCAGTTAAAAATATGTAGTTGATGTGACATTGAAAACCAAATGTTCAAGTAAAATTGAAATTCTAATCGAAAGTAAATAATACAAATTATTAACAAATACAAATTATTGACGAGTCTATGATTATTATTTCGACATAATTTCAACTATATATCAATAAATGTATTAAAATATTTATATAAAATTTAAATTTAATGTAAATTCAATAATAGTACAAACGTATATATTGCACAGTTCTCTAATTAATTGAAATAAAAATTAAATACAACAATTAGGGATTTGGCTCAAATAATTAAAAATTAAATCGAAATTGGCACATAAGAGCCACAGTACAGTAGTTGGAGCGCAAAGAAGAAACAATATTTTCTTCTTTTTTATTATTAGTTTATTACAAAACTCAAATCACAATAACTAAAAGGCGAACGTTTCGGACCATATGCTTCTTCGGCGCAATGTTAACAGATTATTCTCACTTTCGTTATTATTCTTCAACTGCAGTACGCATTTCTTGTGTAAGCCGATTGACACATCTCTCATTTCACAGTGCATAAAATAAAGCGTACGTTAACGAGTGTCTTTCTGTCACCTTTCCTTACCTATCACGTTTAATATTTTTATAAAAATATTTAACATATAAATATGTCCTATAATTATATAAAAGAATATATCTTATAATTATATAAAAAAAAATAATAATTATATAAAGCAGACACATGAGTAATCTTTACAAAATCGGAGCAAACATCTCAGTTATACGATTGTGTAATTTGTAATAAAAACTTGACTTACTTATTATTGTAGGCCGATCGCATGCAAGACTATGAAGAATTAGTTCGACGTAGGTAACTCTTGGTACTAGCAGGCGTATAGTGTCAGACGTGAGATGATGTCTTCGATAAGTTGTACTCAAACGAGAAACCGAACGGATGGTTCCTGTTCTACAGCAAGAGATTCAGTGTGAAAGTGACCATAGAACATAGTAGAGAATTGGGTTCTCGAAGAACTCCGGGGTCTATTTTCGCGCGCACTCGCGTTCAACAATGTTCATTAAGCAACATGCAAACATGTGAGAATCCGGCAAAGCATGAGAGAAACGAAAATGCTTCTGCATTAAATACGATGGTGTTCTGGTATTCATCGTTTTTACGCTAAATTGCAAAGGTAATTAACGCGATCTGGCAACCTGTCCGCTGTATCTGTCATACATATGTATGCGTGTGTCCTCATGTGTAGTTGTAAGAAGTATAAAGTGGTCATGTGTATCACGACTGTCATTGAGTCACATTTATCGATTTTACTCGAAGAAATACGACAAGGAAACTTTTTTACTGTTACTAATAGCAAATGCCTATTCGACAAAGATTAATAGCAAATGCTTAATACGACAAGGAAACTTTTTTACTGTTAATAGCAAATGCCTATTCATTGTTTCAATAGCGTCCGTTAATATTTGTCCGTGTATATATTAAGATAATGTTGGGTGAAGTAAGTTATATATGTTTTTCTCATTTTGATAAATCTTTTCTCATTTTGATAGATCTTGCAAAAAATGTGATATAAATTCTATAACTTCTTCTAAGCATAGTTTCATAAAAGTAACAGTAATATAAATATTAAATCTAAAATTTCGTATATGGTATGAACATAGTAAAAGTATTTAACATAATGCTGTTTCTGTAAATAATCTTGTAAAATAGTCGATGTTTTTTTATTCTATAAAATGGATATTATGATACAATGCCAATGTATCAATCACAACAAATCAGATTCCGCCTTTTTATGCCGTTGTGTCTTTCATATCAATTTGAAATTCGATGATGAAATGTATGAATGTGTGTCGTCGCGTTTAATGTAATATAATCTGTTAATATTTTTGCGCTGAAAAAGCATCAAATATGATCCGAAACGTTCGCCTTTTAGTTAATGTGATTAGAGTTTTGTAATAAACTTATAATAAAAAAGAAGGAAATATTGTTTCTTCTCTGTGCTCAAACTATCGCGCTGTGGCTCTTATGTGTCAATTTTGATTTTTAAAAATTAAATATATCATATATTAAAAATGAAAAACTAAATATCATCGTATTCATTGTTATTAACAGTTATCATCAGAAGCATTGACACAAAATATTTTTTTAAATATCTTTATAAGGTAAATATCTTTATAAATATTTTTATAAAGTATCTTACGAATTGGATATCTTGCTAATTATTAATTGAAAAAAATAACTGTTCGATACTTATTTATTTCCATTAATAAAAAAACTCTCTTTCTCGTAAAATAAAAAAAAAAGAATAACAAAGAACAAAATATGGTCGATCGATATGTATCTTTTGGTCATGAAAGTTAATTATATTTTAGTAAAGATTGATCATCTGATCTAGAACATAAATATTAATATTATATATAGTTAATCACTTGATTTGCAAATGTACAATTATACAATTTGTCGATTATTATTATTTACTTCTACTTTCTTTATTTTTATATATAATTTTCATATTTTATTAATCTGTCTTAATATATAATACATTTGTATAATTTAAAGTAATATTAACTCGATAAAAATCGCGAAATGAATAATTATATTTTTGGATCTATCTCATCTGTAATTCTGATAGAATACGGAACGTCATGTATCGTTGTGTTATTACGAAAGCGACCACGTCGTTTAATAACATCTTCAACTAAATTTTGCTTGTATGACATCCATCTAAAATGGAAACCAAAGTAGTAGCAATAATTTTTGTCTAAATCGTGATTGATAATTAAAAAAAAAACAAATATTATTTGATACAATTTAACGTACTTTCGATTAAGGAGAAACTCGTTGAATAATTGCTTCTTAGTTGGATACTTTGAGTCCATGAACAATTTTACGCGTCCCCAGATATTAGCACGATTGTGCTCGAGCAACCAATATCGGGGAATAAGAAAACATCGTACCGGTGTAATCGCTACGATTCTTCGATGAAGCATTTTCTCTCCTAATTTTATAAAGTTTGGTTTGTTGAATCGCAATACGCATTGGTGGAGAAAAGAATGTTATATCATTTATCTCTCACCTAAACCGAAACATGCACCTCGAGAAAAAGTGCATACTTGCATAAATATAGTACGAACGTCGTTCGGATAACGTAACTGAGACGTAATAGATGGTTCTCGCATCAACATTGCTGCGACATCAGTAATTTCATGCCACCCTTTAACCTTGATTTTTCAATATCTATTAACACACGCAAACTTCTCAACCGTCCTAAATTATAATAATGAATCGAATAGAATTTATCTGAATGTAATTATTTTACTTCAATAAATTTGATTGAATTCTAAACTTCAATCAATTATCTCAATATATTACTTGATTAGCTATTTTAATTTAATAAATTATAATTTCATTATATTATAATATAATTCGATATAATATTCGGTGGTTCTATTTAGGTAGGAAGACATATATTATGTTATATTGTAAATAATAAGATATTATGTTATGTTGTAAATACTTACGACGTCCAAAAGCGTAGTAGTAACTATACTTAATCGATCAACATCTGTATCTGTGTTGGCAGGTCTCTGTAATAATAAAAAAAATGAATTAAACATATTGTATGAATTTTTAATTGATAACGATTAAAAGTAACCAAATTTCTAATAATGTCTTTCTAATAATGATTAAAATAACTAATTGCTATACGATCATTAGTTAATACAGACTTTCTCTACACATTATTCCAATTTTACACAACACTAGAAACAAAACTTTTGTAAAATACTCTTGTACCTTTACGGAATAAATGCAAGCTAATTTATTCTATAAAAAATACAATATATCTAAAAAAATGTTAATATAAACCAAGTAATTATTTCTAAGCTTATGTATGAGAGAAAGACTATTATTTAAAATGCTTTCTTCACATTAAAGATCAACACAATGCAATGTGTGCAAGTGTATGTGTTAGTTGAAAAAAATACAAGTGCAAGTGGAAAAAAGTTCAAATGTAATGATTAGTCTACAGGAAATTTAGCATATTTTTATAACATTCGTACTTGATTAAATTTGTAATTTAATTCACGCAGTTTGTCAGATTTTTTTGACACTTCTTTTGGTTGTTCTTGCGGACCTGAAGAAATTTCGGGATCATATAATTCGTATTGTGTTCCGTGATAAGAAGGACGTTCGCGAACAAGCATATGTTCGATAAGACGGCACTCGCCACTTAAAACAAAATGCACGTAATTCACCATGCCTGTTCCATCGCCTAACAGGACCTTCCAAATTTATCGACATTCTTATTATTATTCCTTTTTTTATGTGTATTCTATTTTACTATCTTATTGCTAGATTTATATTATATAATCAAGAATGCGGGGAAATAATCGAGAGATCTCTCACGTAAAATTATTATTACACCAGAGAGATTATTTACCTCATTAGGCTTAAAGTCTTTCAGTTTGCTTAGAATACAACACTCTCGTACCGTTTCTTCGTCCCATGCTTTGAAATAATTGAAATGAACTAATGCGTCCCGCAAAACGTCCCATTTTTCTGTCAAGGTATCGCGTAAGATATTGTTGAAATCATCTCGTCTAATTAGAAGCAAATCGACTGATGCTAAATGATATTTGTAGGAAAACAATATGAATTTCAATCTAAATAATATATGTATCATCAAATCTATGATTTTATTCACTTTTACTAACTGTTAGTAATCACAGTTGATGTTCTCGGTATTGAATGAAATAGTGCAACTTCACCAAACATATCACCTGATTGCATAATACCCATGTCTATAGTTTTCTCGTCACCTAACAAAATATTGTACAACTTATTTTATTTAATATTAAATTATACAACGTTAACCTTAATATATAATTATAATGATTCTTTCCTTGATATATAGGCAGAATGATTTCTCTCACGATAATAAATTTAAAAAAAATGTTAATCATGACATGGAGTTAAATTGATAAGAAAGAATTAATTTTCACAATATATGCTATTAAATACAAATTATATTCGAGAATCCTAAATAGAAGTATATCTTGCGCATGACTCAGCAAATGTTCTAACTAAAACTGCAATATAAACATTAAATCATTTCGTTTGATATAATTAATTTTACTGTCCAAAAATATATTTCGTGCCGTTATTTTCCTCACCTGAAAATTCATCAATCGCAACTCTCGATAGACTGACTTCGCCGTTCGCTATAAAATAAAGGTTTTCCGCTTTGTGACCCTGACGAACAATTACACGACCAGCCGGTAAATACTGATAAATGCATACCGCGGCTAAATTTTCTCTCAAATCCTCTGAATGTTTCGAGAATGCGCGCAACTTTTTAATAAGATCGTATATGTATGCTTTGTCCGTGGAGGATCTTTCAATCGGATTCACTAATAGTATTGATCGATCCTTAAATCAGCAATAAATTATTTATTCGATGTCTGTTACAAAGTTCTGATATTCCTTTTTATTTTGGTTTATATATTTTTTAATAAGTTTCGTGCACATATATGCTTCATCAAGTACCTCTAATGTGAGTAGCTTCTTTTCTAGTCTGTGTCTTTGTTGAGTCATTTTAATATTAATCGCTACATCATCGCTAATTTCTTCGATTATCGGTATCTCCGTTATCCATTCTATATATTCTAAAACACGTCGCACTGCTGACCGAAACAAATAACGACCTTTCAATCTTTCAACCTAAATAAAGATATACAACAATGTTCAGTAAAAATGTGAAGTATACACACACACACACACACATACTCATGTAAATATAGTTATATTATATAGGTATTCCCTGTGTGTGTCTATAATTATTATAACTATATTATTATAACTAGTTACTACTAGTTAATTACATTTTTTAATCCATTACATAAGTGTAACTACAAATAGTTACATTAGACAAATTTTTTCTGCATTTCATCTAAATTAACATATTTTATCGGAAATATAAAATATTAAAATAGTAACGATCAGTTTAGCACATATAATATGCAATATCAAATTATAACCTTATATTCAACTATAATATTATTTTTTATATTAATAAATATTCTTAACTCAATTATAATTTATTTTATAAATTTTACTTAAAAAATATTATATAAAAGAATAAATTAATATTTTAAATAAGTATGTGTTGTTGCTATATTATATATAATGTGTTATTTGTACAATTAAGAAATTTCTTTTGATATACATTATTATAAATTTCTTAAATATTTTTGCAATAAAAAATTTTAAATCTAAGATTTCAAATATGTATCTAAATCAAAACTCTATGAAATATTATCGAAATAAAGACTTTCTCACCCTGATAAGTAGCAAAGTCTTTCTTGGCAATAATCTGTATGCGAGTGAATGTCGTAAGGAACTTCTTCTTGCTGTATATAAGGACATTGTGTTAAAAAAAAATGTTGATTATTTCTTATAAATACTATTAATTTTTTATCTTTACAAATAATCACTGTCTACAAAATCACTGTCGTCACTCAGGTTCGGTTGATTTATTTAATCGATCATTATGGCTGCAGTCAAGGAAACGCTTAGACCTCCGCTATAATAAATAGTAAGTCACAAACAAACCACCAACCATAAATAATTATTTTTGAAATAATCGATCATGGCTGTAGCCAAGGAAAATGTCATACATATTATTAGCATTTCATTAGATGAATGGAATCTTAAAGACGCGCCACTAAGAACATACTTAAAATAATTTTATATAATAACGAATTCTATGAATACTGGCCTAAAATACAAGATAAATAGCCATAGAGATAAACAAAACTGTAAACAAATTTTTTATTTAAAAAGACATATTTTATTCATCTTTTCGCCTTGCAAAAAAAGAAAAAAAAATCATAAAAAGATGAAAGATCTTTTTTAGATAGTCTTTTCGACAAAACAAAACGATGTCCTAATTTTAATATCTCTTTGTGATATGCTATCTAGAACGATTATTAATGTGTTCAAAAAAAAAAAGAATATTCATATATTTCAAAATAAAAATTAACATATGTTTTCATATGTAATTATATATATATATATATATATATATATATATATATATATATATATATAAGCAATTCTATCGAGAGGTTTCTTATTGGTGCTTGACAGTTAACAACATTGGATACATTAAGAAAATATGCATGAAAAGAATTTGTGCTATTTGAGTTTTGTGTATAACATTGCATATTTATAATAAATTGGTAGTATTCTCCCATTGATAGTAAAATTATGTCATATTTAGAGTAATAAAAAATCTTTCCTTTTGATTTTATAAAATTTTTCTTACAAGATATAATATAATTGCGATAGAAATTAAGACAGAATTCTATTTATTATATTACATTTGTAATAAATAAAATATAAAAATATATAAAATATATAAAAAATATAAATATATTATATTTATAATTATTTTTTAAATGTTTTTTATTTAGTAAAATTAATAGAATTCTATATTTAATTTGTCATGAAATATCCTAAACAAAATTATTATACAAAATTATTAAATTATTATTATTAAGATTTTTAATTTGCAAAGCATTTAAATATAATTAGATAATTCAATGTTGAAATCGTCGAATGATAACTGAAAATTCGCCGAATGATAATTGAAAATTCAATTTGTATATTTTGCTTTGTACATGTCGTTTGATTAGAATTTTAAATTTATTTCGTTATCTGGTTTTCAATATTATTTTCGATAGTTCGACGTCATTTCCGATTAAATATTGTTATTTTTTGTTTTTTTTTTTATATTTTAATATTTTTTTATATTTATTGTTAATTACAACAATGCTTAATATTGCTATTAATGTTAAATATACTAATTGTTAATATTGAATATCAATAGTATACTTTGAAAATCATATACATAATAAATATAGAATAATAATGTACATATTTTTTGAAAGCAGTTCTTAAACTATAATAAAATAGGTTTTTAATAAGGTTTTTAATAACTAATCTAATCGGAATTTATATGCGAAGCAATGAACTTTTAACATTTAAAGAAGTTAATCATTTTCAACATTATTTAAGAAAAAAATGAATTTTTAAATATTTGTCAATGTTGCATTTAATTTGTACTTTTGTTATGTAATTGTTACCTGTACAAATTTAATATTCAAATTATTTTAAACTTACCTTGACAGGTGGTTTATGTACAATAAAATTACGTAATATTCAAACGCGGGATAATGAAACTATTAATAGTTGAGGAAATCAATTATTTAAACAATATAATACAAATAATACGTGAATACATACTATTTGCACACTCAATTTTCACAATGAAACAAAACTTACTAATAAAAAGATGACAAATATTAATATATATTTTGTTTACGATACATGAATCTCATGGAAGATATATGGCTGCGAGTCTCGCGCTTCGAAATATAAGCTTCACGGAATGACCATCAGTTACAATTATAACAGACACTATTATTACATTAACGAGATACTATTGAACTGACCGATGGTTTTATGAAATTTAACGGGGCTGAAAAGAAACGTGTTGCGCGCTATTGTATGATAAAAAGATCTTTATATTCGATAATAAAATAGTGACTTGATAAATAAAAATTTATCTTGTTATTTTAAGGCAGTTATATAAAAGATCTATATACTTTTAATTATAAAACAATAGTTGGATAAACTTTAAATAATTTTCTCATAATTTAAATAATTCGTATTTTCAATGCAGTCCGTAAAAAAATGGTCAATAATATTATCATTTTTCTATCATCTTCGAGTTTATCAAACCGAATTAATCGGAAACTTGATCAATCATAAAAATTTACTCAGGGTTAGTGATCTTTATAATAATATCTTTTCGCGCGGTAGCTTAAAAAACCAGGATATTTTGAAATTAGAAATTCCTAATCGGAATTTATATGCAAAGCAATAAACCTATTAACACTTGAAGAAGTCAATCATTTTCAAACATTATTTAAGAAAAAAATGAAATTTTAAATATTTGTCAATTTAATTTGTACTTTTGTAATTGTTACCTGTATAAATTTAATATTCAAATTATTTTGAACTTACCTTGACAGGTGACTTATGTGCAATAAAATGACGTAATATTCAAACGCGGGATAATGAACAGTTGAAAAAATCAATTATTTAAACAATATAATACAAATAATACGTGAATACGTACTATTCGTACACTCAATTTTCACAACGAAACAAAACTTACTAATAAAAAAATGACAAATATTAATATATATTTTAGTTACGATACATGAGAATCTCATGAAAGACATATGGCTGCGAGTCTCGCGCTTCGAAATATAAGCTTCACAGATGACCATTGGTTACAATTACAATAGACATAATTATTACACCACTAACAAGACATTATTGCACTGACCTGATTTTACGAAATTTAACAGGGCTGAAAAGAAACGTGTTCTGCGCTATTATAGTTAAAAAGATCTTTATATTCGACAATAAAATAATGACTTGACTAAATAAAAATTTATCCTGTTTTTAATTTATTTTATCTTGTTATTTTTTAGGCAGTTAAGCGTCGTCTACAAAGAGATTTTAAGCCGGATCTACATTGGTCTATTTGCGACGTTACGATATGACCAATGTACACTGCGCGACAACGATTCGTTCCGTGACCTCTCTCTCGCGGGGCAAGAAGAGCGTAGAAGTGATCAATCAGCTGGCAGCGTGGCAATGGCTGATTGGTTAGAGGCTACGCTCCCCTTGCCTCGCGAGAGGGACCATGGAACGAATCGTTGTCGCGCAGTGTAGATCCGGCTCCAAGGAGATCTCAGGGTTAGTGATCTTTAATAATGGGTCTGTTCGTTTTAGCTGCACTGCTGCACTAGTGCAATTAGTTAGAGTGAAAGAAAGTATGTTTGTCTCTTTCTAACTTATTGCGCTAGTGCAACAGTGCAGTTAAAACGAACAGATCCAATATCTCTTCGGTGACTATACGGTTGAAAAGAACCTGGATATTTTGAAATTAGAAATTCCCTATTTGATAGCCAATCAGGATATCTAACAAGCTTGTCGTATGAGAAATGTAATATAATCTTACTCCGAGAATTCGATTGGATGAGATTCTTGATTCTGTGTTCGAAAAATACACTTTTAGCGTTATGAATGCGCCTTAATATTTAGTACTCGTAGATTCGTGACTACTTGCAGTTGATCTTTCTTTTTTCAAATCATTTCTTGTCGTGCGTGAATTTTTCGAGCGATAAAATGGTAATAATTGGTATTCTTTACACGATGTATTTCTGGCACATAAATAAGTTATCAGTGTTAAAATTATTTTGTATAATTCGTTACATGAACTTGTATGATTACGTTTGTGAGGTTATGAGTTGACAATGACAGTCAACTTTGATTGTCCCATTTAAATTTTATTATTGAATAATGCAGAAAATAATTATAAAATAAATAATTAATAGTGTCAGTGTATAATCAAGAATAAATCATACTTGTGTATATTATATAAAAATAGTTTATTATTGTATAGTTCAAGTCTTCAAACCACCAAAATTATCACCAAAATTTGATCTAATTTTGTTCATATTGAGAAAGTTTATTTGACATATAAAAAACTTATTTTAATTATAATTATTATTTTAGAGTTTCGGGTTGCCATCAATCATACCTAAGTCTACTGTACCTGAGCAATTTGACGTTAAAGGTGGAACTAGTTATGATATACCCAATCCTATGATATCAGGGTATGAGAGTACATTATTACTAAAATTAATTGATAAGTGAAATTATTAAAAAATGAATGTATCTTTAATTATATGTTTTTTTAAAGAGTAATTAGCAAAAAATATATTTGTAATAATAATAATTAGAATTCAAAACTTATATAGTATAAATATCTTTTAAACTTATTATATAGTATAAATATTCTTTTTTCTATAAAAATGGCTTGAATAATTTATTTGATTGTTTCTAGTTTGTTTTCTATAGTAGTATACTAGTAATGTTTTCTATAGGAGTCTACTAATGTTATTTTTATTTATTTAGTTTATCAGCAACTAGACAGAGCATTGGTTACACACATCCTTTGGAAGCTTCAGAAAGAAATGTAAGATTTCTCATTATATTTCATTAATACTGGATATAACTTTGGAACATTAAATTGTAATTTGTATTATTTATTTCAGTATGTAAAAAATCAAGATCGCATGAACATGACACTACTTAGAAATACACAAGGATTACATGCACCATTGCGTATAGCGATGGAATTGAAAGCCACTGAAAAGATTGGAAGACTTCCGTTCTTATCATCATCTAACGTGATGCGGGATGTTTTGCTTGGACGAGATCAAGATATAGGGTAAAACATTTATAATAATTATTTTTCCACTAATATATTAATTTATATATTATACAATTTATATATTATATATTTATATATTATACAATTTTTGTTTATTTGTATTGTTATTTTTAGATTTGAAGATATTTTCAATACGCCAGAATTCAGAGAACAAATGGGACAGCCACACGCTGTTGTAGAAAATCATCTTGGAATATTATAAAAATTAAGTATGCAGAAATTGCATTTTTTAATTTAAAATGCAAATTAATATAAAATAAATAAGAGTTATTAATAAACATTAGTTTTTATAAGTTAAATGTATCTTTTCTCTTTCTGGAAAATCAATAATTACATGCAAAAAATTTTATAAAACTTAATATGTTGATATATGTACATCTATCAAAAATGACATGTTTGAAAAAAAATAAATAAAATGTTTAACAGTGAAAAGCTTATTTTTTAATTATTTTATTGATCTATTAATAGATCAAAATTAATATATAGTATGTATTATATTTTGATGATTCTACTTTCAAAGGAGCGCTTTGTCAACTCGACATCAAGGACGACATAACATGACGCATCACGATATCTCGAAAATTTTGATATGTGTAATCCAAAATGGCTAGAATGTGAAAGTTAATTAAGCAATAACAAATTCGATTGTTAGTGCAAGTGTTTCCTAATTGTTTATATTATTTGGCAACGGACTGTATCAAATCTAGAAAATTATTTTCTTCTGTGACAGTATTGTCTGCGATAAAAGGCGAAAGAAGAAATGTATTCGTTCTAATTAAGCTTAACTAAAGAGCTAACCTTAAATTATCGAAACTAATATTTATATGTAAAAAAACATAAGAGATAAAATCAGTTGACAGCACGTTAAATTTTATTATTAAAAAAAAGCAATATCAGGTGTCTGTCAGTATCCGGTTTGACGAAATTAGTCAGGTAGTCTGAATCTGCTTGTCAAGATAGTGACCTTGGCCAAGAAGATCGTAAGTGTTGTATATTGAAAGAGTGGATAATCCGAGGAAACCGGAGAATACTTGAAAGCGAATTAAATCACTTACTGACCTGAAAATCAACAATTTTCTCTTCTCAGAACGAACTCAAAAAAAACGCCATCAACGTCAAACAAACACTGTATCGCCAACAATGACGACAACCGTAAAAATTCTAGATGGTGGCTTTTCTGGGCAACTGTCACGTCACGTAGGCGCGAAGATCGACGGCGATCCGTTGTGGACGGCACGATTCCTCGCGACCGATCCCGATGCTGTGTACGCCACGCACTTGGACTTTCTACGTGCCGGCGTCGATATTATCGAGACCAATACTTATCAGGCGTCCGTACCTGGCCTCATGAGGTATTTGAACGTGAACGAACACGAAAGTCTGAATCTGCTTGCCAAGGCTGTGGGCCTTGCTAAGAAGGCTGTAGACATTCATATACAAGAAACGGATAATCTTCGGAAACCGCATACAAGACCCATGATAGCTGGTTCCTGTGGTCCTTATGGAGCTTATCTGCACGATTCCTCGGAATATACCGGTTTCTATGGGAAATCCGTATCTCGACAGGAGCTGATCGATTGGCACAGACCGCGCGTTCAAGCATTATTGGACGCCGGTGTTGATTTATTGGCTCTAGAAACTATACCCTGCATCGAGGAAGCGGAAGCTTTGCTAGAGCTACTGCGAGAGTTCCCACATGCTCGTGCCTGGTTGTCATTCTCCTGTCGAGACGGTCAGCTGTTAGCGGACGGTAGCATCTTCCAAGAAGTAGCTGTGCGTTGTTACAGAGCTTTACCCTCGCAGATTGTTGCAGTTGGTATTAATTGCATTGATTCGAGGTACGTGACTCCTCTGTTGAAGGGAATCAACGTCAACGGAAAATCATCGTCGCAAGATTTTATTCCTCTGATAGTATATCCTAACAGAGGTGGTAGTTACTCCTCGATCGACGGATGGACCGCAGTCCCGGATGATCATTCCTTAAAACTACCTATATCAGAATGGGTGGACATGGGAGTTCGTTACATTGGTGGTTGCTGCAAGATCTTCGCAGAGGATATAAAAGTGATTCGATCGGAAGTTGACCAATATTGCGCAAAAATCACAGCAGTGTGATTTCTTTGAAAGGAAGCTGATGCAATGATCTTCGAAACTGTATGATACACATTTTTACGAATATTACTTTACGTATTAAAATCTCTCTCGCTACTGATTAAAGATAGCGCGCGCTTAATTAGCTGAAAATATGAAGTAAGTTTGAGAAGATTAAAGCTGATAAAATGTTTGTATGGCCAATGATTATTCTTAATATGAAAAGCCTGTGAATATTGATGCAATTTGTTACAATCAATAATTGTTTATAATACATAAGTATAATATGTATATATAATATAATATCTATACATAAGTATAATATCTATACAATACTTTATACAGCTATATTTTTAATTTTTATATTAATTTCTACATAATATATATTTCTACTTGAAGAAAAATATAATATTAAAATAAATATAATCAGATATATATATATATATATATATATATATATATATATATATTAAATAAAATTATTTATGTATTTAAAAAAATATAAAAAGATAAAAGCATGTTTTTCTGTGTCGCGTATTTTGTTCAGAACATATTAATTTTTTTTATCTAATTGGAGAAAGTATCTTCATTCATAAAAATGTTTCAAAAATAAAACGTAATATTTACAGCTCCCTGACACGTGAAGAATATATTTATATGATGAAATATTTAATATGATGAAATGATCATTACAGGTAAACATTATTATCTTTCTTTCTCATGTTCTCCCAATGATTGTTCAAAAAAGAACTTCCTCCGTTATATTATCTTTGGATTGTGACCTTTTTTATAATAAATTTATAAGAGGAGCTTTTTATCACGACTTATTCGAAAGAGGGCAAACATTTGCGTGGATTGTCAGATAATATTTTATCGTCGTGGAATATCTTTTTTTCTCGTATTGTGCTGACTTTTCTCTCAGTTTCTGGCTAATATATATTCACCAATAAAATAATCATGTTACATCAGCGATAGATAAGCACGTGACAGATAAACATAGACGATCTAGAGCACATGCGCTATGCGGAAGATGCACAAGTCTTATCAATCATTTCTGTTTGTCTTGTTGGCTTGGTGACACGCACTTTGTCGATGATAAACTATCAAAATGTTGCAGCGATAACGGCAAGTCATCCTCGATACAATTAGCTTCGTGGCAATAAAATCTGCACAAGTTGGGCCAACATCTTACTTTGAAGTGAAGCGCATCAATTGTACGATTGTACATCAACCGGAGTTTCGAGATTTTTTCAAATTTGAGAGAAAAATCATGAAGATAAAAGTGCTGGATGCTGGTTTCTCTACGCAATTGTCCACTCACGTAGGTGATAAAATCGATGGTGATCCTTTGTGGACCGCACGTTTCCTCGTAACCGACCCGAACGCTGTCTTTGCTACGCACTTAGACTTCTTGCGAGCCGGTGCCGACATTATATTGACCAACACGTATCAAGCTACAATTGATGGTTTTGTAAAATACTTGAACATGACAGAAGAAGAGAGTCTTCAGATAATTGGTAATGCTGTCGATTACGCTAAAGATGCTGTGAACGTTTATAGTAAAGAGATAGAGGATAACGCAAACATCGTGACGAACCGAAAACCGCTGATCGCTGGATCTTGTGGACCTTACGGTGCTTGTTTACACGATGGCTCGGAGTACACTGGTTCGTATTGTCCAAATGTATCGCGACAATTTTTGATCGATTGGCATAGACCTCGTATACGCACACTGATAGAGAAAGGCGTAGATCTATTGGCGATAGAAACAATACCTTGCGTTCGCGAGGCAGAAGCAATAATTGATTTACTCAAGGAATTTCCGGATACATACGCATGGTTGACCTTCTCCTGTAGAGATGACGGGAAGAGTATAGCGGATGGCAGCAACTTCCAGAAGATCGCCATGAGATGTTACAAGAAAGCACTTCCAGGACAGCTATTAGCGATTGGCATTAATTGTATCTCCCCACAGTACGTTACTGCCTTGTTAAAAGGCATTAATCAAAACTCGGACGATTTTATACCATTAGTGGTGTATCCTAACAGTGGAGAAAAATACATAGTATCTGAGGGATGGAAGAAGGAAGGAGAGGCTCCATCTCTACACGAATTTATCGACGAATGGTTGGATCTTGGCGTTTGCTACATTGGTGGATGTTGTAGAACATATGCTACAGATATAAAAAAAATAAGATCCAAAGTGGACCAGCGGCAAGAACAGCATATAGAATGAATTTTTACATTGAAAGTGCCTATTATGTGTTTTCCATGACAATAAATTAATGCACATTGTGCCATATCTTGTGAAGCAAACTGTTTTACATTTTGCTATATCTTGATTTTTTATTTTGCATACAAAAAATAATAAATAAATATAAATCGAGCATTATATTAATCCCAAAAATATAAAGTGTATTTTTACTCGTAATATTTTTTACTGATAATAAAATTATATACACAGATCTTGTGTAATTTTCCTTTTTTTTAGATTATAAAAGATACGTATTATAGGGACTTAATAATAATATACACTATTATTAAGGCTTAATTGCTTAGATCTTGAAAAATCAATATAAGTATCTAAATAATATCTTGTTTTAGAGATTCTATCGTTTTTGATGATTTAATATTTTTTAAAAATATATAATATATAAAAAAATTTTTTTAAACATTTTTATAAACTAAATATACATATTATATATAAATAATGCATATAATTTAAGAAAAAGGCAAAATATTAAAAAGAATGTTTTGATGACATAATGAAGAATGTAAAATTCTTGAATTATAATACACAAGATTTAATTTACTTCTAATTATATATATGTCTAAAACAAATTTATAAATAAAATAATTTCAAAGGCAAATGACGCAAATAAATGGAAACATAGTGACACTAAATGTACAATCCTATTTTAAAAAGTGCATGTTAATAAGATATAACAGAAATTATAAATTTGAAATCACAAAAGATTTCATTTCGATATCTAAGAATTAATAAAATAGGAATTAAAGAAGATTTGTATTTTAGGGATTAAAAGATATGTATTATAGGAATTAAGATATATTATTTTTTTCTTTTATGAATGCATAATAATTATTTCATTAAATATTGTTTTGTAAAATTATCAATAATATAGTTTTAATTACTTCATAAATAATTAATTGTATTCTTACATGATCAATATAATGAATAATATAGTTTTTCATTACTGAAATCAAATCTACTGTATTTACTTTTCCAAAGATTTGTCCATATATATTAAATACTCGCCTATTGGGTACGTATTATCTCCAATGCTGATTTCAATACTTTGCGTTTCTGCATTTACATTAAATATAGCATTAGACGGAATTTTAGTTTTTCCCTTCAAAATATTCTCTGGTCCTGGTTTAGTTCTTGGACCCAAAATTGGATCATCATACCGATATAATACTATGGAAGCAGGATCTAAACATAAATATAATTAATATATGTGAATTCTATGTAGCTAATTAATTTAAAATTATACAGAAATTATTATATACCATTTATGTGCTTATGTTTTTTTACAATATACGATACGATATCTTCAGCTGTATCTGGTGCAAATGAAATATTCATAGATAGTTCAAATAAACCACTGTAAATTTGCGGATTATTCATGCGTATTAGAAGTACAGGCTTCGTAGAAAAACTCATGAATGGAGACCCTGGAGAACATCCTTCCTTTGTTTTTTCTGGAGCTTTGTCAGTATATTTTATGAAAATATGTTCGAGCTAACAGGAAATAAACGAGAATATAATAAATTAACATATAATACTAACATATAATAATTAAATTGAAATTTATACAACAATTTCATACCTCTAATGTCTTTTTAAGATAATTCTTGTTATTTTTAAGTACTTCAAATTCGTTAAATTCAAGTGTCAAATCTAGGGCACTAATACCGACAACTTTCATTTTTTCTTTTACAAATTGCGCGAATGGCATTACTTTTTTCATATATTTTTTCAATTCATCTTTATTTCCTAGCTCTGTAACGAGTATTTTATTATCTGGTAATTTATTTCCATTTTTCTGTAATGTAAGCAAAAATGTTAATGGACAAAAATTAATTATCGCATACTAAATAAAATATTATTACTTACAAAATACATTTCTCTCATCGTCATAAGAACAATATTTTGCCAAGGTAGATAAGTCTTAGCTATCCATATAATTCCTTGCCTAGGTTTCTCTATGTCACCATTTTTTTTTGAAGACTTCTTTGATGTATTGTAATTTTTTAAAAGATTTCTGAATGTATGAGCAGCATCCATTAAATATTGGGATGATTTTATTAGAATTTCATCTATTTTTCCCACAGCAGGCCATTTTTCATTGAATATACTATGGGACTAGTAAATCACATTTTTCACGATTATATTTCTATATAAAACAATATATAAATATTTATTTTAACATTGAACTCTTCTTACTTTTTCATTATTAGATACAAGTTTCCATATATGTTCACAAATATGTGGGCAAATAGGAGCTAACATAATTGTTTGAAGTTTTATATATTTCATAATAAGAGTATAGTTGTAATGTTCCATTTCACTTAATTGCCAGTATTTATCTTTTGCTGCTTGTAATTCATAAAATCCTGTCTTTAATGCTTCCTTGTAAAGCATTTTTGAATAATTTTCACCAGTTTCTTTAACTTTTAAGTTCATTTCGCTGCATCAAATAAATGTATCACATTTCTATCTAATAATAATAAAAGAAACATAAAAGTAAAAAATACCTTTCAAAAACTTTGTCATGGAAAGTATATGGCCCTTCATATCTAAAGTTCATTAGATCCTTCTTATTGCATATACTTGTGACCCAAGTAAGATAAGTATATAGTCTAAGAACTCCCGCATCAGCTGAATTTTCAACAAAATTGGCATCTTCTATCGAATCACCAGAATCAGCTAGACAAAGACGGGTTCCGTCAGCCGAGTATTTTTCTATAGCTTCAGCAAGTGTTAAAAAATTACCCTCTGACTTAGACATCTGTGTTATAATATAACAATTAAAATTTTACATATAAAAAAAATTTTAAATATTTTAAGATTAATAATTAAACATTATTACTTTTGTTGAATTTAAAAGTAGATGACCATTTGCCCTTATTCCTTTTGGCCATAATTCAGGTTGATTCGGCCATATTGCTGTATGGTTGTACAGAAAATATGTGAGATGATTCTGTATCAGATCTTTTCCTGATGTTCTCAAGTCTACTGGATACCAATATTGAAACTCGCGTCTCATATCATTTAGAATAGTGTTATCTATACTTGTCTCAGGGAAGTCAGCGTCTTTGAAGAAGATATAATCCCATACTTCTGGAGTCATTTGATTGGCTCTGAAGAGAAACGATTAAATATTAATATGTAATTATAAATAAAACAATAATATACTTATAATTCTGCTCACTTTATTTTATGTCTAGTAAGTTTATCTCCTTTAAGGTTTGCTTGCAAGTAATGTGCTACTGTATAGTATGCCATGTAAATAGTGGAATCTGACAAAGATTCGATTAACCAATTTTCATCCCATGGTAATTTGGTACCTAAAGATCCAAGAGTCAGAAGAATAGCTTTATCTATATGAAACAATTCTATATCAAATCATATATTTACCAAGCCCATATTTTCTAGAACATGCATATTCATGTAACCAGTCAAAACATCTAAGGAAATTCTTTCTAACTTCATCATGGAAAGTATCAAGATTCTTTAAAGCTTCAAGTGTTTTTTTCTTCCAATTTTCTTCTCCGTAATCTAAGTACCATTGATCACATAGAGCCACTACACATTCATCATTTGATCTCGAAATAATAGTTTTCTCTGGTTCATAATAGATTACTGCATCACTACTATCAACTAATTCTTTTTGAATTAGTTTCTTAATATCTTGTACTTTCTTGCCTTTGTATGGACCTACTAACATTACACCATCATAAAATCCTTTCAAATATGCTATCTCTTTTGCTTTCATGAGTTGGATTTTATCATTTTGAGATTGAATCTTGAACTGATTGTATAATGTTACTGCTACTAAATTGCCCAATTCTGGAACTTCGATTATGGGAATCTAATACAATAAAAATACAAATAGTTTTATCAGGGAATATTACAAACTATAAATTTTTATTTATTATTCTCAATTAAGTAGTGCTATTCTTACTGGATCATATGGCAGCACCATTTCATTGGCGATTTTATACTTTTCTCTAAACGGCTGTTTTTTTTTCAGATCAACTAGTGCGGCATAATCATCGGGAGAATCACTGGGAACAGAAGTTACAATTCCAGTACCTTTGTCTTCTTTTATTGTCAACATAGGTAATGCATAGATCACCTTATTACTTGTGAGAGGGGATTCCAATGCTAATCCTAATAAGTCCTACAAATATAAATCTTTTGTTTTAAAAATCTGAAAATATAATTAATATAACTTGCATAAATAAATAGATCGCACTTTGCCCGTGAGTTTGTAAACAATGTCTATCTTTCCCTCTTCTTTGAAGAAATCTTGATAGGACATATTTCTCGCTGCACGTTCTGTAGAAATATATACATCCCCGCACGCTACATTATATGCTATATAATTAATGTCTGGATGTACCCAACAGTTTGTTTGACCATACATTGTCTCTGGTTTCATAGTTGCAGCTACGAGATAAACTGATTTATTACCAAAATCCCTGTAATGATATTTTTATTATATATTTGGCAAGATTACAGAACTTCAATAAATTATAGAATAATTTGATATAAAAAATATTACTTAATTTTTTGAGGATATAGCACTTTCATCTTAATCAATGTATATTCCTGTGGTCCAACACCTTCACCAGAGGATCTATCATGATCCATACATGGTTGACCATCTTTTGGTGAATAAATAGTATACCTCTTTCCAAATTTGATTTTGTTTCTACATTTCAAATGATGAAACTGCCAGCGTATGAAAGAATCATAAAATGGATTCACATCTGTTGTAATGAATGACCTTCGCCTATCCACCTGTATAGAATATTCCAAAAATATAGAAAATGGAGATAGAAGAAAACTTAACATAAAGATAATTATTTCATTTTCTTTATCTTATTATTCTTACATGAAGACCAAAAGATTTTATGTCATTTATAGCATGCTGTGGAAAATAATCTAACCAATATGCAGTATCAACAAAATTTTTAATTTCCTCATCTTGTAAGCCAAGGGACTGCATAATTTTCCATTGATATGTTGCTGAACCTGCTTTAGCAACTGCTTTACTCTGAAATTAACACCAATTATATCTTTTTCAAAAAATATGTATTGTGTCATTGTATTAAAATTCTCTTTTTACCTTTTTTCCTTTGCTTTTATTCTTTAACACATCCTCATCTATTTCTTTCACCATCTTCTCAGGAAATTCATTTTTATCCTTTAACACATCATTTATTTTTTCTTCCATCTCACTGTCTTCAGGAAATTTTGGTGGATAGCCATATATTTCCATTTCTCTTTTGAGTTTATCAGCGCTTGTTTTAATAGGCATACCAGTGCAGTGCAAGCCAAAAGGAAATAGTACTTTCTTTCCCAATAAGCGATTGTATCGAATGGCAAACTAACAAATATATTTAATAGTTTTATTATATATATTTAAGTTAATATATAAAAATATGAAAAGAGAAAAATATAGAAATATACCTCACACTTTGATGCTGAGAAAGCATGACCCAAATGGAGACGTCCATTCATGTAAGGATATGGAAAGGTTGCAAAAAATTTTTCATCAGGTGACTGCTTAATTCCGACTGTGCTCGTTTCGTGCAAATTATGCTTTTCCCAATATGCTTGTACCTCTTTCTCAATGTTTTTAATAACAGTAACTTTAAATTGACATTTCTCTGCTTTCTTTTCTTCCTGGTATATAAGATAATAATTTTTTAGCAATTGATTCAATATTGAAGTAATAATATATACTATTATAATGAAGTAGACATATCAAATAACATAATTATCTTATTTGTGACAATTTAGAATTGATTATGATAGGTAAACAAATAAATTTTCTATTATTTTTTACAAAGTTCAATGTTTATAAACAAATTGCAAATATAAAATTTATAAAAGTATCATTTTTCAGTACTTTCTCTCATCTTTCAGGCAAGTTATAAATTCCAAATCAATAAGAAGTTTGCTTTTTACTTACGATAAATTCATCAAATTATTTTCTTACTTCTTTAACATTTCTAATTTTTCTGTCTGAAGACTATATCTAATAAGATGGATGGAACAAAATAGCCAAACCAAATTCTAATAATGTGTCCTGATCAATTTTGCATGAGGCCAAATATTATCCTGCAAAAACTAACTTAACTGATCAATGATTCTATTTTGTAACGAATCATTTTCCTTTCAAATAATTCCTTATTCAAATAAAATAATTGATGACGATAGCAATCTGCAATTACTATTTCATCACATCACGTTCATAAATCATATCTCTCTTGTTTGGCTTCATGTGGTAAAATTTATCAAGGCACATTAATGAAATTTGACTCCAAGTTCTTTTGTCCTACTAAACATAATACTTTTACATTGTTATTTATTTTAATGGATGCAGCAGGCTCTATCTAAAGAAAATTTAAGAAGGTCAAAAAAAAAATAAGAAAATAACTTGATGAATTCATCGCAAGTGAAGATTTCCTGTCGAATTCAGAATTCATAACTTGTCTGAAAGATGGAAGAAAATACTGAAAAATGATGAGAATTACTTTTATGCTTAAATTGTACATGTACAATTTGTTAATAAACAGTGAATTTCATAAAAATAATAGAAACTTATTTATATATATCTAATAGATACCAACGGATACAGGTTAAGATACACATGTATTTGATAAATATTGATACAAATTGATACAAAGTATTAATATTTGATAGCAAAATTCAATTGATTAATACAATTTCAATACTCACCATTTTAATCACACGTATGTGTTTTAAATAGAAATAATTAAATTTTTTTACATATGCCGCGTTTCACAACGTGGAACATGCGGACACAGTTTACACTTTTTACAGACAGGCACTATCAATGAACAAACTATTCGATTCGATATACCGAAAATACTGTATCATATATATATATCAATTTTCAAAATTATAGCCAAAAATATTTAGCAAAAATTAAAAATGTTATTGATTATTGATATGAAATATTAAAAATTAATAATGTAAATTTGCTAAAATATTTTTCAATATAAAAAAAATATGATGAAATAATTACAATTATGTGATAATGCAATATATATGAACAATTTCTCTATTGCCAACACAAAGATATTGACATTTGATTGCTGAAGAATTTATATTGTACATGAATATTTTTTGAAATATAAAGATGTTATTAGTTGATTTACACATATGTGTATGTGAACAGTTTGAAATAAATATATATAATAAACACATATGGCATATAAATTAAAATTCTAATTTACTGAATTTTTGTTAAATATATTAGTACAAGAAATAAAAATTACATAGAGTTAGTATATATTTAAAAGAAAATAAAAATTTTAGTATATTAAAATCTTTTTCAAATCATATTTATAAAATTTGTATTAAATTTAAAAAAAGTTTTATATTTATTTTTTTAAAAATATTTTATAGTTGTATGTTTTATCTAATTAAAAGTATACATTCGGTATTATTTTCATTTCTTTACATCATGTAATAGATTGTAAACTTAGAATAAAATACTTTTTTAACAGTTATAGTTAAGTAACATTATGTCATTATTTTTATTTATCTTCTACAAATAAAAAAAATAAAAATAATATGACAAAAAAATAAAAAGCACATAAATATTAATCTTATTAAAATTATAATTAGACTTCAATAAATAAAAATAATTATTTTCATTTTTGGAAAAAAAAAAGAAAAATACATTATATACTTTTCTTTTATACTTTATGTAATTAAAAAGTAAAAGTACGTATGATTTTTAGTATCTCTTTACATTCGTGCAACAGGTTTTAAACCTAACAAAGTAAAGCATTTCTCCAAAACCATTGCCGTAGCTTCTGTGAGCAAAAGACGTCCTATATGTACTTTTACAATTTCACCAGCTTGATTCTTCTCTATACAATAGCATTTATCATAAAACTCTGTAAATGCACATGAAATATCGTAACAAAATTCGCATAATGAATGCAAGTACATATCTTTACTAATGTCAAGAAGTAAATCAGGAAACTTTAGTAATACTTTGGCTAGTTTCCATTCTTTTTCGTGTTCCAATGAAATTGGAATATCACGCGCATGTTTCCGCAATTCATCTTGCGTAATTTTCGCCATCCTAGCGATAGAACGAATTCGAGTTAGAGCATACAATATATATACGGCCGTATTGCCTTTATCTTCTAACATTTTGTCAAATGAAAATACATATTCATGATTTCTATTATGCAACAAATCAGCATATTTTATGCAACCATATGCCACAGATTCTTGAGCCGCTTTCAATTCTTCTTCTGACAATACTTTGTCGCGTTCTTTTTCTTTCAATTTTTGCAATGTCCTCTTTAAACCTAAACGAAATAACATGTAATAAAATGAAATAAAATAAAATAAAAAATAATGACATTAAATTTGTAATAAAGACTGTTTTATTACCTTCATCTAATAACTCGATAAGTTTTACAGTCTCACCAGACCGTGTTTTAAATTTCTTCTTATCTTCACCTAAGACAACACCAAAACCGACATGATGCACCCTGTGGAAACTTTTTAAGATACCTGCTTTTTTAGCACAACTTTCTAACATTTGAAAATGCAAAGATTGGCCAGCATCTGTCACATATATCAACTGTAAAATACATTCTGTTATAGAGGAATTTGTTGTCATTCATAATGTTAATATATTTCACATTTATAGTATGAGATAAATACTTGCCCAATCTGCCCTTTCTTCCTCAATACGTTGTTTAATAGCAGCCATGTCTGATGTATCATATGTAAAACCACCATCAGATTTTACTATAATTAAAGGTATTCCAACACCATGTTTTTCTCCCCACATTACCTTTCGTCCATTATCTTCTTCTAGTAAATTTTTTGATTCTAATTCTTTGACTATTAATTCCATACGCTTTTGATAAAACGATTCACCTCTTTCTATTAATTTGATGTCTAGTCGAGTATATAGTTTCTCAAATTCTGTGTCAAATAAAAGAGTAATTATTTTAAACAACTTCTTCCATAACATAAACAACTGAACAACTAATAAGAGCTCTACTTACCTTTTCTAGATACATCACATATCATTTTCCATCCTTTTGTTATATTGGGTTCAAAAGCCTGTAATTTAACGACGCATTCGTATGCACGTTTCTTGAATTCTTCATCCGAATCAAATCTAATTTTAGATTCTTTATAAAAGGCCTGTATACATGTGTGTAAATATATAAATAATTGATATATTTATTTATAAAATAATTGCCACATTATTGTTAAAAATATTATGCACAATAATTTGATCATATAGTTACCTGAAGATCTTGAATTGCAGGAGTAACAGTTGAGTAATTGGGAAATTTATCTTGAAGATGTGCTATTAACATACCGAACTGCGTACCCCAGTCACCTATATGATTGAGTCTTAATACATCATGTCCTAAATATTCTAATAGCCTTGAAATACTGTCTCCAATTATAGTAGATCTTAAGTGTCCCACATGCATTTCTTTGGCAATGTTGGGACTGGAAAAATCCACAATTACTCTTTTCTTCTTGACATATGGTGGAAGTACCTCACCAATCTTTAACCAATTGCTTAAGACAAGTTGTCCAAAATCACGTTTTAAGTATATATTTATAAATCCTGCACCAGCTATTTCATATTTATCGACAAGAGGGGATTCTTCCAGCTTGGACATAATGTTGTTAGCAATATTACGTGGAATTACTTTATTACCTGTAATAATATATAATTATTTATATTATATATATATATATATATATATATATATATGTGTGTGTGTGTGTGTGTGTGTGTGTGTGTGTGTGTGTGTGTGTAAGTGTGATAAACATAATTATTGTACATATTCATTATATAAAGTAAGATATTAAGAAAATTTTTACCAGAACTACTTAATTGTTGTGCTAAAGGCATAGCACTATTACATTGGTAATCCCCAAATTTGGGATTATTGCTGGTAGTTACTATCACTGGTGGATTTAATACATCAGGATAAGCAGCAGTGATAGCCTTCCGAAAGATTTCACAAAGAGTATCATTTATACTGATTATATTGCTTTGAGATGTATTAGACATTGCTGATGCCTTATTTCTTTCTGCTTCTATAGTCTAACAAAATATAATTATTAAAAAACGAATATATTAGAAATAAAGTTTTAAATAGAAATTTTACAGTGATATGTAGAGTTTGGCTGCTATTGAAAACCCACCCTTGTAAGTATTGCTATTCTGTGCTTCAGCTTAATATTCTCTTGTTGTAATTTCTCAAACTCTTCCTTATTTACATCGGGAACGGTCTGCGAAGTATTATTCGTGATATTTTGATGCAACCATTGGATTTGTTCCTTTAAATAGACTATCTCTTTTTCCTGCAATATCAGACATGTACATACATAAGTCGTATAACCTCGCAACGCGCTGGGATCTGAACTAATTCGTAAATTTGTAACATAATAATAGAATATTAAAAATAAATCGATAAAAGTATTTACCGCTGCGGTTGCTCGTTTATCAAACATTTCCCAATTCGGTACCGACATTGTTTCTTTAATTTTAATCGAGAAGCAACCACGTGCTGAGTTTAAACAGGTGCCGCTGCCACTTCACAAATCAAAAGAAGAACATGTGGCAAAATGTACATTCAACAAACAATTTTTATAATTTTATTATTATTATGTATTTAATTGTTTGTTATTTTATGAAGATAATCCAGTCAATGAATATCATTTGAATCAGATTTTTTAATCAATTAAAATTTTTTTTATTATATACCAAAAAATTAAGATAAAAAATCATTTATTTTCACTTTTCAACTTCCAATTTCTTTTATCACATATTAATTAACTTCAAATTAAAATTTTATTAAAATCTTTCCTTATGCTATTCGCTATTTTTTCCTTATGTTATTCGCTATTTATATTCCTAAAGTTTTATTCGCGAAATATTTTTCTCTTTCAATCGTTAAATAAGTCAATTATTCTTTAATCTCAACATTTTTTAGTCTTAATAAAAAAAATATTGATTCTAAATTAATCAAAGAATCTGTAAATTAAAAAAAATGATATGTATAATTTTCTCTTAATCAGATATTTGAGAAATTCTACATATAAAAAATGTAATGTAACTATTCTAATTAATTTTAACAACAATTAATATTTAGTTTAATTAAGAGATTTCAAGAGATATATAAAAATATTATTCAATAGTAGAAGTTATTTATATATCTTCGGTAATATAATCTGATCTCTAAATAACATTAATTATTTTATTCGTTTTGCCTTTTTTGTATTATGTTTTGCTATTATTTCAAATTTCCCGCGCATAAATAAAAATGCACACATGATTATTATAAAGGATGCGTTCGAAAATTCTATCCGTGAGTAACATTCGGTTGACCAATCAGGGCAAGAGGGATAAAGAATTCTTTGTTTCGATTGGTCAATTGACACTCACACTACTTCATGGGTAATATCTGAACGCACCCTGAAATGATTTTATTCTGCGCTGGCGCGCAATCTTGATAAATATAAAATAGTAAAAGTAAAGAATAGGCGCAGAAGTGGAAGCAGTTACTAGTAAAGCGAAGAAAATCAAGAGAGAAATGCAAGTGTATATAAATTTAAACTTCGGAAAATAAAGATACGTATTAAAGATAAGTATGCAAATATAATTTTATGATATCTTAATATATTTTCTGCACACATATAAAATAGCATAATATAACTATCATTGCACTGATAGTATACCTATCATTGCAACACATCGTGATATTTGATTTTGAAATGAAAAGAAAAAGAGGGGAAAGGAAAATCTTACGTGAGTATACAAAAAAAAGCGGCGATAAATAGTTAAGTTGTAGTAAAAATACAATCTCGTTTTATATCAATCATTTATTTTCTCCATACAAATTATAAACATGTTTTTCAAATACTGTACATATATACTGAGTTCTATTATACTTTTAAACCTCTAATTTTAATGATATATCATTTTATTTATTTTCATTTACTCGTTAAAACAACTACTTTGATCCTCATTTCGTTTCATTTATGATAATATACAGGTAGATCTTATTTCCTTTTTTTCCCTCCAATATTCCTTCAATATTTTTTATTCATCTTTACGATCAAGCTCAATTCTTTGATATGGCAGTTCCAGGATATGAATAAATAGAAGAATTTCAAATTTAAAAGATGCAATTCCTCTAATTTGCCGAATTAGTTAACTAGCCAATTGTTGCATATTTGTTGCATTTAATACCTTCATAGAGATAAAAGAAATGAATTTAATAAGAAAAATATGCAATTTAAATATAGTTAGTTTTTTTTTCATTATATTTATCAACAAAAATGTTAAGAAACATAAAATAATTAGTTATAAATTGTTAAACACATACAATTTACTCATCTATATCTTTTTTTTATTATATTGAAATTATGAAACATAGAGTAAGAAATATTTTTTATATTTAAAATCAAATATTTAACGATATAAATATGAATAAATAAATAAATTATACAATTTAAGTAAATGTTTCTTAACTTTTGTACATAAATATAGTTTATAAGATGTACATATAACACTTTGTAATTTTACATTTAACACTGATTCAGATAAACATAACAGAATTGAGATATGCCAATAAAAGAGTTGAAATTTATCTTATATCAAAATATCTGTAAAAATTCTATAGAAATCGTGATCTCTATGAAAATATTAATTTTTACATATTATTTCAAAATATGGAACTGGATTTGTAATGAGTTGCAAGCAAAAGTTTCTCTTTTGCAAGAGTACTTATTACAAAAATGTAACTGCTGGAACTTGAACAATTTTTCATGTGGTCTTTGTGTAAATATATACAAAGATATTTAACAAATTTGAATCAATCGATCGATCATATCGTATATATTGTGTACAGTGCGAGTTATCTCTTTTTCTTCTTTTTCTTAGTCTACTTCTGCATTTTGTATCTTTTTGTCGGGCCTCGATTTCCGATATCATCAATATAGAGTGAAAGAGTACTATTTTCTATCTTCACAGAAGACATAGATAAATATATATTTTCATAATCTTTTCTTATAAATGTAATTCGCTTACTTTAAAATTATTACGCGTAAATATCAATAATATTAGTGTCGGTGCTCCTTTTTTCAATTTTATTTTTGAATTTCCATATAAAATAAAAATTTATCAAATTCCTATGAGTATCTTTCAATGATATTACGCAATTTTGGAAATAACAACATTATTAAGCAATTCGATATGTAACCACGAGATGCTGCCTTGTTCATAGACATATAACATTGTGAAAACATTATTATGTTATATATATTATATTTAATTGAAATGTCTAAAATCATAAAATAAAAAACTATTTTTAATAGATATACTAAAACAAAGTATTGCAAAAAAAACATTCATGCAAAGCGTGGTCGTGGTTACAATTTGAGTTTGATATGCAAGCGATTTTGCACAAAATCACAATTTATATTGTCAAAAGAGAGTATAAGTAATAAAAAATGACATGAGATGAATTACTACTGGCTACTAGTGTTCATTTGAGAATAATATTATATTATATTAACGAATCACTCTCTCGAGAATCATACAAATGGATATTCAAAAAGTAAAGAAAAAAGAGAGTTACTCTCTTACTTATTTTTTTATCCTCTTATCTTTTTTTTTTATTTTCGAGAGTTATTTCCAAATGAACACCAAGCTTATAAAAAAAAGAAAAAAAAAACGGTAACAATATGTAAAAGATATGTGAAAGCTGCCAGTTAGAAAAAAACATTCACGTATCATTAAATATAAATTCTTTTCTACTCCAGTCAACCATATAGTAAATTCACTTTTCACCCCAAATAAAAAGCGACATATTTCTGACTAAAAGAGATCAAAATACATTGCCACTTGTTCCATAAAAGTTAATTAAAGTAAGAATACAGTAAATAATATTATCTTCTTAAAATATACACAATCTTTCCTTGCTTATATTTTACTGCTGGATAGGCAAGTTCTGTTTTGGGAACACACAACAGATCGGATTACAAAATAAGTAAAAATTTTCTGTGCATTTACATATAATTATCTATATGAGAGATGCGATTAAATAAAATCAACTGCAGGATATGGTCCTCTACTCATTTAAACAATTGCCACTGAATTCATGAAAAATCTCTGTATGTAAGTTCTCTATGGTCCATGTATGTGAGAGAAACGTATAAATTATATTATTAAGTACGAAATATTTTTGCAGAGTGGGGCATTGTCTTATCAATGCTCTGTAAAATACTTTTAACTTACAGAGATTTGCAGAGTTGTATTGAAATCAAATGATCGAATAATATATTGTAATTGAAATATCAACATTTTGTGCCACTATGACGATTATCGCGTATGCCTGTGTTTGTATGTGTGTGTGCATGTGTATATGTGTATGTCTTATTACATTTTTCGAGATAGATTTCAATACACTCTTGGTGAAAAATGCCAAGGTCAGGTTTCTGAGAGATCTAAGTTCTTATCACATAGCTATATCCCATGATGGTGGCCTATTCTTCTATCTGTAATCGATGTAATGATATATCGCTTGGTAAATGTGTAGTAGAAAGATATTAAAAACAAACAAAGTACTAAATAAGAAAAATCATTCATCAGTAAGAACTATAGAAAATGACCTTAAAATACAAAGTAAGGCGATTATAAGAAATACAAACACATCCCTCTAACCTAAGTGTCGCTGCCTAATAAGAATGGGTGGGTTTGCACATTAAAGTGCATTTTAAAAGATCGAATTTTAAAAATATATAAAAATGATTATCATTCTTTTTTTTCTATCGGTCATTAATGATCATTGCAGTAAAAATTTTCACAATGATAATAAATCTTGTGTGTGAAAACAGTTTTGCAATGGAGCTTAAAGAAACAAATTGTTGATACACGATGTTTTGTTTTTCTTATGTTTTTGATCTAATTCTGGTAAAATAAAACAATGTAATTATAATGTAATTTACGATACTTAAAAAGTCATAATGGCATATCTCTCGGTCAAACCTTCATTTCCTTTAAAACTTAGAAATCACTTAGATAACTTTATACACGCTGATTTATAACAATGTAAATCGTAATCATTGCATTAATATTTAACATATATATTCTTATACATAATATATGTATATCTGTGTGTGGATGTCTTGTCTCAGTTCTCTATCGTCTAATTTAATAATAAAACTATAATACTAAATCATGTTGGGGTACCATGCCTTTCCGAGATCAGAGTCTGTTTCTTCGTTTTCTTGCTCTTGTTGCATTGCTTATATCTCTTCACATAGTTTTATACCAAAATTTATTGTCGATTTTAACTTAATTTACTGTATCCCCTTTATTAAACTCGACGAATTCATCGATTAAATGGATGATGTGTGATTACGCGATCATAAAATATATATGCGACATTTTTTTATATCTATTTTATTATAAAATTTATTACTGTGATATATCTTAAAGACATTGTCGCATTGCAAGAATCTCTTCTTACAATATGTCACAAATACTTAGAGACTTAAGTTATTAAAAGTATAAACTTTGAATCAAACTCAAGCTCGGGCTGGCCAGTACTCTATTGTATGTGTGTGTGTGTGTGTGTGTGTGTATATATATATATATATATATGTGTGTATATAGTCCTCTTTAAGGAGTTTCAAGGAAAACGTTCGCAACGTATTTTATCTATGTTATTTTACAGCACGTTATAAAAACACGAGAATTCTAGGAGATAAAAATGCGACTTTTGTAGCATTTAAAATATTTATAATACTTAGGTTTCTCACTTTTAATTAAATCTCTCAGCTTTAACTTTGTCCCTTTAGCATTCACAACCGATTGTAAGCGATTGAGATATTGTTTGGTTTCTAGTGAAAATCCGTTTTTAATAGAATTACATTTTTTATTGAATAATATTTAAACCTATAAAAAAAACAATATATTTAATATATTTATTAAATATATGAATCATATATGAATCCACAGGCTAAAATGATTAACTTTACTTTTTGATTTTTTTTAAATTTTAATGTTAAAGCACTTGATTGATCAGTCAATGCTTTTAGTGCAAGTGGAATTAATCACTTTAGTTTCTGAACGGCTCATATAATAGTCTGTGCAGACAAAATTATACAAATTATACCAATGATTTAATTCATCCAAATCGTATATGGAGGATATAAGATCTATTTATAACACTCATTAGTTGCCCAATATTTACACATGTTTATAGAACTTTTCTAACACCATCGATCGAATATTTTCCATAGAAACTCACCCAACTATGGACGCGAAAATATTTCTGTTTAAGTGTAAGCATGTTGTGTTATATCAATGTATTCACGCAATATATCGCGCGCACAATGTACAATCGAAATTTTCTATTCTACGTTTTTCTATTGCAAGTCTTTTTTTTATCATGAATGAGTTGTTTCTCTTTAAGTTTTTCTCCTCTCTTACGTTGCTTTCCCATTATATTACATTACATTTACGTTAGAATGAGAAAGTCAGTGAAAGATAGAGGGCATATTAGAATAAAAGAAATATTTGCTTTCAATTATTTTAGAATAGAGAAAATCGATTGAGATGTGTGTATACGTGTATGTATATATTTTCATTGTATGTGTATATATATATATATACTTATGGATGATTTTTATGTGATGGTAGGCACTGATGGGGGTGGATGGCTGCATGGCGAGCAGGTTCAAGCAGGCTAGTCTTGGACCAATCTGTATATGTGATGCTGAGCACCGTGTTCAGACGTCGATACTTCGAACACATATGCTGTGCATAGTAATGTTTCCTGCGTATCCCTGTTCGTGACAACCTGAAAAGGTAAGAAATAAAAATGAGAAAAATATTGCCCTATCTATTTATTTTATAATTCTTATAATGCACAAATTTAATTCTGATTTTTTTTCTGTAAAACATTATATTTTATTTGAGGTTTAAAATTAAATATATATTATATTCGAAAATCATATATATTAATAGAATACTCTTTGTATTTTAATTATAAAGAATTATAAGACTTGTAAAACCAAAAACGTTTATCTAAAATTAATAAAATTCAAAGGTATATTTTGGCGCACATGCAATCTGATTTAAAAAAATGAATAAATAAATATATAAATTAGTAGATTGACCTGCATTGACCATAACATGATTTAGTATTTTAAACAGGTTTAACTATTAATTTAAAGATATAAAGGATATTAAAGATTAACATGACAATAATGTCAACGCACCTGGAGGATGGTGAAGTTCTCGAGAACGCTGTTCATCATGTACTTCTCTGGCAGGTGCTTCAGTTTGTGGATAAAATTAATCATATACTCGCACATAGGTGAACGGCTAATACGGTAGACGAACCTGCCATTTTCAAACCTGGCATACTCCGTTTCCACCTTTTCTACCACCTGCTTTCCAAATGAGCACACTTTCGTCGAACACGTTATCGTCATGTTCTCGTTGCTCTCATATCTATCATAATACAAAATACATAAACATCATGTCGGTCTAGAGTTATATAAGCGACGAACAAGTTACTCACTGGCTCGTGACGCCATAGAATGCTCCAGATTCGTCTTGGATGTTACTATTGAGATCAGCCCAAAATTTAACGAGGAAGAAAGCCGCCTGTGGTCCTTTTTCGTAAAGTTCCTTGAGACCGCCCTTCTTTTCGGGGAATTTGTCGTATATCTGTTTAACATCGACCGCTTCCAGCAGCGGGTCCGCGTAAGTCGCGGAACCTCCTATATGGACGAATAGGTGTTTGTGGTACTAAAAAAAAAGAGAGAAATTCATTCGTATAAGACTAAGCTTATCGTTTTGGTTGTATCAACTATCTGAAAACTGAGCGACAAATATTTTACCGATATTGTAATTGATCGGAGCAACGACTTTTGTAATGTAGAAATCATCATTTACAGCTCGAGTCTTTAATTGAATCATTAAAAATTAATTTCTCACAATTTTTTACTACCTATCATATTTTTCATCGGATGCCAATATATTCTTGAAAAGAAAATTTTTTGAAATTTCCTAAGAGATAATAGATTTCATTAAGATAATAAGATTTATATTATTACATTATTACTTAAGCATTGTAGGCACTACTCACAATGTCCTGATCTCTTTGCTGCTCCATGTAGGCCGAGAACTCGACGAGCCTGAGTTTGTGAGTCGCGATGGCGCGTCCTTCCCATGGCGGTGGAGGTTGTGCCTGGACTATGTCACCGCTCGAAACTGCCGTCGCCGGTTTCCCGGTGTAAGCAGGTTGAGGGAACGGTTTGACATCCTGGGACGTTCCAGGCTGTAGGCCTGGTTGCCAAAATTGCTGAAAATATTTAAGCGAGTTTAAGCGATACGTTAATGATTAAGAATTAAACGATTTCCACGCGTTTGATGTTCATTAATAATGATTCGTTTATTACTATTTAATTAATATTAAATAATTGATGTTATCAAATTTTTTTTAACGTCAAATCTGTGAATATCAATACGATCATACTATAATCACATTAGTATTAAAGGAAATAAATTTAAAATATTGAGAAAACTTAAATATTTTCAGAATTTTCTTGAATAAATAATTGCATTAGGTATAATTTATATATAAATGTATCATATAAATATTTTTTTCTTATATATGTTTTATAAATATCACGTTTTCTTTCGATAACAAACAAAGAATTCACAAAATCCTCTTGTTTTCCGTCATTGTTTTAAGCCATCGAGCCGTTGGGCGAGGAACGAGCGATAGGAAATGAAATCAACGAACACAAATAGTAAAGAGCAACAACAACACAACAACAAAATACTAATCGTGTTATTATGTAAAAAGAAAAAAAGTGAAACATTTGATAAACCACAACGACATTTCTCGTTATGCACATATGTCCAAAATGTATATACATGTATGTATGTTAGCATATACATGTGTGTGTGTGTGTGTGTGTGTATGTTGCCTAGATGATAGATATATATAAGATTAGAGCGACGGACAAATATTCAACAATACACAACAAGGGCCCCCAGGGGCAACGTAGCAGCAATAGAGAGCAGGGGGGATGTCACTTTTGCGAGGATGGTTAGTTTTTGATGCAAAAGCCTTCGCGCGATGAAGAAAAGAAAATTTTCGTAGTTGATGTTACAAAAACACACTTTTCTTCTATCATTTGTTCTTGCTCTTTCTTAATCAGAGATGCGAAAAAACATGAAAGAACAAAATAGTGAAAAAGCAAAAATACAATTGAAAAAGAGATGAGAAAGCTAATTTTTTCTTACTATTTATATAATAATCGATATTATTTTTTTTCTTTTCTTTTTTATATACGAAAGACAAAATAAAAACAACGCAGTTAAAATCTGATCCAAAAATCTCAAAGTATTTTCAAATTTGAGACAAGGAATTGTTTTAATTTTTCTTTTTACAAAGAAAAAGTAATGCATTGTTTAAGCAGTATAAATAACTTCAACTATTTAAGCTAAGAATTGTATATTATTATACAACTATTGTCTTGTATGTAAGAGTTAATGCTGAATATATCTTTATCGAGGTCAAACAGTTTATCAATGTACGTTGTTTCTATGAATGCAACATTGTTAAGTCAGCGTCATTCGCTACAATTCTTCTGCAGCGCATCATTTTAATCACACGGTACTATCTCAAACTCTCGTCAAAAGCATAAAAAATTGATTGTCAGTCGGCAAACCACACGGTACTGATCGCCTTTAATTGGCGAATTAGTTATTGGGCGAAGCGGTTAGAAACAAGTCACGAATTTCAAAAGAAAAAGCCAAATCGGTAATATTGATAACAAAAATAAAATATCCTCAAAGACGACGAGACATTTTATGTCTTGTATTTTCATCTGTTGATGAGTTGACGATATCACTTAAACTCAAAATGTGATTTCTCTCCCCGATGCATGGCAGTATTTTAAAGATATATCATTTATTAGTCACTGGTATCACAAAGTTTGAGTTGTTCCTGTCCTTTTTTCTTATTTGAATAAATGAGCTTAATATATCAATTCTTTTATTTGAATAAATGAACTTAATTATATCAATTCTTACGCCATTATAAATTCGCTTTTATTTTTTCATTAAAAATTAATTTTATTTTTTAAAAATCAATTTCAAAATTATCTTATATTAGAAAATATTCCTGAAATGCAGTTTCATGAAGTGAATTCAGAGTTTCATAAGTGTAATAGATCTTTGATGATAATAATGAGTTCAATGCGTTCTTCTTCAGCACTTAATACATCGCTTCAAAAATAATTCATACAATAAAGCAGAAGAAATCGAAATTGCTTGTTTCACTTAAAAATGACTCCATCATATGAAACATGTATCATAGTGATTAACTTAATTACTCTGTACTTCACGTCTCGTCGTCTCACCCTAAAGCTCGTGGCTCTCTTGAAAAGAAAAAGACCGATAAAAAAAAAGAAAAAAAGTCTCAAGGGGTTCTTTCTTTTCCGATATCAGGACTTACCGCTCCGGGAAAGGAGGCAGGGGTGGAAGCAAGGGCAAGGGGCCCCACGAGAGCGGGGGGCATCTTGTTGTGTATCGCACTTCCAGCTGATACTATCTGGGCGCTCGACATGCTCGACATTGTCTGGAGTGCCTTCTCCTTGGCGGCATGATCCTGACAAATTTTCAGACCGATTACCGGACGAAATAGTATCATGTTATCGATATCTGCTTGTATTCTTTTTTTAATTTTAAGCACTATGTCGAAAAGTCGTCGAGGCTAGAGATGGATTCTAGAATGGTGCATTAATATATGTTGTGCTTCAGAATTTGCTACGACAAATTTTAACAACAGATTTGATATGTTTTTTAGCAAACAAATATTTCGATGAAAATCGAAAGGCAATTTTTTAATGCAATCCTTGAAATTGCGAACATAGTTAAAATTTTGAGAAAGCAAGCTTATCTTGTGATAAGCTTTTCATTTTTAAATTATTTATAAATAAAAAAACAATTAATGTGGTGTAAATTGATTAAAAATAAATCGAGCTCAAATTGATAAAAGAACATATCGTTTAATTTTTAAGATACAATTATATTTAAGTTAATATGAAAATTATATATTTTCTATAAATATATAAAATAGCAAATAATAGAATATATAAATATGTATAATTAAAATAGCAAATACAGGAATCAATTTCCCGTTTTTATATATAAATATTTAATAGCGTGTCTGATAAATTTTGGTGCGTATTTTTTTTATCGTTCACTTCGTGGAGGGACAAACGCAATGTCGATCGAAAAATCGGAGAATTCGCGACATTCGGCACTCGCGATATCAATCAACAGCCGACAAATAAATTCGTAACATTCTCAATGATGCGAATCAATTTGCTGCTCTCGGACGCGCGATTACCGGCGTCTCTTTTTTTCCTCCCCCACCCGCGATAATTTTTTTTTCCGTTTCTGTCCATCGCGCGTTGCGTCGTCGTATCGTGCGCGATGAAATCGATCGCGATCGCGATCGCGCAGCGCAATTGATTGCAGAAACAAACCGGCGACGGGGACGAGTCCGGTTGCAACAGAAATTCGCGGGAATTCGGCGCGCTTTTATCGGAAAGCCGTCGTTTTAATCAGCGCCCGACCGAAAATCGCTGACGAGGCGAACGAGAGGTGGTTCGTTGCCGTGACGTTCGGAAAATTGCCGTGCCCACCACCATCATCCAATCTCTCCTCGCCGATTCACCCCCGTGCGCTTATTCGTCTCACCCTCTCGCCCTCGTCCCCACGGGGATTTTCAATTTCGTTCATAAATCCGTAATGGAGGAGTCACTACGAGTGCCGGTCGACCGGAATGAAGCGCCACCCGCGTAACGATGCGAGCAATAAAGAATTTAGCCGACGGTGCGACCGAAAATCACGGGTTGCATTTTGCTCTCGACGTTGTTTACGCCCCTCGCGTGTTCGCTTCGAAGCACACAAAGAGCTGCCGCCGTTCCTATTATTTACCGGTTTTTCGATCAATCCACAGGTGAATTTTATTTTAAAAAATTAAAAAAATTGTCGATGCGTAAGAATATTGATAGCGTTTCTGTGATTTGAAATAATTGAAAATAGAAGTTTTATCTCTGAATTTCAGAACTTTAAATGAACAATATTAACTTTAGTTAAATTCATGTGAATTTTGCTTAACAATATTTTAATTTAAAAATAGTGATGTATAAAAATTAAATATTTTGCAAAATATATATCTTCGGCTTAAAAATTGGATGTTTCGTTAAAATGCGTACATTAAATAAGCATGCAATAAATTAAAAATGAGAAGAATTATAAAAAAAATTTTAATGAAAAAGATGTTTCTCGTGGACATTTCAATAAACTTCAAATTGAATTAATTAAAAAAATTTCGTATATATTTATTATATAAACAATCGATCTATATGATTTTCGATAAGTATGATGGATATATACATATATTAAGAGATTTTATTTTTTATTTTTAGCATATTATTAATCAGATTTACAATGAAGACAATTATTAATAAACAAGTCCGATAACGCATCTTTGCAATTAAGGGATTCTCGCAACGATATTACATGAATAGAGATTTTATTTTATTGAAAAGAATAAAACGATTTTAAAATTATATTTGTGTTTTAATACTGTAACTTTCGTCTCTCTCTTCTATAATTTTTATTAAATTGTCAGAGATAGCAACTTTGGATAGCATGTTCAATTATATTTTCTCTTAAGTTTCGCAAAAACATCACAACATTATCATGCCTTCCAAAATCACACAGATACATACATACATATCGAATGTTCTTCTTAATTAGACTATAATTTAATTTACCGTAATTATTTAATTTTAATTCGAAATACAATTGATGCAACGAATTGGCAGATTAACCGTCGCGTAAGGTCGATTTACAAAGCGGTTTTCAGCCGTGCACGAATTTCGCTGGATAGAATGCAATTTTTTATGAATGTTGGATGACATCGATTACCCGCGAAAAGTCCATTTCGCTGTGCGGGCCGTTGTTCACGTTGTGCGGAGCGCGCGCTGAATTTGCAGCAGAAAATCAATTCGGTTAATTGAGAGGGTGCAGTCCGTGTCGCTTTTTTTAATTTCCACCCTTCGTCCCACACGTTGCCGTTTCTCTCTCTCTCTCTCTCTTCCGTTTTCTCTCTCTTTCTCTCTGTCTCTCTGTCTCTCTGCCTCTGTCTCTCTCTCTATCTCTCTATCTCTCTCTCACCCTTCATCTCTCGAATACATGCCAGGAATGCAGAGGATTGGGCGGGTAACGGGTTGGACATGTTTATCGACATTCTGAAACGCTGCCCGTTTTTGGGCACCCCCTCCGCGACCCCTTTCTACAACCGCTACAACCCCCGTCTACCGCCCCGTTATCGGGAGTACGTTTACACCGCAACAATTAATTACGCCGTAATGCCCGGTGCAATTATTTCCAAAATAGATAAAACGGCGGACGCGATCTCTCTCGATAAACCATGATAGTCGGTGTAACATCGTTTGATGAGCGCGGTGTGTGTAAAATTCGCGAGCACAAAAGCTAAATCAAACCCGCGTAAAACGTATTACGTGTTGTTAACATAAAAGAAAATGACAAATGCGCTGAAAGAAATACAATGGGATTGAAATCGGAAACTCGGGAATATTTATTCAAAGAATATAATATATTTTTATTATACGTCTAGCAGAAAGTAAGTAAAGAAAAGGGTAAAGGAAAGGGTAAATATCGTTTAAAATTTTAATTTCGCTTATTGCTTTTGTATTGCTGGTATAAAATCTGGCAGGTGTGAAAACGCAGATGAATTTTAAAATTTGTGAGAAATAATGATGTATCTTAAAAAGAATTGTTTCTAATTCATAAAAGAAAAATCTATCTTTAAAACTGAAAAGCGAATAAACTATATCAGATATAAAATATTAAATCTTTTTTATGAAAAAAGATCACGTACATCGAAGAGAGCCTTTTATTCAATGCTTAACGGGTTATAATTTTACTTCAATTATGCGAATTTCGAGAGATATAGTTTCGTTCAAATCGAGATATTTAAAAGACGCAAAATACGTCCGAAATTAAAGAGCATGATTTGCATAAAGAAGTATGGTGCGTTCGAAACGTATATACGAACTTCATAATACAAAACTTGTCAGATCGTGAGAATTTTTTTTTTCTCTTCCCGGCTGAATAGATCGCGCGATCCGCGACCGCAGGGGGGGGAGGGACAGCAACCCCCTTGAGCAACAAACAAAAGCCGCGGCGCGGCGTTTACCCTTCCTGAAAAGCGGAAACCAGAAAATTACGTCACGGCGGACCGTACACCCTACCCGCTACTTTCCTGAATAATGTCCGTGGTATGCGGCCACTGCAGTTGCAGTTGCTGCTGCAGCTGCGGCTGACCATACTCTTAAAAACGGAAACCCGCGCAAGTATTTCATAAATGGCACGGTAACACGGAATCGCGCGCGCGAAAACAGACGACATCTTATTACATGAATGTCGCATATGTAATTAAAATTGTTCGAGGAACGCCGGCGTTTTTTTTAACTTTCCGTGGCTTCTGAAAGTCGAGGCGTATACAATGATATATAAATATATATATATATAAATAACAAGAATATAAAAAAAAATTAAATATTATTATCATACGTGGAATGAGTCGCACATTTGTTATTTAAACTTGAGACAACAATTCTTACGAAAGAGTATTGAGAAACAGCCTCATTTATATTGCAGCACATTGTTTCTAACTAAATCTGGACTCGAAACTCGGTTAAAGTTCACTTGAAATTGAATGAACAATGAAGTTTTGTTATCCATTTGTGTCCTTGAAACTTAGCTCGCGAAAACTTTCATTTTCGATAGCTTGTACTACAGAAAGTATCGATACTTTGACATTCTTTACCTCGTGTCAAAGAGTATTACTTTCGAAAAAGGATTTCCGATTGTATCGCGAAAATCTCCGATTCTTCTCTGAAAATTTTACTAATTAGATCTATATCGGAGAAACGAACTAATATGTTTTTTCAATGATCCTTTAATACGTTTACGATATAATTTAACGATCCAACTATTTGGTAGTCTCGTCCAGATTGCGCGAAATATCCCGAAAAAAAATTTGATTTATCGTCCTCGATTAAATGCAAGTTTTTCTCTTCGAACGAGAATTTTACCGGAGTGTTGCATGCAATCGCACGGTTAATTTACACGCTCGGCTTGTTTTTCCACTTTTTTCTATTTCCGAATATTGACCGATCCTGTATAAACACAATACTCTCTATTTCTCTGTCTCTCTTTCCCCTCTCTCCCTCCTTTCCTCCCTCTTGCTCTCTTTCGTGCATTCTGTCTCCCGCTATTTTACTGCCCATCGGCGAAATGGAGGCACCAGCGATTGCACCGCTGTGCTTTGATTTATTAACCGGCGCGCAATTGTTCGCGAATCGCTTTAATAATTCAGCTGTTGATTAAACGGGGCTGGGTTCATTTTTACGCGTGATTTATCCCGCGGCAATGCTCCTCTCGATATGCGTGTCCCTCCCTCTCGTCGAAAATGATTCCGCAGAGGCTATCACCCGTTAATGCTCGCACATCGCCGCGCGATCGAGATTTAATATTATCGCTACTACTATCCGTACGTAGGATTCTGCGAGGTAGAAAATGCGAAATACAACAGAATTCCGATTACCTTGACGCCGAGCGAGCCGATCGAATGTTTGATTGTTGATGAAAAGAATTGTTCAAGAACAATTATACAAAGAAATGTACATACAAATCCTTTGAATACAATATTCTCGAATCCTGAATCTCGTAAAAAATTGAGAAAATTGAGATGAAAAATGACAATACAGAAAAGAAAAAAATATCCTACAAAAATACACTCAAGTTATCGAATTATATAATCAAAATTATCAAAATTATATTCTTTAGTTTTTTCCAATGCGCGATATTTTTTTTATCTTTTAGATATTTCTGAAATAATCCAGAAGTCAACATGAAACAATCTGCCATTCTTTGATGCAGAAGTTTATTTCATTTTATTAATGCAATGTCATGTAATAAATTTCACGTATGTATAATTATTTTATTGCTTTTTAAATTTTTTTATATACTAAACAAATTTAATATATATCGGCTGTACGTTAAAAGAAAAATGAAAGTTTGCATTCATAAGATTGAAATATCAATTCAATGCATTACGTTTACATGAACGTGTTTAAACGTGCAATATTTTATTGAATATATATTATCAAACAATGCGATGTGTTATCAAGTATTATAATATTGTTAAATAAATCATCACATATAATCGTATTTATTTCGCATTTCATTATCATAATAACGCGTCATGTTAAACCGCCGCTGTCGTTTAATTTATTTCGGTAATCATAGAATATACGCGTCCATACAAATAAATATAATTTAAATCGTTTGCACAAAAAGAATAAATTAATTGATTGTCCCTTCACGAAAGAGGCAAGATACACAATCGAGTCGCGCGATATCGGACTCGATGTATTATTGAAAAGCCTTAAGAAAAACACTAGATAAAATAATGAACGCTGATTAAGAAATATATACATGTCAATACTTACCACTTTGAGTTTTGCCTGTATTTCCCGGAGTTTTCTTCTCGCGAGAACCTGTATATGCGAAGATACTTGTTTTCGCGTTCTCGTCTTACCGGTCCTCAATTTGATATAACGGGCGATCAGCTCGTTGCGACCTGCAACACAATCAATTATGTATCAGATTAAAGTTCATTATTGATATCGTTGCTAAAATAAACTGCATACAGTCAGGCGCAGTATTCTTTTGTGAAAACAAGAAAAAAAGAAATTTGCAACACGAATGATTAGAAAAAGTTCTATTACCTTTGTCCAGTTTTATGGCTACATTTTTGCGTAAATGAAATATTTTATTATACAATGTATCAAAAACAAAAAAAAGTAAATCGATAATTAAACAATTTATTTCGCTTTTTCTCATATTAAAAATATAAGTTTATTATTATTTTTATCTGAACTGCTTTATTTATTTCCTATAATCATAAGAAAAATAATTATGCACATTGTATAAAAATGTATCTATTAAATAATTATTTAACAAACATATAATTAAACATGAATCTTTGATAGAACGTAATGTAAATTAATTCATTACATAATCATCTAAATAAATAAAAGTTTATTCTTCGCAATTAAAGAAAATCATACAGGCTCTTAATCTATTAATATTTAATCACGATTCATTAAGTAACATTTATAAATAAATGTAATGATGTTTGAAAAATATGATGTCATACATTTTTATTTCGTACATTATTTTAAAAGTCCAAACAAATTAACCATTTTAGAGATAGAATCAATGCTTTTATAATTAATAATAATCAAGGAATCGACTCTTCCATAAGAATGAGCTTTCGCAAAACACTATCTGACTTTTCAAATCATTTAAATCCGTTTCTTTTCCTCGCTATTTGCCTGTTTTCCCTTCTCCCGAGTCGTTTTCACGAAAAAAAACCTGGACGCTTCAATAAATTCTGATTTCCTCGCCGGGAATGGAAACAAACAAGCGCAGTATCCGCAGAAGCGTCAAGATCGGTCCTAGGAAATTAAAGCTCCGTGACGAAGATTGCATTCTCGCGAATCTCGGATGGAGTTCTCGCGGGAATTCCTTCTAGAATTGACGAGAAGCAGATCGAACGAATTCAAACAAACTCTCGAGCAACCGCTCGAAATAGGCTTTGAGAGAGTTGCCTCGCAGAAGCGTCAGATAAAATGCGCTTTAAAACAGAGTCGAACCAATCATCGACGTATTTAAATCAAGCGATTGCATTTTAGACTGGAAGTTATATATCTTGTCAGACTTCCCGTCCACGGTTGGTTCTTGCTCTTTAGAGATTTATTATATTATCGTACTTGAAAATGCAATGACATTTAACGGCTATTACGATCTTTGTATTATATAGAAAATATATTTATAAATTTGTAATCAGAATTACTACAAATTAACATATGTGCCTTAATCTCTTTCTTGAGTGATTTTACGGATTTTTACAATGATGCAGTGTCTCTTTTACATTAACATTTCGGGCACAATACGAATAATGTGATACATAATGAAAAGTGATAATTTATAAAAATAGCACACAATCGACAAAAAAGGAAGTAATTAAAAGCACGAGCACACTAATCGCACGATTCACCTCGTGACAGATGATACAGATTGTCTCGACAATAACGCGGAGGATGCTAAATGACGAACAATTTACGGGATCGCGCGAAAAAGAGCAGCTTCACCACCGCGGGAAAACTATTTCGCGCAAAATTCGCGGCTAAATTTAGCAGGTGATAAAGCGCGCTCGTCATAAATTCTAATTAGCGGGAGAGTGCGCGAGAAAGTGCGCTCTAAAGCGTCGTTTGGCGACTCAATCCGACGGATACCTGCGCGAAATTACGCGGCCGCGTAATTCGCGACTCGGCACGATAACGAGCGTAATAAATCGTAATGAGTCGAAGCGGGCGGGAAACGAGGCGGGAGAAATGTTATTCCGTGAGATGGAACGGAGGACGAGGCGAGACGACACGAGAGAGAGAGAGAGAGAGAGAGAGAGAGAGAGAGAGAGATGGGGGGAGAGGGAGAGAGAGAAAGAGAGACGGAATGCTTCCATTCGATTCGCGCGCTTATAAACACGTGGATATAAACCGTTCGCGAAATTGTCGATAACGAGAGACGGATTTCCAAACTCGAGTGAAAGGAATCGAGAATCAATTCGAATGCGGGGGGAGAGGATGGCATTCAGATTTCATCGTGCCCCGATGAAAACCCAACTGCCTCCGTCGGCTTTAACAACACGAATGTTCCATTTGCACGCTCCGTTCCGTTTTTTATATAACAATGCATCACGCATGCATCGTACATGGTATGTATGTGTATGTATGAGAGAGAAAGAGAGAGAGATTAGAATGTTTTGTTTTAATGCGAATCTCGTGTATCAAGAGTCATGAAAATGTCAAAGAGTGCGAATATAAAGTTTCTGAAAGATCTTTGAAGGACTAATCTCTAAATGCGCGATTCCTTTTGTGCAGATTGTGAAATTAAAAAAGAAAAGAAATTCACACAGATACAGATTCTACAATATATTAATTATTGTTAAATATTGATGAACGATTGTATCTATATAGATTTTAATTTTCTACGTGTGTGTTTAAAAAAAAAGGCAATATCTGCGAATATTTCTCGCTTAATTAATTTGTTTATTACTTTTTAAATTTATGATGCTCGTTTTGTGAATATTAAAAAAAAAATAAACAAATAAATATTAAAGAATTTCAATTACAATAATTTTATAGTAGCACGCTATCCACAAAGTGCACTTTTAAAAGTAGTAAGAATCATCTGTAATAAACAGAAATTCAAAAAAAAAAGGGGAGAAGATCCTCTTCTAAATTATTTTTGCCTGGACTTTAATCGCGGAACTGCCATAACGTTAACTCAGTGCGCTACGCGTTGAATGTTCAACGGTCAATATGCGATGACAAATGCAATATAACTCCGTGCGACGAAACAAAAGAATTGTAGATTGGAGTTCTTTGCGGGGGAGTTTTCTTTGCTTTCGATGAATTGATTTCTGACCGATTGGACCGTGTAAATGGCGTTCTATGCGCCACCTTATCGACGCTTAGATTTCACAGCCGTTAAGGTTTTACGGTCGCCGGTGACCGTAAAACCGGCGCCAGACGGCATCAAACGTGTCGTAATTGAAATAACGTTTAACTGTACGGTAAGCAGAATCACGCCAGCACTTTGATTCCGGCGGATAAGCTCACGAGACGCGACGAGACGTATAGAATCCTAACGACAACATGGAACACTTTGAGATCGTACGTTGATCACACGAACGTGAACGATTCGAGAGTTCCTTATACAGAGGAAGTTGTGCACTCTGTCAAAAATCACGTCTTACGTTGCCGATTTTAAATTCTCGTCGGATGAAAAAGTTCTTTAATCGCGATATTCGGATGGTGAATAATATTTGAGTCTTTTACAGTAAATCAAATATATCTCTCTTAAGCGCCTATGACATAATCGCGAGATTAATTATAGATTCGATTATCGAAGTACGTGCGTATTTTGGCGGGAAACAAAAAGGACTGAAAATCGCGATATCCTGGCACGACCTGCCGCTTTCAGCGGCAAATAAATTATTTCCCCTATAAATCTCCAAGTTTCGCGGAAAGTTTCGAGAGAGATTACCGTCTTGCTTCTTGCGGAAAGACTCGATTAAGAGTTGGTGGTGAACATGGCTCGCTAAATGATTCATCGATTACTCGAGCGAGAGGAGCGATGCAATACGTCGAGGAAAACACGGGGGACGAAGTGAAAAGCCGAATCTTCTTTTTTGCATTGCAAATCGCAAGTCGGACAAAATTACGCGCATTCGTCTTCGTCCCGGACTTTGTAGGCGACGGCAGTAACGAATATCGTTCCCGCATTGCCAAGTTTGTCGAGTGCACAGACATTGTTCGTAATATAAGCGCGCAATCGATCGAAGTCCTCTTATTTATGTCGCCGCTATGACGGTAGATCGTGACCACGATTACTGCGAAGTTAAAAATACGAGGTACAGACACGGAGAAATTGAATTACTCCAACTGTGCAGACTTTGTAATAAATAACTGGCCACTGCGTCACTTGTGCCAATTTTGGAAAAAGTATCGCGCTCGATATTCGGACGGAAATTAAACAAAAAACAAAAAGGAATAAATCTCTTTCTCTTTTTAAGCATCAATGACAAAGGTGAGAAACGTGATCAAGGATATTCGTGCTTGATTAAAAAACTTGATTCGTACGATTAAACTAGTTTGATGGGTCTCAAGTCGATCACAGTCGAGCACTTCTCTACCTTTTCTTCTACACCCGCTGCGGAAATGATATGCAGCATGGAAAAGAATTCGGGTAACGTTTCGCTCGAGCGTTTCTACGGTTTCGCGGAAATTCGGAAATCTGTTCGCATCCGCCGCGAATCTTTCGCAGGAAGCTGCGATATCCTGGCGGAGATTACGAGGATCTATGAGGATATGCTGTCTTCGTCGGATAGTAACGTGGGAGAGGGAGGAGGGAGAGATGTGCAAGAGTCAGGCGGAAGGGGGTATAACGGGAAGATGGGAGGGAGAGGCGGTACGGAGAAGCATCGGGAGGAAAATATTCGAGATTCCAGGGGAACCGCGTGATGACTCAATTTCGCAAAGACCGTTAAATGGCCCGCTATGAACCATGCGCCACCGCCGGCCGCGTTCCTTCTCTGTTTTTGAAGGCCGAACATTCTTCGCAGGGGGTCGGTTATGCCGGCTTAGGTATCTCTTCATAGAACCGACTACAAAGAAGAGCTCCCTGTTCATTTGACTTTTCTTATCTCGCGTCAGATCGATCGATGATTCTTACGAATCATCGTTGCACGTGTTACTTAATTACAAATCGAGCTTGACGTGCTCTTTCGAATTTGATTAATCTCCTAATCTTTGAAAACATGCAATATACTATAATGCGGATATGCATATATAATGAAACTAAATAGTCTTGAATAGTATTAAAAAATTATTGATATCTCGTTTACGATACTCGTGTTAATTTAATTAATAAGTAAAATGATTGTATAAGAACCGATAAAATAGTTATATTAATTAAATAATATTGATTGATGTTCGTAATATGTGTTATGTC